CAATTTTATAAATAGCTCACTCTAAACAGTGTACTGGCAATAATGATCTCCATCAACAGCAAAGGAATTCCAACATAATTTAGTAATGGCCTTCTTGAAAAGCTAATATTTTTCACTCAGTTAACGAAGAAATTCCCTGTCTTTCTGGAACCTGAAGATCAATTGCCATGTTCACAAGAGCCTGCTACTGGATTGTATCCTGAGTCAGATGAGTCCAGCCCACATCTTGAAACCCTCTTTCTTGAAGATCCATTCTAATATTATCCTCTGATCTATGCCCAGATTTCCCATGTGATATCTTCCCTTCATGTTCTCCAGCTAAAATTTTTGTATTCATTTTTCATCTCTCCCATATGTGCCACATGCTCCAAGCATCTCTTCTTCCTTGCTTTGAACACCCTAATATTTGAAGAGAACAAGTTATAAAAATTATTATATTATGCAATTTTCTGCAGTAAAGACATAAACGTAAAATCTGCTTATGGCAACCTGACTCTCAAAGCTCACATCCTTCACATTTGGCTTACAACATAACACAGAATAACCCCCACAAGCTTAAAATTTATAAAAGACTGGAAAATTCTATTAATACCACAAAGAAAGAGATGTGTACATCTAATTTGATACTGCAGCAATCCTATGAGAAAATGCGTACAACTGTAGAGCCATTATTGAAGAAAGTGTAATAAGTTTCATAATTAATACTGCGCATTAACCAATGTGCAGTGGCATTACATTATAATCTTCAACGGCTCACATTTTGTATTACGCACATCAAAAACTGTAGAGAATGGATGTGAAACCTACTGGAAAGACATGCTCTACTCACAAATTATAAATTCATCACTGAAGTCAGCACTTGTGTGACAGAACAGCATAACTAAACAGCATTAAAAATAACTTTCCCGATACCATTAACACAATATCAATTCATGTGCCACAATTATTTCTCAATTTTACATACACTGAGCTCAATAATAGCATGTTCTTAACCCAAACCACTGAAAGGGAGGTGGTAGACATAATTAAAACACTAGGTAACAAAAAATCAATGGGCACTGACGATATTCCAGAGTTCATTATTAAAAAAATGTCCTCAACTAGTAAATGCTCTAACATACATTATAAATCTGTCATTTTCATCTGTTTATTTCCCCGACCAACTAAAAATAGCAAAAGTGAAACCCTTATATAAAAAAGGTTGTACTGCAGATGTAGGGAACTACAGGCCAGTGTCATTAATTTCGGGTTTTTCTAAAATAATCGAAAAAATTATGCACAAAAGACTTTCATTGTTCATGAATAAGTACAGCATAATCAACAATACACAACATGGATTCTGCAAAGGATTATCAACACATACAGCAATCACAGAATTTACAAAAAGGGTTTTCAAAGCAATAGATGAAAAAGAAACGAGTATAGGGATATTTTTGGATTTATAAAAAGCGTTTGACCTAGTAGATCATGATATATTGCTAAGTAAGATGGAAAGAATGGGAATACGAGGGGTTACACTAAGGTGGTTCCAAACATACTTAGAAAACAGAGAACAAAAGGTAGAAATTACATACAGATACAAAAAAACTAATAGAAACATTAATTACCTATCCCGAAAAAGACCCATCAGCTATGGCGTCCCACAAGGTTCCGTTCTGGGACCAGTGTTGTTTCTGTTATACATAAACGACCTGGAGGCCAGCACAGAACATGGGAACCTACGTTCTTTGCCGATGATACTAGCATATTTATAGCAGGAAATAGCGCTAACGAAATTCAAAGGAAAACGAATGAAACAATAACTAAAATCACAGAGTGGTTTGAGATGAATCAGTTAACTATTAATAAAGAGAAAACAATAGCAATAGCCTTTCATCATCCTCAAAAACTACAACTTGAATGCCCTCCAATAAAGATTTATGACACTGTTCTCAACTACACAGATCACTCAAAATTTCTGGGAGTCTGGCTAGATAAGCATCTAAGATGGACTGTGCATACGCAAAAGCTAGCGAACAACTTATGTAAAGTATGTTTTGGCATAGGGGTAGCTAGAAGAGTGACTGGACTAGAGATTGTTCGCACGTTACATTATGCTCATTTCCAATCTTTGTTATCATATCGACTGATATTCTGGGCAAACTCGGTAAATGCAAAATTGATCTTTAAATTACAGAAGAGAGCTATAAGAGCTATGACCCAGGTCCCAAAATCAACTAGTTGTAAACAAATTTTCAAATCATTACATAATTACCTCTATCATCTTTGTACATATACAAAACTCTAATATACATAAAATCCAATTCAAATGATTTCACAACCAACTCAGGATTACACTCATACAACACAAGGAAAAAAAGACGACTTGCACACTGTCCCATGTAATACAAGTCTATGCGAGAACAACTTTAACAATGTAGGACTTTGACTGTTAAATCATCTGCCACGATATATTAAAGAAATACCTGTACTATATAAGTTCAAAAATGCTTTGAAAACTTACGTACTCGATCATTGTTTTTATAAAGTGGATGAGTTTCCCTCTTGTGAGACAAACACTAATTATAATCACATAATTCATGAATAATCGGTTTTGGGAATCCCTACTGCGCAGTTTCCTTTCTTTTTTCCAGCAACCAAGATAACACAGTCGGATGTGTACCTGAATGGGCTACTCTGGAGAGATTGCAGATACCAAGAAGGGAGAACAGATGTAATGAGATGTTGCAGTGTAGAGTATACAGTAAACGTCATACCAATGCTATCACCAAATTCACCAATATTATCTCAAAGGCCGCGCCATAGCTTAAACAATTAGTCGCTGGCTTCCCACCGCTGCGGTCTAGTCAAGTGGGATTTGTGATGGACAAAGTGGTGCTGGGGCAGGTTCCCCCCCCCCCCCCCGAGTACTTCGGTTTCCCCTGCCAATCCTCATTCCATCAAATTCTCCATAAGCATTAACGCCGGTACAGGTACAATACAACATATGGAAGATGATGTGCCAAGGGGACCTAATATGGATTCCACCTCGCACTATACAAACTATTAACTAATGTAATCTACTGTAATCTATTGTAAACAATTATAAGTACTGTAACTTTATTCTATTAATATAATCAGCCAACGGACAGTAACTGACTTGTCCTATATCATGTAACAATGATCTATAGAGACAAAATAAATAAATAAATAAATAAATAATATATCACTGAGAAAACTTCCATTCATGATCTGATGATCTAATTATCTTTTCAAGCTACCATTGTGAATCAAATTACTGACAAAATTTTGAAAAATTCTATCCCTACAGGCTGATAAGGCTCACAGAATGAGATAAATTTCATAAATGACAATTTTCTTTCAGAACTGACATGCATATATTTAATTTCCATGTACCAAACACTTAATTCTGATTCCAAACACAGGCAAAAATATGTGAAATGTCCATAGAATTTTACACATCTCCTTTTCAATACTAATATTTATTCTTTTACTTTCATCTTGGAATTATTACACAATCTGAATACTCAAACAGGTGCCAGGGAACTCACTAGATATTCTCATGTGCATCATTGAAATATAAGCCAATTCTATAGGGTTTCATCAGTAGTGATTTACACTTGCGGATTACTCACTTTCTACATTTTGTCCATCATCTAACATACAACTATTCAGAATGTGGATCTGCTTCCAACCTCAGATGAAGAGGTTGGGGGCCACCTATTCAGTGGTTCTGTTAGATACGGTCAGTCTCAGTCACTGGACCGATGATTGAGACTACTTCTATCTAATGGGCCCAACTCAGAAGGTGCCTTCAAACCCTTTAACCTGAGGTTGGAAACAGATCCAGTTTCTGAAATATACTGTTCTTTTTGAACATAAGATGATGAACAACGTCAAAAAAACTCTGTAATTTCGAATACAATGTAACTTCAGAGTTTGATGTGGCCAAGAGCTGTCAGATGTTCAGGACTGCTATAAAGGCTAGCCCCTAAAACATAACAAAGTTACATTAAGTTACAGGTTAATTCCGAATAAAATGTAACTTTGGAGTCTGATTCGGCCAAGAGTTGTAGGCTGAAGAGGCCTGCTGTAAAGGTTAACTCCCAAAACATGACAAAGTTAGGTTAAGTTACAGGTTAATTTTTACGACAGACAGACATTATGCACAATCATATTTCGGCGATAAAAGAATTTAAACTGTGATTTGTGCTGGCCAATTATTTCATGTTTTAATATTAACATTACTAGTTTCAATAAATACAACACTGATCCTATATCTTACCTCATCATTACTACCGAAGTTTTCTCTTCCACCATTCCTCCCATTTCCAATCTTGTTTTTTGCTGGTTCCTGCAATTAAAGTAAAACCATTGGGATAAATGTATTTTTCACCAAATATAAGGTCATAATAATTTTTCATATTTTGTTATTTTTAATAAACAAGGTAGGAAGCACAAAAGGCTACTTACTATTGAAGCCAAACACGACACGGCGTCAAATGTTACACCCTCATTCTCCCACATCGTATTCGCGTTCTACGTTCACGCTTACCACATCGTACCAACATCTAACGCATTTTTGTGATTCCACAAATTATTCTACTTACAAAAAAATATTACGTACCTTTTCCTTCTTTGGTTTGTTTGGCATTTTTCAATGTTTTATAGCATGAAGACACAACACCACCACTTACAATCTTACAGTACACCACCATTGGTTGATTTAGATCACGTGGCTATATCTAAGAGGTCATGATTTTGAGTTAACTTTTAATAAAAATGGAGCAGAAATGCCTTAGAAATATTCACTCATCCTACACAGGTATAATTCTTGAATCTGACATTGAATTGTCAGCTTTTGACACACATTCTGGTTTATACGACACTGAAGGCAAACTGTCGTTTTCATTTTATGTTTCGTGGCAGTACATCTTGCGAGACTCAGGAAAATTATTTTCCAGAAGTTTGTTCCATGCTCCGAGTTCTTAAATCTCTGGAATACCTGAGGAATTTTCATACATACCCGTTACCATGGTAACATGTAATAAACAATGTGTAATACAAGACGAAAAGGCTATTTAATTTGTGATAGTCATTACAGACGGCTCATATCATGGTAGGAAATACATATTAGCATATTGTATATATTACCTGTAACATGTGAAATGTTACATGGAGGTATCTGAGATTCCTATGGCGGGCACTATGATTACTACATTCTAAGATGTGACACTATAGTTTAGCAGACATAATGTTTCGAAGGAATATACTGCCTCTGTCGTCAGGGTACAAGGGCGAAGACGGTGGCAGTAAATTTCTCTAAAACCCTGGTATCTATCTAATAAACTACTTGGCGCCACACCCAAATAGACAATAATTTGCATGGAAGTGTCTCTTCTGTTAGTAATAGTTAATGATCAGGGAACACAAACTATTTAACATAATAGTTTCACAGAAAATGATTGTGGGAAAAAGGAACAATAAGACTACTAGGTCAAGATGAGTTTAGTATAAGCCATAAACAGAAATATCAGGATCCCCAAGAGGCATAATGTACCCCTTTGTTGTAAACTTTGTGACTACACACAAAAAATATGAGAGGGAACTTGATTGAGGTCGTACGTATGGAGTAATTTGTTCAGGATTTTGTAAAGTCTTTGTGCAACCATGATTTCATCACATACAGTTTTGCTCAGTGGTGTTCATTTTCAGCAAAACTGTTGAAGTGGTCAACAAATAGAATTTGAAAACAAAATAGAATGCCCCTTAAATTATAATCTGCTAACTGACTAATGTATGATTTTAGTTTTATTGTTCCTATCTTGGGAAGTTTCTGATGCACTTTGCCAACAAGAGTTTTCATACGTGCCTTCAGTGGAGGTAATCTGTAATCTGCTTATTGTTCTCAAGCAAGCATGTTTTGTAATACAGAAAACAAAGATTTCTATTTTTACATTTTTAAATGGTTCTAGATGCAATTTTCTAAATTTACGTAAGTATACCTGAGCTTTTTTGGGACTCGCTTAGATGAATGAACTTCTGCTGTCTGTTGAAGGACCTGAATTGGCATACTTGCTTATTTTTCATTAATTTTTACAAAATCCTTCAAATAGACGGTTAAATGTAAAGCAAATAGAGTTCTTCATTGCACTGTCATATCTACCACAACATGGCAACTCACAGATGAAAACAACTCACTACCACTATCATTTCTACAGATGTAAAGGAAAGTAAAGAAATATCATGGTAAGGATATACTATGATGCTGTTTTCTTTTAAATTCTTTGTATACCACAGAATGTGCCACTCAAAGAGCTGTCATCTTCAAAACAAAAACTGTCACTGAAGGCTCTGTGATCTGGAATGCAGATGGTGCCATTCCATAGACTGCAAATGAAAGCCTATCACTGACCCTATATGCAGAAGATGATTAACACATATTGTGCACAACTCAATACATCAATAAATCCTCTGTATGAGATAGTCTTATTTTCTAAACAGTATAAAATTATACAGAAATTCTGAAAAATGCTTAAGACATTCATTTATGTCTCTACATTTCAGTCCAAGGCCACAACAGTAAAAGATGCACTAAGGAGATGGGAGGAAAAAAATGAAATTAGCGCATCAGAAGCCACCGAGGTTCAGCTGTGTTTCCAGTGGCCACCTATTGAAAAAATGGATAATTCTTTAGCAGTGTTAGTCAAGTGCGAGTAAGTTAGAACACAGTAGCATCTGTCTAAAACCAGAATCTCAATTAAACACAAACCTGTCTACTAGAAATGTTCCTTGTTCTCAAGAACATTAAGTAAAAACCAATATGAAGTTATTTTTAACAGAAAGAGACCAGAAATTAGTGTTTTAATAGAAAGTAATCTGCTTTATGTTCATACAATTTTGTTTGATACTGTGCTTTCTGAGAAGGAACATTGGTTAATCACTGTCATATTTAAATGAATATGTGAAGTATTTATGTAGTTTTATCGCATTCTAATAAAATGTTTTGATGCCAAATTTTTGTAGCCATGTTCTGGACATCCCTCATAATATGTATTCATTAAATACATTTTTATGTAATTATATTTGGTCTTCATTGTAGGAAATTATCACTGTCAACTAACATGATTGAAAAGATAGCTGGTATTAATAGCTTGAAGAACCTCAAAATCTTGTCACTGGGGAGAAACTACATAAAAAATTTCTCTGGTCTGGTAACTATAGTTTTGTCATTCCTACTGATAAGCTTTATCTACATTGAGGTTCAAGAGCAGAGTAATAGGTTTCTGCATGGATACAGACGTTAATATAACAGATTAGTAATGCTGTCCGGTGTAACTGATAATTTTCTTTTTAATCTTTCATCCTTTACCTGTTTCAGCTGAAGCGACCATTTCAGAAGAACATCATCAATACATACAGAAATTACTATTACAATGTCATAGATATAGAATATTATATCCTTTAACAATTACTTAGATATGCATGAATTTGTTAAAACATATATAAATTATTATAATTAGTCTATTTACAAAGTACTCTTTCTTGTTAAAATCTAGAACCAATTTGATTCTTGTCTCTATACTTCTTCTTTTTAAAGGAAGACGAATATATTCCATGTCATGGTACCTTGTTTGAAGAATAAGACTCTCTAGTGTCGTTATCCAGTAGTTCAGGCCATGCTATTTTGTTCAAGATTTTAACAAAAAGTTCTTTAAACAATGCTTTGTAAATAGACTAATTATAATAATTTAACAAATACATGCATATCTTAGTAACTGTTAAAGGATATAATATTTTATATATATGACATTGTAATAGTAGTTTCCATATGTATTGATAATGTCCTTCTGAAGATGGTCGCTCTGACGAAAACATGTAAAGGATTAAAGATTAAAAAACACAACATTTATCAATAACACTGGACAGCATTAATAATCTTTTATACTATTAAAAGTGTGATGGACCAGAATGAACCAAGTCAAATAGACATTAATGTTTACTGGCATGCATCGCATTATTGTAACAGCACATGCATGTGGTCTGGCATGTTGAGCATTGCATTTTTCATTTTTCAGCCCTGCAGTACTGCATTATATCAAATCCTCTATTTCTGGATTATAAAGATTCAAGATAATTATGAATGAAAGGATCAATTTTAATATAGGGGGAGTGTATTCTCTTTTAAAGTAACGCCCACCTTAGACTTAGAACTGAGGGAAATCACAGTATCCTTATGGATAACCAGTCTGCATACGCAATACAGGTAAAGAAAAAAGTAAAAGTAAAGCTATCCCTGTACCAGGCCGTGAAGGGCCATAGGGTTGTGAGACGTTGAGGGTCCCACATTATCTAGAGAATTGGCTCAAAAATGGCGGTAAGGTTATCAGCCTTACGCGCCGGCCACGCTTTACTCTCCAGGAAAATTATTTAATTAATTCCTGGTACTCATTTCTGTTAGAGGGTGAGTCAACCCCAGGGCCATAGTGCAGCTGGAAGGATTAGGTCAATTGAAAAAAAATCCAATGACCTCATCGAGACTTGAACCCACGACCTTCTGGCTTGTAGCATAGCTCCTCAACCAACTATGCTAACGCGTGCCCCCCATATTCAATACAGGAGACTTCCAAAATAAAATGGTGCTGAAGACCTTAATTACCATAATACTTATAAATTTACCATTAAATGGACTGGTTATTTGAAATGACTGTTTCCTTCAGGAGATAGGATAGCTCAGTTGGTATAAGGACAGGCTATAAGCTGGGTGGTCAGGGAACTGGCATTTGAGTCCTGGCAGAAGCATGAGCTTTTTATCCTCTCTAATGCATCCAGATTGGTTCTTGAACCCACCCAGCCTCCTATCCAGCAAGCACCTGGGGTATTTCCCAGAGGACATAGCAGGTGGGGTGTGAAGCCATTTGCTTACCTCCCTCTATGTTTTAAGATTAAGAATACCTGGAGCTATACCTCCACCTCTCCATGTCTTCATGGCATGGTGCTTAATTAATTAAGCTCAAGGACAGCTTATACATGTTACTTTTGTTTGCTTTAAGCAGCAAGCATTATCTCTCAGAATGCTTCATTCATTCATCTGTAATCTGTCAAGACGACAGGTCCACAGTCTCTTCCAAAATAGTTCCTCCACTTGATGCGATCTAGAGCTTTCTCCTTCAAATGAAAATATCCTCTTCTGTCCCCAAGGTCATCCAGCATCTTCTTACTTCTTCTTCCTTGTCTTCTGGTCACTTCTATCCGCCCCTCTATCTTTCCTTCAATAACTTCTTTTAGAAGGCAGTTACCGCGTAAGATATGACCAATCCAATTAGCCTTCCGTTTTCTTATTTCATGTAGGATATTCCTCTGCTCACTGACTCTAAATAACACTTCTTCATTTCTCACATAATCGGTCCAACTGATCTTCTCCATCCTTCTCCAACACCACATTTCGAAGCTTTCCAGGTGTTTCTGATCTACTGCCCTAAGTGTCCAAGTTTCAGCCCCATACAAAGCGATGCTCCAAACGTAGCATTATAGAATGCTTATAGTACAATAATTTTCAGCACCACCACAAGCATTCTCTGAGTTATATACTGTCAGAATTCTATTTTCAGCAATACTCAGTCATAAATAATTTCTTTTGTTTTCAGGAAGGAGTAGGTGATACATTGGAAGAACTGTGGATTTCATATAATCTAATTGAAAAATTAAAAGGTATTGGTGTTCTAAAGAAACTAAAGGTACTTTATATGTCAAATAATCTTGTTAAAGATTGGATGGAATTTAATAAGCTGCAAGATATGCCAAGCCTAGAAGATCTCCTTTTTGTAGGTTTGTAAATCATTTTATTTCAATTCAATGGTGACTCTGCATCATTCATTACCAGAAAAATCCCTTTCCACAAGGACACCATATGCTTCTTATCTTGTTGACCAGCTACAGTCACTCTAAAATAGCACTTTGTCAGCATGCAATCAATATTTTTCTCATTCCTTTCTTGCTCTTGATTAACCAATAAAAATATGATACTCACATTTTCGCACTCTCAAAATGTGATGCTTGAAATATGTGAAACTCAAGGTGATTTTTTTAGCTCTGTTCCATCCAGCTGATGCATTATTTACATCCTTTGAAATATTGAACTAAAACCAAAGTTTTACATGAAATGTATGTAGCAATTTCTCCATTGTACAGGAAATCCACTATATGATAGCCTTGATGAAGCTACATGGAAGGCTGAAGCATGTAAACGACTTCCAAATCTGATGAAACTGGATGGAGAACCTGTTATTAGAGAAGTTCAAGAATGATTATACAAACTATACTAGTCCAAAATAACAGTTATCTTTAGAGGCTTAGGACAGAATATAGATCTGAATGGAAATAAGGAATAATCAGGAATTCAAGTACATTTTTCAATCATCAGCATCACTGTTCAATGAAGTGTACTTTTACGTCATAATGTAGCAATAAATTTATCACCCATTTAAACAGATATGGTATGACTTAAGGACATTTTAAAGATGAGAATATTTATTTCTGTACTTGTTTATAAATCTATACATGTGGTTCTGAAACAAAGCACCTTACAGATATATTCAGCAAATTCTGACTGTGCAACATTTGTTCAAAATGCCTGATCATACAATGAAGTACTTTCAATTAGAACTGATCACCCTGGATAAAAAGCGAACCGACTATCCTTGCAACGTGAGCAAAGAGAACTCTAACAAGCTACTAAACACACCTAACTGCAACTCCAAAATAACTTATTATACATATTTATATTACTAGAATAAAGAAACAGATATGAAATGTTAATCTGAACAATAATACACAACACACAATGTACTGATCTTGGTCTTTATTAATTCTGCAATATTGTTAAATTTTCTTAATATATTTAAAATAAATCACATAATTCATAAAAGCGTTCCAATCTAGTAGAGAATACCAGCAACATCATCATTAATATAGAATATCACTTCATCCATAAAAATAACTTCTAAGTTACTCTTGATATTCTTCCACATGATCCATAACAACTGCAAAGAGAGTTTTTCTGTTTGTCATCAAAATGAATCTTCATTGGAAGTTTCAGTTTCTAGGCATCTAAGTTTAACATCTGTATAAAGTTTTGTGTATGCTTGGTCTTGCTATTTGTAATTATCAGTTGCAATCACTTCAAACCTGCAAAGAAATCACTGAATCATTCAACATATTCTCCCAAAGTGTCAAAACTCATATCTGTATGCTTTCTATTCACTGTGAGACAAACATTCGCTAATCTGGGGGGGGGGGTCATCTAGATTAGTGAAGCAAAATGTAGCACAAAAAAATAATAAATGAATGGAAAATGCAATGATATAAGTAATGCAGATGCAAATATATCACTGTAGAGCCTTTATTTAAAAGCTATAAAGAGACAATACATTTATTGATTCATTGCACTGTATAACGATACATTCTTTGAAGTGGTGCCTAGATCATCTACTTCTTTAAAAAAGTTACTGAGGCATCCGTTACTTACACATCCTCCAACAATTTCGGCAGGACTTTTACATAATGACTGCAGAATAATTTTGCAACCTTCTATTTCCAGCACATTTAGTTATCATTTTTTTCATAGTTGTCTACATTCATGGCATTCAAGCCTAGCTCCTCATTATGTGCATATGTCCTCTCATAGTCTGTAATAGTTATTCCTGAATCTGGTGCAGGATGAGTGAAACTCTGAAAGCAAAAAATATTCACTGTCAAACATCAGCAGCTTGCCCCCTCTAAGTACTGATATACCGTATTATTTTGAATATAAGACGCACATTTTTTCATATTTTTTCCCATTGAAAAATTGAGGTGCATCCTAAATTTGAGGAATTATTCACCAGTTTGCAGACTGTCCACAAGGAATCCTGGAAAGAACCTAACATAAACACATCTGTAGTCATCAGGCCACATCTCCCCCCCATCTTTAACTGTGAGTCAATCCTTAACTTTCAGTTCAATCATTGTCTGACATTCTTATCATTCAGGTGTGTTCTGTTTTCTATCAGCTTTTACCCATGGAAAAGTGTTTTTCATATGATGCCACATTCAAAATAAAAATGATTCTGTGTGCTGAAAAGACAGGTAATCGTACAGCTGGTAGAAAGTATACGGTAAGCGAGGCACATGTATGTTTGCAATGGATGAACTTCGTGGCCACCTCTCTGGTAGAATCAGAAACAGATTAAGAAACAAAAACACTGACCTAATGACAATTCCTAGTTGCATGACAAGTCAATTACAACCATTCAAGCATCTTGTCCATAAACCCTATGCCTGGCTGAATGAAGACAATCATATATTGACATCTAGTGACAAAATAAAAAGAACATCAGCGTCAATAATAGCGGAGTGGATATCAAAATCTTGGAATAAAGTGCCAGTCAATATTGTTCCAAAATCGTTTGTCAGCTGCTGTTTGTCTAATGTGGAAGATGGAATGCAAGATGACATTCTTTGGGACAACAGTGAACAAGGTGGTGAGGCTGCATCATCTTCAGAAAATGAAAGTGTGAATGAAGGATCATTACACAAACTTTCTGATTATATAAAAAAGATGCATATAGTGAAAATTTATATTTCCATTTCATTCTGATGTATTTTCCATTACTTTTCACTTCAAATGTGTTCCAAGTATTTTGTTATTTTAAAAGACATGTTCTAAATAAACTCTCTGAAATAAATGCATCTTCCTATTTTTTTGAAAACCCTCATTTAAAAATGGATGCATCTTAAATTGGAGGGTGTCTTATATTCAAAGTAATGCGGTATTCTTCTGACTTATGTTAGTAAAATAATAATTCTGTCTGAGTTGTGTCTTTTATATCGCTCTGTAACTGCAAATTGCAGCATATTAGACAATTACCTGCACATAACTGTTTCCTGCAGGATCATCCAGCACAAGTGTAATTTCTCGATTCCCTTCCAGCACTGCATCCAATTCTGCTACAAATTTTGAGATTCTGTTCTTTGTCTCATCATCGGCACTGTCTATGAACACTGCTCCCTGTGATGTCACTTGTTCTTTCATAGCCACCAGAAGACCCTCCACAGTAGTAAAGCGACCTCCCACAGCATATGGCCCAACAGACAGATCCAGCTCTGGAACCTCCAGGGAGCATGTCTCAGACTAAAAACAAATTATGAGCAACATGTAGTTTTCTTACTATGCCTGTAGGATGTGTTCTCAACATCTCCATGTGTATTGCAGATATGATACTAGGTACGTTAACACAGACACCTCGCTGTTAACTGGCATTAAACAGCTCATGAATACCCTGAATTTGACACTGGAACAACAGTTTTGATAGATCACACACTTTGATCACCTATAACATGAATGTCCAACTTCAAATCACTGAGCACCTGCATTGTAACTCAGATACCTACCCACAGCCAAATTATGGGAAATTGTTCTTTCTAGTATACCAGTACAGATACCTGCACGGCAATAATCAGATCTATGAAGGAACTGAGTAGGAATTTGACCCATGAAGTTAAAAAACATGTAAGTCAATTAAATGTTACCATGTCGACCATGCTTAAAAATCAGTCACTGCAGATTTGCTAGATTGTATCAATGTCGCATATGATCATGGAAGCATACTGACTGACTGACTCCATGGCTTGTAGTACGCAAGTGAACTGTACTGACCGAGTGACCGCCACTTGTCGGCAAATTTCCATATTTTTCTAAGCTATTTACTATATCTTGAATGAAATAAATTGAAAAATTACATGGAATACTGAGTAAGAATCTTTTGTAAAGTCTTTTTGTCAATGTAGGATTTGAGGTTCTCACAGCAGTGGCTATAAAGAGTTCTATCTCAGGGATATAACACCATGATATATAATGAAGTACATGGCATTAGATCCAAAAAGGTAGAACTCTTTCTTTATCAAAACTGACCATCTTTTTCAAAGGGGAAGAAAATGTTGACATACCTTGTGGAAAGATACTCTTGCAGGTTGCACAAAACCAGCTAGCAGGCTAACTATGGCCAGCTGCCACCAGTTGATAGACCTTTCAGTACCAGTACAATGATTCTCAAGTACTTAATTTTCAAATGTTATGAGATATCAGAGAATTCTTAACTTATTACAACAAAACTATCGTTTTCCAACAACAAAGTTGTCTTGAGAGATTATGGTAAAATTTATGCTGACATATAATTATCATGCCTGCATCTTTATTTTCCTCTTGACATCTTTAGCAGAAAAATTTGCCATATACAGGATACTACATAATCATATATATATATATATATATACTGTCCATACCTATGTTACGAGTAATTAGTGCTTAATTAGTTAAGTACAGTACAGTACCTTTTTTACCTTACCATACCTATATTTCCTACTCTATATCTTCTAAATAGGACATCATAGGAAAACATGTGAATAAAAGTGGTAGGCTTTTAGTCAGAACTTTCTAAAATAATTACTGAAATGGGATCTTCCAGTCAGTTAAAAAAGAACCTGTCAAAACACACATTACAGCCTTCATGATCAGCAACCCATTTCAGCACATCCAAAACAACAGCAATCCTAAATGCAAGCAGCATTTGAAGTACTTGGTCTTTTCATCATACAAGGCAAATATGAAATACCTACAGTAACCATTTGAAGCATGCACTGCCCAAAATACAAAAGAATGAAATGCCCTATGTATGATACTGATCATTAATGGTTAATAGAACTAGTAGTCAGTAACATGCCAGACATTAAAATAAATGCTCTCACCTTCAGAACATCTCGACTGAAATCTTCTCTACTTCTAACTTTCACTTCGATGCGCCTTCCTTTCTCTTCAATTCCGCAACCTGACTTTACTTCATTGCTTCGATGACCACATGCATCACAGTTTGTTGCCATGATAACCACTTCTTTGAAATGAGGAACATCTGATTTATACAATTTAAGAAAATACTCTTTTAATCAATACTGAATACTGTTCATGTTCACAGTGAACTTGCTGGTAAGTTGTTTAACCAAGAGTGTCAAATTCTTTATGCTTTTACTCACAGTACAAAACTATACAGCAAAATCCTGCTAGTCTGGATTATATGGGTATAAGGGTAATCTTAATTTGGCAATAATATAAATTGGCAAGCTTTCCTTTATTTTGTTTACTGTCAAAGTATAATTTCCTACATCAAATTCCGCCATTAATTGAGAAAATTACTTCAGCCTCTATCTGCCCAGTAACTTTCAATTTATCCACTTTCCTGTACATTCCTGCACTTCTGATAGAAGTTGTTATTCACAATTAACTGTATCGTGCAATATCTGAATTTATGTGATCTACAATGGAGAGGTTTACTGAGTGTAATATCATAAAAATACTCTCATATTTATTAATTAAACAGTCTTCAAGTTTCAATTTTGCTGAAAATAAAGGATACTTGTAAGCTTCATATTCGTTTGGCATTCTATTCCACAGTTTGGGCAAGGGGTTGGGAACTGTAATACTTCACCATGAAGATCTTCCAATGTAAAATCATTTTCATTAATCTTTCTTAATAGTCCTGAGTTTGTCTTCATAATCTCAGGCTCAACACCAACTTTGCTGGATGAATAAATTCCTAAAATATGGTCCTGATCAGTGTTACGAACAAATCTTACCACTTCAGTTCTAGGATCCTTTTGTGGAGCATAAGGATTCTCTACGAAAAATTTTCCACTGATATCTTCAAATACCTGTTCAACAAGCATAAATACATCTATAAATGTACAAGCAAGAACACAACACATTTTCCATTAAAGAGTATTCAATTAGGTACCACTCATTTACACTCTTCAACAGCTTGTTTGCTTTTCCAGTTGTTTTACAACATGCACCAGCTGCTGAAGTTGTGTAGCACTGAATGAGACAAGACATAAGTTCTAACTTCTGTGATATTACACTGTGTAGTCTACCAAAAATCAACTGATGTTTCAAAGGAACATGTTGCCTCCATCTTCTGAATCAATGAATAAGTCAAGCAAGAAACCAGCACGGGGCATGAAGCAGGTAGAGCCCTGAAGAGACTTTTAATGGACTACATGGCGTTACATCCCAGAAGATAGAACTCCTCATAACCACTGCTGTATGGACCTCAAATCCTATATAACATTGTGGCAGATATGTTTAAATAAGGAATTGTGGAACCAGTATAAACAGCCACTGTTAGGAAACAGCTTCATAAACATGAAACAATACCAGAGCCATCAGTAACAACGTGCCTTACAACAATGGAAGAAACGCTGGAAATAGTGTTTTCTATGCAATCCGCTCCAAAAGTGACATCACGCAACAAAAGAAGAACTGTTTGAAACAGTTTTCTATGGGCCCCAAACGCAGTCTTGACATTTTATAAAAAGAATAATTCTTGCCCTTACCAGGGAATGGACTTCAGATATCCAATCAATTGCAGCCACTTTACTGACTTAGAATCCTAGCTCACTCATGAATAAAATTTGTATCTTTTCATAATTACTGTATTGTCATGACTTTGAGTGACTACAGACAGGGTTTGGAGTGGTTACTGCGCTTACTGAACAATTTATTTTTCAATGGGTCTTCCAGCCATCAGGGCCCTGGCCTCTTATTCAGTTCCATAATCATTTTTCACAGATGGTAGGACTCCTTGGATGAGCGATTGGCTCATTGCAAGACCTCTACATACACACAGGAAACATAAACACAGAATAAACATATACACACACCAAACATCCATGTCATGCCTTGAGTGGGACTGGAACCTACAATTCCAGCATCTGAGCAAGCAAAGACAATTCATTCACAGTGGTTACTGTGACCAACTTATTGAACACTTAGAAATCAAAACTACAAGTAACTATAGCACTATCATTAATTCACAGTCTCAGCAATTCACTACGGCATGCAGTAAGTCTTCTTGGTCTGATGTGTCTTGACCAACTGTCTGATAATGGCTTTGAACACCATAGCTCCCTCAGCCTCCACGTTCCATGGCTCCAGTCCACACTTGGCTAGAGTCTATCTCACAACTAAATTGGTGTTGCTACACAACACCTTACAACAACACGGGCTCCTCCACCAGAAGCAACTGTCTCACAATAGCCTTGGGCTCAGACTGGTCTGCCTGTCTGCAGACTCTCTCTAGACTGACTGGCTTGTGTTTCAATTCTCCAGATATAGCCATCACATGGACCTCAACAGAAAACACCCCTTCCCACAATTCTTCTATTGTTGCATGATGTCATGGAAGACATGGACGTGACATTCTGCTCTGTTGCATACAAGTGTGGCTGCGCCATGTGACTAGTAGCCATGGAAATGCGTTTACAGAGCTATTGCCTCGCAACAGCATCCCTACTGATTAAACTACTCTGGCTTTCAGCAGACATATCACAGTATACATCTACAATGGTATCAGTTTCAATGAACTGTGACCTTTAATAGGGCAAGTCCCATTACAACACAGAAGTTCACACCTCTTCCCCTTGTCCATTAACTTCCACATTGTTTAGACTCTAAAGGCAAATGCCAAAGCTCTACAAAAATTACTTCAAATTATAAAGTACCTCATTCTGAATTCATGAGACTACAATCAGAAGTTCCCAGACTGTTGTTCTTCTAACTGCCTCTGTGAAAGAATATGAGAGGGGAGGCCAAGGTCACACTTTCAGAAGCCTATTGCATCAGTCTGCCATGTTTGTGACTAACAATATGGTCATCGTTTCCCATCCTCCCTACTCACTGGACTTAGCCCCATGTGATTTTGCTTTGTTTCCCAAATTGAAAATGATACTGAAGGGATGACATTTTGAAACAGTGTCTGACATCCAAATTGAATCCCAAGCGGTACTCGGCAGCATTAAGGAAAATGATTTCCATGGTGCTTTCGAAGCATGGAAAAAAATGACAGGATCACTGTATGTGTTCTGAAAGAGACTATTTTGAAGGAGATGGCAGCAAAAATTGGGTAAGTTAAGCCAGCATTTCTCTCTTGATCTAGTCTGGGAACTTTCTGATAACTTCAATATATCTTAATATTTAAGAATCTGGTAATGATTCAATTAATGAACTGTTCCTGTCACTCACAACCAAAGAATGTCACAGAAAATCATGCAGTTGCCAGACAACGTAGCATTTCTCTCTTGATCTAGTCTGGGAACTTTCTGATAACTTCAATATATCTTAATATTTAAGAATCTGGTAATGATTCAATTAATGAACTGTTCCTGTCACTCACAACCAAAGAATGTCACAGAAAATCATGCAGTTGCCAGACAACGTATGGTGGAGTGGAAGTTTAGCTCAATATATCCTTAATCTTGGCTCTACATAAAGGTGACTGGTCACACTTATGTCCAGCCCACTTTATCCACAGGTAAAGAACCCGGAGTACCCATTGAAGGTGAGGGTGGATGGCCCCTGCGCCAGTCTGGATGCTGTGTAATCCAGCCCATAGCCTAGCTGCTCTATTGACTGAGTTATCCCAGCTCCTCTTTGTTTAATAAGTACTGTTAATTTGTGATGCTGAACTGATTAGATTAACTGAAACACCAATATACCATTGTAAATGGATTTTTAACAGACTTTAAATTCTGTAATTTGGTCAGGAATTCCTCAATCAGTGAAGCTGCAGTTGGGTCCTGTGCTCTTCTTACTGGTTGATCCTGCTTAAGACCAGCTGCAGCACGATCTATTATCCCCTCAACTGTTGTAATCTCTGGAAGATGTCAAATTTTCAGAAATATTCCACATCTGAAACTTAGGAACTTATAAATTAAAATTGTACAGAGTCTTCCAAGGAAGCTTTACCAAAGATCAGGCAAACATTTAACAGGTTATTCTAAATTAAAAAAAAAAAATTATATCAACATGAGTTTGATTGTACTTCTTTTGGCTTATTTTGGACTTCATCCATCGTCTGGTATGTAAAAGACAAAAGACCACGATGTTTCGGAGACTGGATCTGTCCCCATCTTCAGGCAGATAGGGAAGGATAAACCTACTCAGTTGGGCCCATTAGAAAGAGCTCTCAGCCTCATTTCAGTTCACAACTATATNAACTTATTTATTTATATTTTTTATTTATTTTCTATTTATTTAATTGTGCCACCAGAACCTATAATAAATAAAATATGGTACTTATTCAACTACTTACCCCCTTTTTGAGATTGTGCAGGAATTTCAAAATCCAGTTCCACAATTTTCACAGATGTATAGTCAGATTTTATTACCTGTCTGTTTAAATCACGTTCTGTTTGAACATTTAATGTTATGCGAACTCCTCTCTCTTCAATTTTTCCTCCTGATTGGATTTCATTGTTTTTGAAACCACAATGCTCACATTCAAATGACATCAACACAACTTCTTTATAAAATGGTATTTTTGTAAGCAACAGTCTTGTAATACCCTGAAAGGAAATATCAATAATAAAAATAGTATGCAATTGCAAGCCCAGAAAGTACATTAGTATTCTCAATATTATACCACAAAAAAAAGGGGAGTACAATGAGACAGTACATCAGCTATTCGTAGACTTTAAGAAAGCCTATGATTCAGTTATGAGGGAAGTATTGTACAATATTTGGTAAAGTTTGGGGTACCAATGAAACTGGTTAGGCTGATTAAAATGTGTTTAAACAAAACGTATGGCAAATTCCATATAGGTAAATATTCGTCTGATAATTTTCCTATCCAGATTTGTCTAAAACAAGATATTCTACTGTCACTCCATTTCAACTCTGCTTTAGAATATGCCAATAGGAAGGTACAAGGACACCAGGTGGCACTGAAATTACACGGGACACATCAACTGCTGGTCTATGCTGATGATGTGAATTTACTGGGTGATAATATTGAGACAATAAAGAAAAACACACAAACCTCAAACGATGCTAGTAAAGAGGTTGGTCTAGAAGTAAACACAGAAAAAACTAAGTATATGTTGCTGTCTCATCACCAAAATGCAGGGCAAAATCATGACATAAAGCTAGGTAACAGTTGTTTTGAAAATGTGGTACAGTTCAGATATTTGGGAACAATGATAGCAAATCAAAACCTGATTCAGGAGGAAATTAACAGAAGACTTAACTCAGGTAATGTTCACTAACACTCAGTCCAGAACATTTTGTCTGCTTATCTGATGTCTAAAAATATAAAACTTAGAACATACAAAACTATAATTTTGCCTGTGGTTCGGTATGGGTGTGAAACTTTGTCTCTGACGTTAAGGGAGGAATGCAGACTGAGGGTATTTGAGAACAGGGTGCTGAGAAAAATATTTGGATAAAGAGTGATGAAGTAATAGGATGTTGGAAAAAAACTTCATAATGAGGAGCTTCATAACTTGTACTATTCTCCAAGTATGATCAAGACAAGGAGGGTGACATAGGGAGGGCAAGTAGCATGAATGGGGGAGAAGAGGAATGCATATATGATATTGGTGGGAAAGCCAGAAGGAAAGGGACCACTAGGAAGATCAAGACGTAGGTGGGTGGATAATATTAAAATGGATCTTGGAGTGATAGGACGGGATGGTATGGGTTGCATTCAACTGGCTCAGGATTGTGTCCAGTGGAGGGCTCTTGTGAACACGGTAATGAACCTGGGAAGTTCTTGAGTAGCTGCATTTCAGTTTCCTAGACTTCCTCACACTTAACCTAGACACTAGAAGTATAAATCATTTCTTATACTATTGCTGCTTTTCATACCCTACCATAGAAGATTACAATTACATAAACATCCTTAACCTCACTTATTTACATTTTCACCACAATCCATACATAGACTTTCAATTTCACTTATTTCTGGTTCTGGATCATCTGCCGTCAAGGCTCTGAAAACTGGTGATGGATTTCCAACTTTCTTCATACTTTCCATTTTTCCTCTCCGTAGTTGACTTGAAGGTTACATTAGAAAACTTACGGACAAAACCGCATTTTTTTTCACGGCTCACAGATAAATCCCATGAGTCATTCTCTTGGCATCACAGATCAATACTTGCATGGAAGATCACGGATCTCTACTTGCCACATTCGTCAAGAATATCCGTTTACTGTCGCCCACTTCCGTTCTTACAATCGAGTAAGTAATAACGGAAGAAACCTAATCTTCGTCTCAGTGGGCGTACGAGGGAAGTAATTCATCAGCTAACAAACCTATATTTGAGTAAATAACCCAAGCAACATTACCAACTTTATAATAATTATTACTGATAAATTTACATTTGCTCGGTCGAAGGCCTTAAATATAAGGAGTTTTCCGTCTTCTCATATGCGTCTAAGGTATATACCAGTGTTTCTCAACTGTAGAGCCGCAGTCTGAGAAAAGTTTAGATCCATTAGTATAAAGTATTTTTTAAATAATGGTAATTTAACAGGTATTACGTCTGTGTACAACTTCATGCGGTACGTTGAAACATTGCTGATGTTTCGTACGAACACATAATCTCCATCTACACGGTTTAAGACTAACACACGCAGGAAACCAGTATGAGACAGCATGCCTACTGTCACTCATTTAGTGCCGAGGTCAAAATAATCGAGCTATATCTCCACTCTGCATTCGGCTTAAGTGTTGTATGATTAAGCGCATGGACTTTATCTTGAACAATAATTTTCTGATCACAGGATGTGTAACATAAGTTATGACAAACTCCGTGGCCTGTAGTCCGCAAGCGAACTATGCCGACCGAGCGACAGCCTCGTCGGCGAAGTTAAGTGCCAATTTTGAGGATAAAGGGTGTCTCGTAGTGAGCGCAACGGATTTCCACGGCCGTTAATCTGTTTTCCAGACCTGAGCCGCTATTTCCTCCAAATAGCTACTCAATTATCCCCACAGGTTTGACTGGACACCCTTCCAGACCCATTTCTTCACAGAAAATATGGTGACACTGGAAATGGAACCCGGGCCCTCTGCATCTGTAACCAGGAACTCTGACCACTTGAAAACAGAGGTGGTCACATAAGTTATGACTCCTATGTTCTGTATCTTATATCATGAAAGCTGGCCATTTCCCATATCACATTGACACTCCAAACGATGGGCCATAACCAAAATATGTTTAACGACTGAACACTGTACAGTTCTATTTGGTACAAGTTCATATGCAAGTGTTCTTTAAATCAAAGATTAACAATAACCATATTCGCAGAAAGTTTAACCTATGAACTAAAACAGAGACAAGGACATGCTTGGTCAAAAGGTGAACAATGACCAAACCTGATCTGTTTATTGAAACAGGCAATTAAATTCATGACTGAATTTAAGATAAACTACTAAAATTTACAATAGACAACAGTATCATTTCAATAAATTTCCTAAATTCAAAATATATTTTTAAATTGTGAAAATCTAGTTTCTAAAATACCAAGAATGTGATTTAATTCAGAGCATTATGCCCAAAATTTCAGCATTTTTTAAAAATTTACTGAATACTTAAGTTTGAAATTTTTATAGTTTTAAGAAATGTACAAATTTAGAAATACGTATGTCCAAATTTTGAAAATTTCAAAACAATGCACAAAGACGATTTTAAAAATGTCACAATTTTCTTTAATTTCCTACTTTTATTGTGGAAAAATTTTCACAAATAAGAAAATGAGCAAAATTCTACTAAAAACATAATGTTTAATCCAAGGTTAGTGAAACCTCAAGTTAATTAAGACCAATCTGAACCGAACCCATTATAAAACTGCGACTAAAACATACTTAAACTATTCTACTAAAAACATAATGTTTAATCCAAGGTTAGTGAAACCTCAAGTTAATTAAGACCAATCTGAACCTAACCCATTATAAAACTGTGAATAAAACATAATTAAACTAAATATGAGGGAAGCATATGGCTGATGCTACCAAAAATTGAAATTTGAAATCATAAGAACATCAGTATAATCTTGCCACCACTGCACAGAATCAAACTATTCTTACTTACTGTCCATACTCCAGTCGGCTTCATCTTCCCAATAGCTAAAACAATCTCCATAATACAGATCAAAGAAATATTAAAATAATCAGCTCTCTTCCATAATGGGGTGCTGTGTGGTTTCCTATACATTAGGAGGAACCTCTAGCCTCAACCGCTTTTCTACCCTTCAGGCCTTTAACCCTCTCAAAACTGAAGTACATGTACTGTGATTAAACCTGAGCATCCAAACATGCAGCACCTGAATTATCAACATAACCAAACAAAATATTTTATTGACAGGCGCATTATAGTTTTATTATGAAAAACAGTTGCCTCAAACAAGCACAAGCTTACAAGTAATGGCTACTATAATTAAGGTTACGATTGTTAAAAACAAGACTGAAAGGTACAATGAAGAAATATCTTGACTCAATGCAGCCAATAATTCATATCCTACATAATGATCATTCTTGTCATGTAATATAAACTGCAGTCTTACAAAACTTGTGACTAGGACTGAATCCTGCATATTTAAATTTATGTGATGTACTATTACAATTAAAAATAATTCATTATGACAAAAATATACTCTCTCGCAGTGACTCATTTTAAAAATGTAACCAACTACTACTGAAACAAAATTATTGGCTCAAAAAGTTCCTTACCCACCTAAAACCAAATCAAATATGTATTAGAAACAGTAACATGACAAGAGTAACCAGTGTGCCCAACTTCATGCCAATACATGAGAGAAATTAACAATTACTAAAAAAACAAAATGGCAAATGAATAAATTTGCAATGTTTTCTTTTACTTTCTGATATTTTATTGCATTCCTTCTAGTGTTTTAAACCACAAGTTTTTTTTTTGGAGCAGAAAGGTAGGTAGGGCATAATCTCGTTAAGTGCTTCAGGCCAAGAATATATTCCCAGCAGTTTAAGTCTGTCTGTGAGACCTGAAGTTCATTCTGTTACACTGTGCATACACGCTGCAAGTGTGTGACCAAATGTACTCTCTTATGAGCATTTATGGAAATTTTTAGAACATGGAAAGCGAGGACTTTGCTGAGATGACACATCATGCATGCTTGCAGCCCATGGTGTGTTGTGTGGGATCCACATTTTTAAACCTGTCTCGGCAGCAGAACTTTGTAACAAAATTTAATCATGTTCAAACATACACTAGAAAAACCTTCTTGAACCTCGTATATTTATTTCATCATTGCCAAAGTTTGAATAAAGTACAGGGTTTAAGGACTAGGAACCACCAGTTTCTTTTTACTGCAGCCTCTAACTGCACAATGGGCAAAAACATACAAAGAATGACAGTTATGTAAATTTTTGATTTACAAAAAGTAAATGCTCTTCTTCGCTCTTTGAATGATTATTCACTTCATTCTACACATTCAAACACGGACAAATATAATATCTACAGAAGGTGAAACTAAGAAAATATAAAAAATGACATGAATCCATCATCAAGGAGAGTGAAACTAGACTTGTAGAAAAGAAACTAATATCTACAGATCAATACTAAAACAATACACTTATAACTCCAAAAACAAATGGTTCCCATGTTTCAAGTTTTGTCAGTACTGCAATGCTGGCGGAAAATGAAGTCGCATATCTGGCAAAGGAACCTAAAGCACAACTGTAACTACACAACTGGAGTGTTTCTACCTATTCACAGCAATCATACATGGCACTATGTGCATTTACTTCTTTTCTACTTAAGTTAATAATTTTATAAATGCGGTACATAGAACAGACATAAATATCTGATTCTGTTTAAAAATTGCACACTTCAAGACATATTAACAGTGATCTCAAAATGTGATTTTATTAACATTTGGCTGTAGTCATGTAATTTCAACCAGTGGATCCAAATAGGGTACTATGAATTTGTGTTACACCAGTGTATGATTATTTGAAACACAATTGAAAATTTCCATTTTTAATGTCAGGTTTAACTATGTGCTGCAGCTTTTAACTATTACACCATCTTTGCACTAACCATTAGGCTCTCACATTTATTTGTACCAGCATCACAGCCAACCCCGTCCATTTCAATCAACAATATCTATCACTGAAATATATGTAAGAAACACTGCAAGATTTTTTGAATTATATATTTATAAAACTTTCTGCACATACATGGACAGATACTGATTCTAGTTTAGTAGTAATTATAGTTACCCCAACCCTGGTTGTAACCCCCATACCCTGTCTGAGAATAGCTCCAATTCTGGTAGTTGGCATAGTTGGGATCACTGGACTGGGTATATTGTTGATTGTACGGTGGCTGGCTGTAGGCCGCTGGTGGTTGTTGGGGCCCTGTAGGTGGGTACTGCCCTCCCTGGTAGCCTGCCTGAGTTGGAGGTTGCTGTGAATATCCTCCTGTTTGCCCATAGGTAGGAGGTGGATACTGTCCTGTTCCAGTTGTTGCTGTTTGTGGCTGAGCCCCACTTGGAGTTTGTGGAGCCTGTTGACCTGTGCCACTGTGTGTTGCCTGCGGGGAAGAATGTGATGACGTGTGGCCTGAATGTACTTGAGTGCCGTCCACAACTGCAGAAGTGTTCTTTGCCTTCTTGGATGTACCATCCAAGCTGTTGAAAAGTATACAATATGTAATCCTGAAATTCACTTCTCATTATATTTGTTGCACCATGTCCATTACTACGAATGCTACATTAATCCTACTTCACAAAGTACAGGCATCAAAGAGTGCAGCAAATGTTTACCAAAAAAGTGGGGGGGAGGGTACACAATGTGAAACACTCTTTACTGTATACTTGCATTCACCACAACACTGAAGCAGTAAGAGGAAACAAGAAGCAGCTTAACATGGGATTTTGTTACAGCTTTTACATAGTTATGGATACTCCTAAACCTATCAAATGACTTACTTTTTGGCATCCAGTTCTGGAGACTTCTTCTTCCTATCTTTTGCCTGCTTGAAATAACGCTGAAATTCATCGTGTGCTCTCTGAACACTGCAACAATAATATAAATAATAAATAGCAACCCTTGCCTATTTTCTTGGGGCAGGGAAGGGGGAAAGTTTTAAATGTCATACCAAGTCATGAATATTATATCAATTTCAGTTAGAAACAAACAGTTTTTGTGTGAGATGGTTCTACAGATGAAGCATGTCTGATGCAACAACAGTGTTGGGTACACACCAAATATCTGGAGATGAATTCCAACTCACACCGTCCAATAACATCACATCTTTTTGCGCCTCTGGCAGAGAGATGTGAAAACAAAGTGTATGGTTAATTTAGAAACCTGCTCATAAATTATATGACTCATTCAGATATTGATCTAATATTTAAATCACACTTATAGTGATCAAACAGTATACAGGCTTCCAATAAATTCAAACTCATTTCACAATGCTAAATACGGCTTCAATCTAAGTAAATCCATACATGATCCAAGCCAACAATATAAAAAATTCAAAGTTTTATGATCTTAAATTTCAGTTAAGCAAAAGCTCATTTTAGTTGGTGTCTGTGCACACAAGGTACAAGTTGAAATGTGATCTGAAATCAATTTATAAAATATTCAATTAACAGAACAAATTCCTCAATTAATACTGCATTTAAAGTGTTCCGTTATTTGGAGTCCAGTTTCTTTAATCAACAAATTACTACAGTGCTAAATTTCCTTTATCATGCGTGGGTATGTAGCAGAGGTGGGGGACAAGCAACCGAACACATAATTCTCACTGTACAACCATAAGCATGGGAGACCTAGATGTAGATGAGAGGATAATACTAAAATTAATCTCACAGAAATGGTTGCAAGTATGTAATTCCTTCAGAATAGCCTCTAATGACAGGCTTCTGTCATCATGGCGGTGATTGTCTGTACAGCATACAGAGCACTTCTCATTACCCGATTACCTGCTCAAGTACAACCTTGCATGAGTAAATACAATTTAAAACCTAGTGTTTAAACAGTTGTTTCCAAAATATGAGCATGTTTCATACCTTTACACATGCTTTCAGTGTCATATGAGCATATGTATTATTTTAACTTAGAAATATTTAAAGATAATAACAAAGTCATGTACCTGAGAATATCTGATCCAAAATCTTCAAGGAACTCAACTTTTCTCTGAGCAAAGAGAACTTTTTGTTCTGGGTCTGTATCTCTGGATAGGAACTGATCGATAATAAAAATGATGTTGTTTTCATCCAGAGGATTCACTTGCAGACCCATGTCAATAAGCTGGAGATACAGACGAGGATTGTCCTGCAAGTATACAATATATATATATATATATGTTCTCAAATTATACTGTATTATATTACAAGAACTGGTCTATTAGATAATAGCAGCAAAAACTGTGACATTACCAGATTTTAGTTGATAACGCTTCAGCAACTCTGAAGTGTAAGTACAACTGTTGGCAGGAATCGATGTTACTAATGAAAAATGCTGAATAAAAAAAAAGCACCACTTTACAAAAGAATTCTTCTTCTTCTTTTAGTATTAACACTCTGGTAGCAGAATATAACTTTATTTTTTGCATCACGTTGTATGTATATAATTAAAGTACAGGGATCCATCTACAAAACTAAATATAAAGTTTAATAAGACTACTAAACTGCTACTGTTAGCATTATTATTACGCTCACCATGACATGTTTCGATATACTGATTACCAATCTCAGGTGGCTTTACAAATACATGTATGGTTATCAAACTGCATTAAGATGCGAGTTCCACCTGCTGAACATCATCCTATGATCAATTTATCATTTGGAATAACAAAATCCACTCTATGGGGATTCCCACATAAGAAATTACTTCTGCACCCTTGTCTGGCAGATCAGAGGCCAGAACATTCAGTACTGACTTTTATCTCAAGGCACCAAACAAGAAACAAGTCTTTCATAAATAAAATACTGTATTATGATGCATATGAATGAGGAACCAAATTCCGAACACCTCCAAGTAGCCCTCTTGTATTATATACACTATTTTTAATTATGCCAAATTTGCCAATATTCAGTATACCTCCGGTTTTTGAAAATGAAATTCCACTGCACACAGTTTAGGAGAACTAAAAACAAAGATGTCTAACATATGGCCATAAAGGAAAAGGTGGAGGGACCAAGCGTGGAAATATATATACATATAAGAAAACAGGCAAAGACTGGACCCAGATATGAATGGGACACTTTTGGCAGGTACAGAAGAATCAAACAGGATTCTTTTGTAAGCTAATCCACCATGATAAGATGTGTGAAGGGATAATTAGAAAAGAATATAAAAAGAAACGTTCCAGAGAGGTGAAGGCACAATGCCATCAAGGTGAAGAGATGAAATGGAGACAGTTCTATTCATTCTCAACTTTGGGACTAGATGCAAGTATGAGCTTAATTTCATGTTCTAGACACTATTCCCCATGAAAGCACAACCAGGATACAATGGATGGAATTTTGATGTGTTCCTGACCGTCTCTGGTATGATGGTTAACAGAAAAATTTTGAACACTTTACAGACAACTGTATATATCAGCTGCTCTATCTGTAGCCAGCTTTATAACAGCCAGACTGAGGAGGTGGCTAACTCCTACTGAAGCACAGAAAAAATAAGGGGGGGAACTCACCTTATCCTTCTCAACAGCTTTATTCAAAATAGAGACAGCTTTCTCAATATCTCCTTTTACCTGTCAAAGAAAAATAAATATTATACATGTTCACAGTTATGCAATGCAGCCACCTAAGAGAAGATTTCTGCCACATGTATCCATTTCGACGCACTGCAGCAAAAAGAGAACAAAATATACTGGCCTTCTGATGGCACAAGGAGGTATCTTACCTCAGTGTTAAGAGCGTATCAAAGTGAAGTGGAGGCATTGCTCTTGTTCTCGCCTCAAACTGCTGAAAGTAGGAACCAAGATTTAACATGATGTGATATTGGCCAGAATAGTGTTCACCTGTGATTTTTAGTGTATGGCTTCTTCACTGCCTTTTCTGATGAAGGGTTAACTATTCCTGTTTCCACATATCCCCACCTTACCCAATATTTGGGGGGGTGGCATTATAAAAAGACTACAATGGAAAGTCAGCACTTATCAGAAACAGGTTACTGCATACAGAAAAAATACACAAGTGGTTGGAGTAGAATACAAACAATTTCAAAGGGATACTGCATATACATTTTCCTCACCTTCCAGCAAAATCTGGCATATTTGATAGCCATGTTGTTGGAGATTACTTTATTTTTAGTATTGGAGATATAGTGTTCATACAGAGCACAAACATTTTCCATATTATTACATCGCCTCTCCAAGTTGATCCGCCGGTATGCAACTTGCAGCATGTTGGGAACGAGCTTTTCCAAGTTGTTCAGGATTTCTGAAGCCCTGTCATAATTCCCTGAAGTTAGAAGAGAAAATAAATTACATAACTGAATAAATTTTATTGCCTGCCAAAATGATTAACCACTAATAAACTTCAAATTAGTTAAGAACAGGTAAGATTCAAGTCTTATCCTAGGTACCAGCTATACTCAGGGTCCTGCTCTCCATCCTGGGAACCAGGACTTCCAAAAGTCCAAAATGCTTCTTGCTACATACTTCCCAGTTCATCGTATCCAGTCATTCTCAACTCTTGCCTAATGAGTAGTCTCACTGATTACATAACAACTAATGTAATAAAAAAGTAAAGCTATCCCTGTAAGAGGCCATGAAGGCCCGTAAGGTTGTGAGACGTTGAGGATCCCACATTATCTAGAAAATGGGCTCAAAGATGGCTGTAAGTTGTCAGCCTTACATGCCGGTCGTGCTTTACTCCCCATGAAAATTATTTAATCAATTCCTGGTACTCATTTCTGTTAGAGGCTGAGTCGACCCCAGGGCCATAGTGCGGCTGGAAGGATTAGGTCATTTGAAAAAAATCCAATCACCTCATTGGGACTTGAACCCATGAACCAAGATTTAATTTCTGGACAAAAGAATAAGATCCAAAGTTACTTACCATGGCTTTCTTCAAAGACTGCCCAATGAAGATGGAGATTTGGTTTCTTTGTGTGATGGATAGTGCAAGCTCGCTCATACACGTTGCGGATTTTGTCCATCATATCTCCTTTCAGGCTTTCAAGATAACGGATGAACTAAGAAAAATAAAGGCAAGAAGACTGTACAGGTAGTGAAACTTCATTTAAAGTTCTTCAGGGAAGAAGTAAATGTGAATACTGAAACAAGGAAACTCTCTCTCCTCCACAGCACCCAGACCAGCTGTGGTGCCCATTCTACTTCCTATACAACAGGTACAAAAGGCTCTTTCCCTGGGGTAAAGCAGCCAGGATGTGATGCTGACCACTCATCTCCATTTAGTGCCAAGGTCAACACCGGTGGAGCTACACTTCCACTCCCCAATTCACCTTCATGGCATGGTGCTTAATTAAGCTAAGGGAAAACTTCGCCTTTACATACTGAATCAAATGCTATTTCAAAACATTCAAACTGACCATGGTATATGTTGTGTGAACTTTATACAGTAAGTATGGCAAGCTGGAAGTACCTGTTTTCTTCTGTGCCTCAAAATTAACTCCGTCTGCTGGTGAATGACTAGCAAATAGTGATTATAAACTTTTTAAATGAATAAATAATTACAAGATGTCAAAGATTTTAAAAAATAGTAGTACTTTTTGGAGGGAATATCTGGGTCTCTCAACACAATACATGACTCGGAAGAGCTGGTTAATGATAAATTTTCATAAAAACCACCTGACAGACCAGATACAATGAAACAATGATATTATGAGAACCTGCCCATAGGGTTATCAAAAGTTGAGGCCATCACATTTTTTAGACAATCAGCTCACAGATGGCAGTGAGGTGGTCAGCCTTATGCACTGGCCGCCCTTTACCCCCAGGAATATTCCTGGTACTCATTTCTGCTAGAGGCTGAATCAACCCCAGGGCCTTCCAATTACATACAACTACAATACGACACCAATATTTGAGTAATAATGTGCATGTAGCAATATTTCTTCTTTTGTGTGATTATCACGGGAATACAAAAACAACAAATAATTCAACACTCCCATTATTGCTAGCATTATCTGAATTCACATGACCTCTTCTACTTGTAGCCAAATGGTAAGTAGATTATGCCCTTCATAAGCAAAAACCTTGCCCACTATTTTCTGCGTAATTCCAAGTCCCACCCGCATTCTATCCACAATTCACTGCGTGGGCACAAATTTTATGAAACTTAAAAAGGCCATAATATCCAACCCATAAATCACTGACTACACCCATAAAGATGTATGATAATGGTTGAACAGGCAGATTATCAACATTATGTAACTGTACACTGTTTTAATTATACCTACCTTGATCCAGAATTCTTCATACAATGCACAAGCAATGAGACACCTTTCAAAGAGGATAATAATCCGTTCCTGGTCACCCTGTTCAATTTCATAATCCAGATACTCTTTCCAATTTTTCAATTGGCAGCGTTCCAAAGGTTTCACATGGAAGTATGGTCTCTTTATCTAGCGAAAGAAAAATTACAAAGTAATTTTAGAAATGACAATACTGAACAACAGAGAGAACAGAAATACACTATGTAATATTTGAGGTTTTCACAGCGGTGACTATGAAGAAAGCAGTCTTCTGGGATGTGGCACTGTGTAGATGTGGTTTTAACAGACATTCCTCTGAAACGTCGGTTAACACGTCTACACGGCGCCACATCCCAGAAGACTTTCTTCAGAACATAAATATACTGTTTATATAATGAAAGGAGAGCCACAGGGAGAGCTACATTATTAAATATGAATGAATCCATGTTCTTGTACAGATAGTTCTGAAGTAATCAGTATTTATATAAGCAACTTTATGTTCTTTTAAAATTATTTTGCTTATATTCCATACCTATTTATTGTTTCTCATTCCAAATATGTAGAATATTGGGGCAAGAACCTTATAATGACTATACCATATAGGTTTGAATTGTTGGACACATGTCTTAGTGTTGGTGTCTTACATCCCGACAATGCACCTGCTCACACGGCACCGTCCGTGAGGCAGGTTTTAGCTAGTAAACAAATAACTGTGCTGGACACCCTAACTCTTTACCGGATCTAGCCCCCAGTGACTTTCTTCTGTCCATGAAGATAAAGGACATTTTTAAAGGAAGGCATTTCTGATGACGATGACATCAGGACTAAAACAATGGCAGCTCTGAAGGCAATTCCACAAAACCAGTTCTAAAATGGTTTTGAAGGGTGGACTAGGTGTTGGCATCAGTGCATAGCTTCCTAAGCGAAGTACTTTAAAGGCGAGTGATATTCAGCAATGGCGTATGTAGCACTTCCATACCACGATGAGTTCGCGAACTTTACTGTCAGACCACGTATTGAAGGAAAAGGTATTGACTGCTAAAGATTACTGTCACTGTTATACACAACAAAATGAACTGTGGAAGTGGAGCAACGCATTGTTATCAAATTCCTTGGAGAAAACGTCCAGTCCACTGAAATTCACCACAGACTCCAACAACAGTATGGGGAAGAGTGTCTCTCACGGACCCGTGAGTTTGAGTGGTGTAAGTGCTTCAGAGAGGGCAGAGAGCATGTGGAGAATGAACCGCATCATCGTTGGCCGCGAACATCCATCACCCAGCCGAACATTGATCGTGCAGACGTGCTTATTCCTGAGAATAGGAGCATCACTATCAAGGAACTTAGAGTAAGATCCGATCCAAGCGGAAGACAGGTGGAAAGCTCGTAGCTTTCCTTCAAGACAATGCATACCCCCATATGGCCAAAACAACAATGGAAACCCTTCGGAAATTGAAATGGAACCTTCTGACACATCCGCCGTACAGTCCCGATTTGGCCCCAAGTGATTTCTACCTGTTCAGAAGGCTCAAATCAGACTTGCAAGTCATGTGGTTTGTGGACGACGCCTTCATCCAGACTGTTCAGGAGTGGATACGCCGCCAACCACAAGTCTTTTTTTTTGGGAGGGGGCATCAGGAAGCTTCTGGAAAGTTGGAAAAATGTGCTGACTCCGGAAGGGAGTATGTTGAAGACTGACATGTTCAAGTAAGTGTTTGACAATTATGTTTTTTTTAAATCAGTCCCAGTCATATTTGAACCACCTAGTAACTTCAGGACTATATGAATATGAGTGGTCACGTTTATGCCCCAGCCACTGGGGTAAGAGCTTCCAGAATCCACTGAGCCCCAGAAACAATCCAGACCATCTGGAAACCGAACCCTAATTCCTTGGTTGTCCATCACATAGCACAGTCTGTATATATATATTCAGTTCACACCTTGCATTATGGTACCATCACCCTTAGCCAACCTGGCCAGTTTGTCTGGAGACCAGCATGAGGCAGGAACAAGGCATGGAAAATACAATAAGCGATGTTTACCAAAAACCTAGCCTAGTGGTACTACCAACAATTCCAACTGGTGACTAGAGATATAGAGAGAGCGAGAACAGGCTAAATGGACCTCAATTTTGGGGATCATGACAGTAAAAACCTCAAGAACGTTAATTAAAAGCACAGTGTACAAATTTAGATGGAAAAAGTCTATCTAAATATTCACTTACCCCTTCCTCAAAGTTCCACCTGTCTGCTACAGCACTTACAGTTATCTTGTGTATTTTCCTACGAATGGAGATAATCCTTTCCCTCAAAGCTGTGGTTTCTTCATCAGTTTTCTAGTGTGAGAAAAATTACATTAACAGAACTGTGGGTTCAGAATAGAACATATCTGATGTGAACTCGTATCATAAATTATGCCAGTTATTGGACAACACCATATTTACCAAATACAAGACATTTAATATATATATAATGAATATAAATGGAATACCTGCAAAGGTTCCTGATTTAAAAATGAAAGGGAAAAAGACCCAAAGATTTAACCCACATAAAGATCACATCACTTCCCCCAAAGTATGAAAAAGACTTTAGAAAGAAGAACATCTTCAGAAATGAGCTGTAGTTGTGAACAGCATTCAGGCACATTTACTTACAACCACTGGCTGTTCATCTGGTTCCTCTCCTGGCGGTGCTTCAACCTCTTCACCTGGAGCAGTGTCATCAGCAACAGCAGTTGGCTGATCATATTGCTTCAACATCTGAAGAACTTCCCGCCGAAGTGTTAAAAACTCATCCACAGAAAGCACTTTCTGTGGAGGGTTACTGCTAATATGCTCCTGAAAACTTAAAGTCAAAATTATGGTGTTAATGAGGACGCAGCCTTCTGCTTAAAACTATCTACCTTCTGTCTGTCTATCTATCTTATGTCTGTGTGCATTTATTCTGTTTGTGTTGTTCTGCGTGTAGGTAGCGGCCTTGTGACAGGCTGAACCCTCATCCAAGGAGTCATAACTGTGTACAGATTAAGAAACTGAAAAGGCAGCCTAGGTCCACAAGGGCTGTACAGCCATAGACAGACAGATAGATAAGGCATATAGAACAACCAGAAGCAATGGATGGCCAGTAAGGCTGAAACATGTAGTGTCCAACAAAAGGTAAAGGTAAAGCTTTCCCTGTAACAGGTCATGAAGGCCGACAGGGTTATGGGACACTGAGGCTCTCACATTTTCTCTAAACAGTTGGCTCACAGATGGCAGCGAGGTTGTCAGCCTTATGTGCCAGCCACCCTTTACTCCCAGGAAGATCTCTGGTACTCATTTCTGTTAGAGGCTGAGTCAACCCTAGGGCCACAGTGCAACTGGAAGTATTAGGTGAATTAAAAAAAAAATCCACCTCATCAGGACAAAACCACAACCTTCCAACTTGCAGCACAGTGCCTCAACCAACTGTGCTACCACACGCCATGTTAAATAAAGGAATTAAAAAAACAGTGAACAACGTTGCACTTAGCACAAAAACTCCTAAGTCAGATATACTGGCAGACATAATTTCAGAATCTTGTAATAAAGTGCTATCAGTGTCTCTCTGACCTCTAAAGTTAATGTGTCCATGTAGTTAGTACTGACTGAGAAAATAAAAAGCATAAAAATGGGTGGCCTCCAGAGGCACAGCATTCTCACCAATCAATTGGTTCAAACAATGAAACTGGATAAAAACACACACAGATAATGCACAATTTCTTTACTTAAGAGAAGGTAAGGATGCTAAAAATTGTAATACAACATGTATATTTCTACTTAAGGCCACAAAAACAATCAAATTTTGTGCATTTCTGTTAATGATGAGCCAAAGTAGAGTTGTGTGACAACAGTGCCTGGAAAACCAGGTGAGCGTGGAAATGTTACCAGCAGACAAGTGAAAGAAAATAATCTATATGTGCATGAAGTTAAAAATAGACCAAGCAGATTATAATATTCTCATCTGACAGATGAGGAAAATTTTATAAAATTCTTCTATAAAACACCTCTTAACAACAATTAATACTAACTACATTTATGAATAATCTTACTTGTCAAAGTGGTTGGTATAGCCCTGTGTAGGTGTAGTCAACAGCCGATCATACAGATCTGTAACATTCTGAAGTCTTTTACCCTCATTTTCCCATTTGATGTAGCTCTCCCAGAGGCGATCCGACCTGAAACAAGTACACAAACATAAAATATACAAACTACATAAAAAACAGTAAAATTTGTCACAATAAACTTTGACAGATCACTTCTGTATAGAGACTTAAGATTTTAATTGTGCTTGAGGAACTGGAGAATATTATGCCCTCTGCTATGGCTTGCAGCCTACTTCAAGATATAGATCTCAATCTGTCACCCATGATTTTAAAATGGTGTACAAAATAACAACCTTGTACATCAATTCATCCAGGGATCAACTACTGATTAGCCTTTTTACGTTCATCAGATCATGGAGAAAAACTGGAGTACAACAAAACAGTACACTGATCATTCATAAATTTTAAGAAAGTTTGTGATTCAGTTAGAAGGGAAGTATTGTACAATATTCACACTGAGTTTGGGCAACCATGAAACTAGTTGGGCCTATTAAAATGTGTTTAAGTAGACACTTGTCTGATATAAAGACTTGTATCATCTAGGATATAATGCTGCCTATGACACTCAAGCTTAAAGTTCTTTACATAAACTCAGTTGAGTATATGAATTAGAACCAGTGCCATTTCTTTACAAACTGACCTTTTTGTATCATATAGGACAGGAAAGCCTCATACATGTCACAGAAGTGAATATGACACACCCACTGATCTGCACACGTATTCAATTTGTGAAACAAATTCGAAACTTCATTTCAAATAACTTAAATATGCTACGGGATCATCATTATTTCTCAAATTCAATTTTGTACAGAAAAAAAAGAAAGGAAGAAAGAAAAGAGAAAACTGCATTTTCGTAAGAATGATGTACAGGGAATGAGAACACTTCCATAAAACCTACATTTATCAAGACTTCACTTTGTTCAGGTAATTAAAAATTCTCTTACCTTCTAATAAAGAGCATATACTTATATAAATATATCATAACTATTATGAACAGAGTGCATTTCTGCAGGGTAGACCTGTACTAACTACATTTACAAGCACAATGATAGAGAAAAATCAGACTACGTATCAACATAAAAAATCTTTCTTGCTAAGTCCATCAATATTCCACTGTAAGAATGAAAATTTAACTTCCAGATCATTCTGATTTATAAATTAACATAGGTGGATTGCTTTCACTTAAAAAAGTCTCTCAAGGATAGTGTACTTTTTGACCTGGATGTTACATCATCACTCAGAGGACATTAAGAAATTCTTCCAGAACAGTACTCTTACATACGATCATAACAAACCAATAACCAGGCATAATCACTTATCCATTTTGACAGAAACATGTGAAAAAAATAATCATTAGCAATAAGAGGCACGCGTGTGGACACACACCCCCCAGAGATTTATGTTAAAAAAGTACAATTACACAATAAATTACACCAATTCAGATTAAAAATCCATTAGACTGCAGAACACAGACTTGCCCACAATTCTGATCACATACATGAACAAAAAAATCCCTTTCCTTAAATAGGGCTTTCTGAAAGTACAAGCTAAACATACTCAGAATACATATAAAAATAAAATATACTTTATATGAGGATTTGGTACAGCAGTGTACTATGGGGTTGGATAGTTGTTCAATTCCCTTCAGGGGGAAGACATTTTTCTCTATTCCACAGTGTCCAGACCAGCTCTAGGGCACAACCATCCTCCTATACAATCAGCACTGTGGGCTCTTTCCTGGGGGAGGGGGGATAAGTGGCCAGAACATGAAGCTGACCACTCACCTTCATCTAGTGCAAAGGTCAAGAATAGTGGAGCTATACATCCACTCCCCCACATGTCTTCATGGTCTGGTGCTTAATTCCTTTTTCTTTTTGCTTGTGTTATGAAGAAACTGCTCAAAGATTGATAAGAAGTTGAAAAAATCACAAAGTAAAACTCTTTTTGTGATGACAGATGAAAGTTGTTCAAATGAAATTAGTCTGTGGCACTCCTTGAAAACATGGTTCAGTCATAGGTGATCATGTGGCAGTGGGCATGAAACACAGTCAGTCAACCACAAACTGTGCAACAATATAGTTGCATCAGGGCAAGATGGAAACACATGAAATGGTTAAACTGTGGGTTCCACATGCAGGTTCTACCCAAATAAGACTGGCTGGCTTTCAAAGACCCTGATATCACCATCAAAGCTCAGCTACAATGTGAAACCCTACAGGGCCTTCATACCATCATCAAAAACCATCATGCGAAGCTCATGCGTGGTAGCACTGTGTTGCATGACAATGCCCATCTCCCTTACAAGACCTGTCAGTGTCATTTCCATGTGGTCAAGTCCTTCAAGAAAGTACTAAAGGGCATTAGATTTAGGTCGGATGAAGATGTCAAGGTGATGGTTCCAGCCAAAGCAGTCCACATAATTATTTACAAACAGAATCCACTGGCTGGAGAGTCAATGTCTCTTAACTTCTTTGTCCAGAATAATCCCTAAGTGAGTTTCATCAGAACATACATCAAATTATTTTAAGAGAAATATGGACTACTTTTTACTATTATATTGTGACGAAACACAAATACACACTGAAATACTATTTTCTGTCATTCATTTTAAGGCACTGCTAATCTACAATTATACAGAGGCAAATGGAAGGATGACCGATGAATTTGGAAGGACTTAGAAGGAGCAGCTGTGGCCTAGTCGAGATATTATCCAAGCATCCGCATAAAGAGACTGAAGAAAACCACAGAAACCCTGTCATGAGATCCCATATCCAGCTAAGAATCAAAGTGAGCACCTCGTAAATACAAACCAAGAGTGTTTCTGCTATACAGATCAGTTCAGTGTGAAACACTATTAAAACACTATATAGTCAATAACATGTACAACAAGAAAACAGATACTACCATGGTTGTATAAAAAATCGTAACACATACTTTGCATCAGCTTAGATCTGATACAAACTTAAAAATAAAACCACAATAAACACTTACCATTAAAGATTCTATATTATTAACATTTTTTTTAAATCCATAGTATTTCTCTAACCGCATAAGAGTCAAGTCCTTACCACATCTCATTACACATAAAACACATGCCATGAAGAGAAAAAACTTGAGAGAATGGTGTAAATTAATTTGGATTGTAGCTGTAATATAGTTTATTGCTTTCTTATACAAGAAAAGACATATGCAAATGATCTATGGGGCAATACACAACCTAAACTTAAAAATCTGATTTACATTTCACAGTAATAGTAGTTATGGCAAGGATTAACAACAAATTAAAATGACTAGAACAATTATCTAATTATGCCAACATGCCTGAATTCCATTCCACATGCACTGATGGCTTTCTCAAATTGAGCACGGAGATGTTCTTCATCCTCAGGGTAGGTTGCCTTCGAATAATTGAGGAAGTGGATCCAAAGATCCACACTCAGAGGGATGGCCTTCAGTCCACGTTCAAACACCTATGGAAACGAACCCACTTCTCTTAACATTGCATGGTCTAAAAACCAGAATATCTTTACATGACCTGGCCCACAACTAACATATTTACTTAAGTCTAGAAACCCATCACATCACATTATAGCAATAGCCAGATTAGCAATACAGTATCACCTTACAGACGCATGGCCAAAGGTCTTCGGTGCAGATTTCCCAACCATGAGCTCCCAGGACCTTTTCTTCTTTCAGCCCCATTCTTCCATATGGAAAAGGGCCGACTCCAACAACTTACACGATTTTATCCTTTCAAGACTATGAATGGGGAAAGACAGTTACATTCACTTGTTACTGGCATCCCTCTGCCTTCCTTACCATTTCCTATATAATGCAGAAAGTTTTGGCATCTTAACCTAAAGTGCCAGATACATATTGTATCTGCACCATTAACTACACATCATTTATCAACATCTATATAAGTACATACAAATATTATAAGATATCAACAAGCCACACAAAATTATGCAGAATACTTAAAATTAGTCTAAATTAACTACACAATTAATACAACACATTTATCACCAACATCTCAATTATTTTCCAGTGCTTTAACTAGAAATTTCAAAACAGCACAAGAAATAGTTATATCACTATTTGCACAACACTTCTGTGTTTCTATTCATACATGAATAGCCTGTGCCTAATTACAAATTGCACAATCTCACCTTGAAATAAAACATAACGTTGCACATTTATATTTTTGCCAACATACTATGAATGGTACACAATTGCACACAAGAAAGTCCAGTTACCATGTATTTTAATGTTACAGAGATTTCCTGGCAGTCTTATTGCCATTTGAAATGCAACAAACGGGTAGCCAAAGCTGGGCAGGAGCTGTTGAAGCTGTTGAAAAGAACAGTGTTATTTTGAGAAGTATCTACTCTGTTCACAAAGTCTGTTTCCTTTAAGTCTAAACTTTTAAACATAAATTATTCTCCTCAAACACAATAAAATGAACATAAAGCATTTATGGTTTATATACTCCACATACCACATTGGCTTGTGAACAGAAAATATAGGAGTGACTTATTAAATTACAATGGAAACCACATGAAGAATCATGTGTATTAAAAATTTACACTAATATTAAACATACATTACCAACAAACACTCCAACAGTGATTATGATGGTTTCCACTGAAATTTATATTCAATTTATATGTCACTGTTCTCTCAAAAAATCTTTTCAACCTTACCTCTTCACACTTCTCTTTGTTGCCTTTTCTCTTCTCATAGTCCGCATATTTGCGCCAATATCCGTAACAGTACGGATAATGCGACAAGAAAGCATCATATGCCTCACGAGCTGCTTCAATATCATTCTGAAAAGAAGAGGTGTGATAAAGAAAATCTTACATTGAAAATGACTGAAAACTTTCCTGCCTTATGCATTGACAGCACAGGCTTCCTCATACAGGGTGAATCGTATAGAACCGGCCTGATAAATTTGCTAATAATTCCACAGGTGATGCATATAACCACTCACAATTACGACATAATAATCTGTGGGCCATGCTGAGTCGAATGGTGTGTGCATGATCCGGCAAGTGGCAGCCCTTATGCTGCAAGGTCAAGGACAATGCCGAAGCGTGTCTGCAGTGGGCAGGCAACAGTCATGGAGTACACTGCTGAACAGCGAGCGTTTCTAGTGCCTACTTGAAAACGCCAGACACTTTCAACACCTGCTCTGATCACGGTACACAATCCAAGATAAGATGTGTGTAATTTACTTTAATATCTGTATGGTATATCACACCTCATTTCATCAGGCCGGTTCTATATGAACCACCTTGTACTTCTTAGCACTTTATATGCTGAGTATAATATACAATGCTCAAAAACCTCAAACAATCTACATTCACTTGCAACTGATAGCACGAGTGCAACTAACATCCCCAGTCTCAAAGTAATGCAATATATTGTCTCGTGTTGGGTATGTCACGTGACAAATAACTTCACGTGGGTCTCGGATTCAGCGAATCTTTATTGGACACACAATCTTACAGACCATACAATTATTATCGCTTGTGGTATCATGTGACTTCTGCGACATCTCTACTAGGTTTCAACTGTGCTGTATGAAGGCTAGGTCCCAACTGCGTTGTATGAAGGCTAATTAGCTCTGTTGTTCTCGGCTTATGTAGGTGTTATGTGGACCGGATACGAGACACCATTTGCCAAGGTTCAATCTCACGTGTTCGGCAATCCGTTGCTTCGGGAACGCTCTTTATACACTGGTAATGAGTTTCGTCTCATCCGCTGTTACTCAACGGCCTTCTGTTGTTATGATTTGTCACTGTGGGATCTCCACAATTTCCATTGCAGCCGCTGCATGGCAATGCACATAAGATAACTTGTCACAATATTAACAAGTACATTTGAAAAAGGGAATGGAAACAGTGTGCGCCATTATGAAGCCACATAATCATCTTCTCTTAGGTAGTGATATTGTGAGGCTAGATGAAGACTTCAAACACATCATGGACTTCATTTAAAAAACTTTTGTCAGCACTGAAAAAATATCTGTTAGTCTACTGTATGCAAAACACTGTTTCAAGAATGGGCACATCAGCCAACGAGTCACAATGGCATGGCAATAATTAATTGGCTACCACGATTCCCTTCAAACTAGGATAAGTATAAGCGCACGCGTTAGGGCACCCAAATTCAAGAATACAACATGCTCTTCTTGTCACCTATGATTTAAATGGCGCACCAGGATACAAGATACAGACATACTGACCCAACTAGACACCCGTGACATTCAAATACAACCATATATTTCACATACCTCTTGGTCTACATACTGGAGTAGGTATGTCCAGCCAGTAAAGTCAGAAGGGTCCTCCTTCACAGCTTTCCAATATTTCTCTAACTCAGGCAGGGACTTGCGAGCCTTCGTGACAGGTTTGGCCTGAGTTCCACTGCTTGCATTACTGACAGCTGCTCGTTTGGCGGCAGGACTCTCGTCACAACTGTTCTCTGAAGTAGGAGAACTTGGATCATACGTGTCTCCATCCAGAAGCTTTCTCTTCTTTGCCTCAGAAGAGCGAGCTTTCTTCTTGCCTGCTTCAGGTTTAGATACATTACCTACAAGTTAATACTTATACTTTCACCCCTAAAATGGTGGCATAAATGGACACATATGATCTCAGTTTTCAACTGTCTGGAAACAATTTTGGTGATGAACCAATAAAATTTCTTTGTGGTATACAGCAATTTTAATACCACCTGCTCATCCATGAAATCAATTTGTAAAAAAGTAAAGCTAGTCCTGTACCAGGCCATGAAGGCCCATAGGGTTGTGAGACGTTGAGGGTCCCACATTATCTAGACAATCGGCTCAAAGATGGTGGTAACGTTGTCAGCCTTACATGCTGGCCGCGCTTTATTCCCCAGGAAAAATTTTTAATTAATTGAAATCAATTTGTAATGTATAACATGACTAAAAAGATTTCAGTGACAAAAATAGTGCACACTAAGAGCTGAACAATTTATTCCTAGAATATGCATTTCAAAAATTCACTTGCTTGCTCAATCAGAATGTGCAAGTTATCAGAGAATCATACGAAGCAAACTTCAAGACTATGGGTGAAAGAATTCTGTAAAGCCACCAGAAGGACGAAGCTGCATTTCTGGGGCCCTGGTTGGTACACGAGTAACATGAAGGGTGAAACAACTTAAATGGTGCATCTGAAGGCTGTTATAGATAAGAGTAATAATCTACTGTTGTAATGAACTGAATAAAGAAGTTAAATAGTTAAGAGGTATGACTTAAAACAATAAAAAGTAAAGCTACCCCTGTAGCAGCCGTGGAGGGCCACAAGGTTTGAGGCTCCCACATTTTCTAGACCATCAGCACACAGATGGCGGTAAGGCCAGCCTTACACAGCCACTATCCCTTACACCCAGGATGACTCCTGGTGCTCGTTTCTGTTAAGAGGCCGAGTTGACCCCAGGGCCATAGTATAGCTAGAAGGGTTAGGTCAATTGAAAAATCCAATGACCTCACTAGGAACTGAAACTGTGACCTCCTGGCTTGTGGCCGTTGTGCCTCAACCAACTATGCTACCATGTGGCCCAAAGCGGTACAACTACGTATCAGAAACTGTCTTCAAAGGTTAATATCAGGATCACTGAGGTATTTATACAGCAAGCTGTATTTACACATATGCTCAAACACACACAATACAAAATATTTCCACTTGCATCCACTTACAGCTGCCAGGCATGACATCCAGGAACGTCATTTGGCAGATTTCCACCATGTACGTAATGTGTTCAAACTACCCTTTTCAGAAACAACTTACACCATGTCAGCAAGTTATAATGGTGTAGATATAAGTTTTTATTCACATTTACCTGAAGCAGCTTGCTTTGCTGCAGCCCTCTTCTTCTTTTTGTCTGTTTTCTCCGGTGGGAGTTCATCTTCTGAAACAGCTTCAGTCTCTGGCAAATCTACTGTTGCTGTGGGATCTGGGAGTTCTTCATCTGACACTGCTTCTGTTTCTAAGGGTTCCTTTGAACTTTCTGTTGGAAGTTCATCCTCTGATACCATTTCAGTATCAGGCTCAGTCCGGAAATCACTCTCCTGCAAATTATGAAACCTCAACAACCTTCAGCCCAACACACACATTAACATTATACAGACCCAAAAGGACATCCAGACACTAAACATGCAGCCATGTAAAAGTGTGTATCTAAAGATAAAACAGAACAAGACAACTTTTTACCAATATTATTTAATAATCCACAATTTCAACTTACTTTACCATTATGACTAAAAAAAAAAAACTCCATTATTTTAGTACAGAGGTCTGGGTTCGATTCCCGGAGGTACCACATTTTTTCTGAGAAATAGTGGGTCTGGAACGGGGTGCACTCAGCCTCGTGATCATAATTGAGGAGCTATTTCAAAGAAATAGCGGCTTCGGTCTAGAAAACCGAAATTAATGGCCATGGGGATCCATTGCGGTGACCACGCGACCTCTATCCACAAAAGTTGGCACTAAACTTCACTGACAAGCAGTGGTCGCTCAGTCGGTATAGTTATGACTATATAACTTATACAAATATCCTCAGTAGATCCAAAGGAACAAAACATGTAAAGCCCTATAAATAATGGGATTTATATTAAAATTGTTTACACTAAATGGTCTGTCATTCCAAGAATAATTCACTGCTTACCCCATCTCCAGTTTCTCCTACAGCATCCTGCCCTTCAATTTCATTTACACCGGCTGTTTCGGTCCTCTCTTCCTGACCTCCATCATCTACCACTTCATCAATAACAGTCATTTCCTCCACATTATATTTGACGTCAGTTACGTCCATTTCCTCCTGCGGAAGGGCTTCTTGAACCACTAACAATTCATCTGTTTCAACTTCCATCTGTTCCTCTGGATCTTTCTTTTCAGTTGTGACTTCAGAGTAAATTTCATTTACACTATCATCAGATCTCTCACTTATATTTCTCTCTTCACTAACTATACACTGAATATCTCTATCTTCAGGAACCTCTTGAGATAAACCCTGGCTTCCCTCCAAGCTGTCATCCACACTTGAAACCTCAGACCTGACTCTCAGTCCTGATCGAATAGGAGAGGGCAGAACAACATTAATAGTTGGGGGAGGAGAATCCTCCAATTCAGGTACTTCCCTCTCATCTACACTTTGATTACTATTTTCCTCTTCCAAGCCAGGATCTCCCTCCTCCTCCTCCTCAACCTCTTCCTCTATTTTCTTCTCTGGCACTGAAAATGACCAGTTAAGGACATTGTTACACATACACAAACACAGATAGATCCATGATTATTAGTTTATCTTCAAGAGATGTGAAAATACATATGCCTACTGCTATGACCTGCTGTTTCTCCAGTACCCATATGACAACAACACTATGTGCCACAACACAGCTCAGTACGTTCGATGACTTCTTAACACAGCAGCCTGGATCTGATCCCTGGTCAGGTCATGTCAAATTTGTAATGGGCAAAGTGGCACTAAGGCAGTACTTTGGATTTGCCTGCCAATTTTGATCTCACCAAAGGCTTCGTATACATCAGCATCCCACCTCTGATAAGTCTCAATGTTGAGAAAGCTTCAAACTTAATTAAAGGCCACATGTGAGAAATTTTCAGTTCATATGGCAGATTCATTCATTATTGGAGGGGGTGGGTTTCCCCATGCACCGCGACCAGTTGTTGATCTATTGTACATCCCCCTTTGATATTCTACCAGTCGCCATACCCTTCCGGTACTGGTGCTCACTATCAGCCTCGTTCGGCCCCTCTAGTGGCAGTCGTACCTGATACTTCCCCATCTACCGGAGGCATTGGAAACTACTTGGGCAGGAAACTTTTTACCTAATTTTGCTCAGAGGTCTCCTAGAGACATGAGGATCTTTTATGTGCTGTAAATCTACGACATGGACCCACGGCTTAAAGTCCCTCCCAAAGGACTTGTTCCCTGAATTTTTCCGCCTTTAAAAATTCCACGACCTCCGCCGGGTTTGAACCCGCGTACCTTGAGTCATGAGGTGGGAACGTTACCCCTAGACCAAGGAGGCCGCTTCATATGGCAGATGGTACAAGGATGGGTAAAAGCATACAAGAAATCCAGTCATTCAAAAAATAGGACTGAAATGATGATAGGATGAATAGGATGAAATAATGCTGATACCACCCACTGCTGCTAGACAGTCACCTGAAGGGACACCTTTATAAAATGGGATTAACCAATGATACCACTTGTGAAAGGTGCCTGGAAGAAGATGAGTTAGCCACACATGGCCTCTTGCCCTATGTGATTACAAGGCTGCTTATTTAAGATGTTGTAACCTGGGATAATACAGGACCAGGTAACTACAAAAATGCTCCTTTAAGTAAGATATTACATTTTGTTCAAAGTGTAGCATTGTTGAAGGACAGAAACAGACAGGGATGCACAACATATCACGATCGTCAAGGTGCAAGGACTGGTTGAAAGACTACAATACTGGCCCACCAGCCCATCCATCCAACTTGGACATGATGAAAATTGGCCGACAGTGATTAAAATGGACATCAGTTAAACACCTAACCAGTATTAACTGTCAGGGACACTGGGTTTTCAGACTTTGTCCATCGTCTCGATTCTAAATAACAAAAGACACATTCCAGAAACTGGATCTGTTTCCGTCCTCAGGTGAGGGAAGACACTTACTCTGCTGGGTCCCTTAGAGTAGACAGAGTAGGTGTCTTCTATCACCTGAGGACGGAAACAGACCCAGTTTCCGAACGTTGTTTTTTCTTGGTTATTTAGAATCCTGACGATGGACAAAGTCTAAAAACCGGGTATCTCTGTGTGTTATACACCATCGTCAGAACCCTATAGTATCTAGTATTAACTGTATTAAGAGGTGCAGTAAACATTAGTAATTAAATCAGGTATTATGTATGAAACATAATCTACAATAGGGAAATAAAAGCTTACGTAAGTATTGCATTATCCTTAAGAGTTCTTCTGAAATAAAATGTTATATTAAATATCTATTCTATGTCTATAGCTGGTAACTGTACATTTCAAAGGTGAAAAAAAAACATGCTGAAGACCTGATCAGCAGGTGAACTAACGTGAAATGACTGCCACAAAGTGGCATGCACTAATAATTCTAGCCTTCTGAACATTCAAAACTTATGAGATGGGGAGAAAGATTTACTCTGTCTAAGGAAACTAGATCATTCAAAAACAGTATGTCTGCAACATCACTTTAATGGCAATATGATGGTGTGAAACTAGGGTAAATTATATTAATTCTAATAGTGATACAGCAGCAGAAACCCAGAACAAGATATATCATTTTAATTGTTTCTTGCATCCTGTTGTGTGTTTAATTAAGAGTAGAGTGAATTTACCGACTACACAACACGTTTTTTATTATCACTACACGTTTCGACCTCAAGAGGTCATCCTCAGGTGTATGAACATGGCTATATAATTACACGCGTGTAATGACCTCTTGAGGTCGAAACATGTAGTGATAATAAAAAACGTGTTGTGTAGTCGGTAAATTCACTCTACTATTAAGATATATCACACTCAAATTCACATACCTGCACTACCATTCTCTGGAGGTTCAGTATCACCACTGACACTTCCTCTATCATCTTCATCACTCTGAAGAACTGCAGTTGTCTGTTCTTCTTCTATAACTGTCACAACGTTGGTGTCATCTTCCGCTTCCTCAATCCCTTCTGTAACCTGAGCAGTAAGAATGTCTTCTACAACACTGTCTTCATCTTCTGCATCTTGCTCGTCCTCAATGTTGTGACTGCCTTCTCCTACCCCATTCTCTAATGCACTGCCCTCTTCTGTACTTGTATTCAATGCAGAGAGTAAATGGCCAACCTCATCATCATCGCTGTCACCACCACCATCCTCATCATCATCTTTAGGTGCTTCTGGTGAACCTTGCTCATCAGCATGGCCCTGTGATGTCTCTGCATCTGATATAGTCTGACTCAGTTCCTAAAAAGATTCAATTTATGTTCATGGATTCTCTCAATGGAAAATATATATTTCTGAAGAATTTTCTTCAACAAATCCCTGGAGGAAAATACCACCAAAACTTTTAAGCAAGAATAACTTCCTAAGAGAAAATATTTTCCCTTTGAGAATTCATGGTAGTCTCAATTTAAGTATGTCAGCTTTGAAGGTCACAGGAAGATGACTGACTGAATGACTCTGAATGACGAACTGAGATGTGACGGAAACGGAAATGACGTATTTCAAGGTGTCCCCAAAGGATTTGAAAAAAGGGAATGAGGAAAATAACAAAAACATGTGTCAAGCATTACTCAATGAACTGGTTATCTGCAACTGTCATTAAGACTAGCATGAACTATCTTATCATAAATATTGCTGGTAGTAATAGTTATTATAGGATTCTGAAGATGGTGTCAAACACACTGATATATTGGGTTTTTGGACTTTATCCATCGTCCTGGTTTTTAAGATAACAAATAAAAACACGACGTTTCGGAAACTGGATCTGTTTCCGTCCTCAGGTTAAGGAAAACACCTATTCTGTTGGGTCCGTTAGAGAGAGCTAGCCTCAATCACTGGTCCAGTGATTGAGGCTGAGAACGGAAACAGATCCAGTTTCCGAAACGTCGTGTTTTTATTTGTTATCTTAAAAACCAGGACGATGGATAAAGTCCAAAAACCCAATATATCACTGCTGGTAGTATTTCTCAACTAATTAACTTCATGGTGATGAGCCATTCTTGAGAAGCCGCCAACTGTGCAGCTACTCATGAACTTCGCAACATTTTATGGAACCCAAAGGTTGATTACCATATTCACAAGAGCCCTCCACTTGTCCCTATCCTGAGTCAGACTGATCCAGTCCATACCACTCCATCCTATCAAAGATCCATTTTAACATCATCCACCTGTGTCTTGGTCTTACTACTGGTCTATTTCCTTCTGGCTTTCCCAATAATATCCTATATGCATTCCTCTTCTCCCCATTCGTGATACATGCCCTATCCATATCATCCTCCTTGACTTGATCATTATAATTATGTCTGGTGAAGAGCACAAGATATGAAGCTCCATATCATGCAGTTTTCTTCAGTCTCCCATCACTTCATCTCTCTTCCGTATTTCTCCATTACACAGATTAAAAGATTCATGAAGATGATGTCAGCATTAACATAAGTTTGAGCTCTAAAATGATCAAGGGGCAGTACCAGCTGAAGCAATGTGATAAGTTGGAACAAAACTCAGTCACTTCTCATTAACCTTTCTGGATGTGCACCACAATACTGCAGATAGTGCCCGTGTGGTATAGCTGGTTTGACAGTGTAGGGCAATATGTGATCTGACAAATATTATTTTGAAAGACAAGCTTGAAGACATGGACACGCTGAAAAATACATCTAAACTCCCTGCAAAGGCAACTTCTGTAATGAACACAGGAGAGATCAGAAACCTGTAACTGCTGAATCAGTGGATCAGTTACATACAAACATGGGAAAAATGACAACTAGTCAATTAGTTGGAGAACATAAAAGTGGACCTATCTCTACTCAATAAGTACATCATTCTATTGCCCTTTGTAGCAAAACAGACCATCAAAAACTCTCTTTCAGATTCAAAACTCAGTGGAAATAACTGCAAGGCAACCTCATCCCAAATGACCTGTCATGAGGCTCCTCAAAACAACGTGCATAGGCCAATTGCCAGTCATGACTGTTTTTCGTGTATTCAGCCAAGAAAAATAAACGATCTGTCCATTAAACGCAAAGTCAGTTGATATACAAAAACATGTCTTCACATTTACTATACAAAAGTAAATGAGTTCCATCATATCACAGGAAGGAAAACATTTTCAGAAATGGTATACAACTGAACTGACATGTATTAATGTTCTGTAATGTTGTAATCACAACACTCGCAGCCAGAAAGGGAACACGCATAACGAGACACGTTACACACACCATATAAGAGGAAAGACTCCCATAGTGGAGGAACCATGCGCGGGTTTTGAATTGGAACAGATAAGATGAATATCTTAACAAGATTTTAGTATACAGAAAATTTATTACAACTGACGAATATTTTAAAATACTTTTTAAATAATTTTACAGTGACATAATGGCATGCAATGCAATAGATTAGTGTAAATGGAGCACCTGATGATGGCACTATGGTGCCAAAACATGTTGTGAACTGACAGGTAAAAGTGGATGCACTGCAAGACGGACACTGTATATATATCATGGACGACTATACAACAGCCACTGCTAAGTAATGGCTCTGCAAACAAGCATGTTTGCATGACAACAATTGCACTGCACCACAGGAATAGCGTCTTCTGTGCAGTCTGTGTCAGGATGGAGGAAGGGTGTGAGTGAATTAGTCAGATAAATGTTGGGGTTGTCGTCATTAGCTGTTGCTGTTAAAAGCTGGCAGCTAAGGCTGGGGACAGCTTGGAAACCCAGAAAAAGGGAACGTCCACCATTAGAAGCCATTACTAAGGAACAGCTTGTAAAGACTGTAACAGACTGAGAAGACCTGGTGTGTCCTGCAGTGGTTTATGAAGTGTGTAGAAAATTGAGAATCTTTGCCTGTAGTTACGAATTGTAAGAGTTCAATAAATACGATTACCAATTCACACCCTGTCTATAATCACCCAATCACGTGACAATATAATATCGAGAACTGTTCAAAAGATACATTTTTTTTTCAACAATATTAGCACTACAAAAAATCTGGCCTCCCACTACACAGACAGGAACTTAAAATCTCCTACAATGTAACATAATATTTGGAGCTGAAAACTTTATAAATCATGTATGGTCTTAGTAAACTCAAACACTAGGAATGAACTGGTGTACAGTTGTGTACCATTCATCCGATCTAAACAGAACCAACAGATGGATGGATTAATGATGTCAGATAGTATTGTGTTATAATGCCTGAAAGGTAGGATAGCGGGGAAAGAATAGATGTTCATTGCTAAGCAACAACTAAGCAGGGGTGATCATGGCAAGAAAATTAGGAGTAGAAAGCAACGGACAGATATCGGGAAATACTCCTTTGTAAATAGGACCATACAGCTCTGGAACCAACTACCTGCAGATGCTTTAGGGACTCTGTCCTGTAAACCAAGCAATTTTAGGCAAAGGGTTAGGAAAGTGATAAATGAGGCGAAGTGAAGTTGGGGTGAAAATAATTAAAAAGAAAAAAAATTGCAGTGAAGTGAAGTGAATGACATTATGCATCCATGACTGTTGGTTTCCTTTTGTTTGTGTTTTGGGTGTTGTATTTTTTTTCTCTCTCTCTCTCTCTGTAATTGTTGTTGTATTTGTTGCAGTTGTTTGTATTTCTCTGTAACTGTTGTAGTTGTTAATCCTATTTGGTTTGTATTCATTGTGGTAGGATGTCCTTATTGTTGTGTTTTGTGTATTGTGTTTTGTTTGAACGTGTTGTCACTTATTGAAATGTGTGTTACTTGTCTGTTGTGTCCTATTGTGTACTACTGCCACCGGGCTAAAACCCAATTGCAGTATAATAAATAATATATATATATAACTCAATAAACAGGTTCCTGAGCAAATGAACACTGCCATTTCTATGCAATGGCTATGCAAACACACCTCCATTACAATAGAGGAAATGTTAAGATATGGTGATTTCTGTTGGATCTGCCCCAAGACTATGTAATGAGGATCCAAGGTTGGCTGAGACAGAATTGAGGGAGTCTCTTTAGAAGGCAGTTGAAGATCATTGAGAAGAGATGGCAAAAAAGAAATTAGGCTGTGAAAAAGAAGACTGCGTGTGCTGCAGTTACAGTGAGAATGGTATACTGTGTGGAAATCTGTTGCCAGGATACAACCAGCAAAGACTGGGAACCCTAGTGTGTGTTTGTAACAATGAACTGAAAAGTGTGTAGATTAGTGATACAGCTGTATTACTTGTAATTGCAAGTTGGGTGTATAAGTGCAATAAATCCAAACCCATCTACTAGTCATGCACCCCCTACTACATAACAATAAGTATGAAATTATATTTATTAATACTTATTCTAGAGTACAATTAACACAACAGATAACAGAACTGTTACTTAAAGAAATAAATTATAATTAAATAAACTAACAATGGATTTTGGATGCAATTTTTTGCATGGACTCACCTTTGTCTACTCCAGTGTTTCCCAACATAGGGAGTACACCCCACAGGGGGACAATTAGAAAATGATGCTGCATTTATCTTTGCAGCAGACATCAAGCTCAAGGACCACATTAACTCTGACTTCATTTTCCCGAGTGGAGTTCAATTTAGGTTATATAATATATATAGAGTGCAATATAAAATTTATATTCATTGAAGAAAGTCAAATTAAAAATGGTTCTACATATGTTCCTTTTTTATTTGAAGTATCTATGTGGTGCAATCCAAAAGTTCCCGAAATATATTAATAAAAACTATTACGTCTTACCTAGATCTTATTCTGCACCATCACCTTCAAAGTAAGTCCCCTTTGGAGTGCATACGCCAATCCCAGCGTTTCTGCCACTTTTCAAATGCATCCTGGGAGTCTTTCTTTGTTAGGGCGTTTAGTACCGTCTGCATTTCCGCTTGAATTTCCTCATCTGTATCAAATCTTCGCCCCTTCAACTTGATTTTCATCTTGGGGAAGAGAAAGAAGTCGCATGGAGCTAAGTCTGGCGAGTACAGTGGGTGGGGAAAAACTGCCATCTTGTTTTTAGCCAAAAATTCCTGCACAATGTAAGCCATATGCGATCGTGAGTTGTCATGGTGGAGTACCCAGTCGTTCGTGCGCCACTTCTCTGGACGCTTTCTCCTCATGTTCTCGATCAAACACCTTGGAACATCGCGATAGAACTCTTTACTGACTGTCTTACCAGGAGGGACGAACTCCTAATGAACAATCCCATCAATATTAAAAAAAAAAGATCAACATGGACTTAACCTTTAAGAGACAGCCCTTTAAATTCCGGTAATGGCTGCGGGACGGATTTAATTTAAATACCCGCATTTATAAAGCAATAAAAACTGTAATCATTTACTAAAATTGCTGTGATTTCTACAATTTTTGTGATAAACAAACCTAATAAATGCTGCTTTTTTCTAAAAAGAATATAGAATCAGGTATTGTAATTTACAGACTTTATAAAATGTGTAAAAATTTTTAGACTGATTCCAACTAAAATATTCCCCAATTTGTCGTCTCTCTAAAAGAATTCATACAGTTCTTGCAAAGTATGAATGCTGCTGAAGTGGCAACACAGCAGATGCGCTAGCCAGGGTTTTGGCCTGCGTGTATCAGTGTATATCACGTACATTCTTACGGTATGCAGAGATGTGGGCCAGTATGTATTCATTCATAAGAACCCTGATTGTTTTTTATCGCTAATAGCTACACAATAAGTTCTCTGTTCTGAGTGCTGAGTTAGTTTTCATAGGAACTTTCAAGGCTACCGTCCTTATGCCACAGCCAAACAGTGTTATAACTTTCAAAGCTAGCATTCAGTGAAGTTGACAGCCCACAGCATGGCGACGTCTCGTTTGGAAGACGCTGACATATTTCAACTCATAAACGACTCCAAATCAGATTGTTGTACCGACAATTCTGAGACTGGCATTGATGAATGTGAATCAGAAATTGATTTCGACGAAGAACTATCATCTTGTTCGGCAACCTGGGGACCACCACACCAGCATGGCAAGAGGAGTGTGAATAATTATTCAGGTGGAGCTGTGGGCAAACTGTGGTAAACAGTTATAGCATCTGTCGTCGAACCTGGAAATGGACAAATAAACTATTTTTCCATCTCCTGGAACTGAACAGTTACATCCTGTTGTCACACAGAGAATTTCGTCTCACTCTTGTGCGGAACATGCTGGAAGGGGTCCACCTCGCCATCAACGGCCCAAGGGTCAAACCCCTGCCGTTTTATCGGAGATATCTCAATTATAGGAGGCCAAACCACATCACTGGCCGACTTCCTCTACTTCGCAATTGAGGTGTTGTGTGTGCTTTTCATGTGGGAAACGAAAAACCGTCTGGACAAAGTGCGTGAAGTGCGACGTCAGACTCTGGAATTCCGGATGTTTCCAAGATTTCCACATGAAGCCAACATTCCGTTAGATGACGCAGGTGGGAAGAGAGACAACTTATAAAGCTGGTGTCCAAAAATCATGTAAGCAGAAAAAGAATATATAACTTAAAATTAGATTTTATAAAGCCGGCCGCACACGTGGACTGCGCGACGACATATGGCGTCATTCGTCCCCTTGACTTTATTTTAATGACGACATATGGCGTCGCTCAGCTCTTAAAGGTTAATGTTGCTCTTGACTTGTCGAGCTTTTATTGGACGAGGTGAAGAAGGGCCCTTCCATTGCGACCATTGCTGCTTGCTTTCAGGGTCGTAGCCATAAACCCAACTTTCGTCACCAGTGACAACCTTCGAAAGAAAGTTTGGATCCTCTTGAAGCTGTTGCTGAAGTTCCCTGCAGACTTCCAAGCGATGCTGCTTCTGTTCATTTTGCAGCAGTTGTCGCACAAACTTCACCTCAATCCTCCTCATGTTCAGTTCCTCTGACAAAATTTGTTGACATGTACCATAACTTAGTCCCAAGGTGTTACAGAGGTCTTGGATGGTCAGTCTACAATCTTGCAGAATCAGATCCCTAACTTTCGCAACATTTTCTGGTGTTTTGCCCGTTGATGGCCATCCCAAACGATCGTCATCATCAGTCAATGTGTGGCCATTTTTAAAACGCTTATACCAGTTATAAGTTTGTGTCTGGCCTAAACTGTTTTCACCAAAAGCTTGCTTCAACATTTGGTGTGTTTCTGCAGCGGTTTTCCCAAGTTTGAAACAAAACTTTATACCGACACGCTGCTCTCTCAGGTCAGCCATAGCGAAACCGCAAACTCATGGAAACACAACAATGGAAATACGTTCACCAACAATAAACCCAACCCCTCAACTCGACGCCGCTTGCCACAGATTCAAGGAGGATGTGTGAGGAGACACCTAGTGGTATTTTGATGTACTCATAACCATTCGCGCGCAAAATTCAAATTTCGGAAACTTTTGGATTGCCCCACATATATATATATTATACTTTTGTCAGAACTTGGCTATTATGCTAGGTGGGGGGGGTCAAAATCTTTGAAACACTGAGCTGGAACATGATCCAAAAAGGTTTGGAAACACTGGTCTAGTCTCTTTACGGTTACTGCTTTTCTGGATTGAAAGAATAACTTTCTTTCCTGTTTCAACTGACATGTTCATAAATAACTGACAAAGCAGAAATGGGAGTGGGCACAACACTGTAAACAGTAAGTCACATGGCTAAAAAGAAATGTCTGATAATCATGACTCAATTACATATGTTTCTCCATGTTGTGTCATCCTACACAGGTCATGTCACTGTAACTGGCAAATTCTGGCACAAAGAATCGGAATCTCATGTTTCATTGTCCAAAATACAGCGTGCAGTACAGGAAACATAGATCACTCACCTCCTGAACTTCTTCATTCTCCTCATCTGAATCAACAGTGACCAGCGCACGTGTACTTCTCTTTGACCTGGTTGTTCTCGCTGGAGCTGCTGTCTTCTTTCGACCAGTCCTCCTCCTAGTGGCAACTGCTCGAGAAGCCCTAGTATGGCGAATGCCTAAAAAATATACCTGTCTATCTCATGTCTTTTATTAAGGTGAAACATTTCTCAAATAGCATGCACATAACGTCAATGTTATAAAAATTCTGATTTTATCCGTATGTTCATACAAGCAATAAAACTGTTCCTTATTATATGGACAATGAAAATATACCATGGGCTGCTTTAGATATATGAAGGAAAAAAAAAAGTAAAGGAAAACTGTTCAGAAACCAAGAATGAGAAGTGATCTGTCACAAGGGGCAGAAACAGTATGTCTAGATACACAAGAAAATCTTGGAAAATGAAACCTTCAACAGGTGTATAAAGTTACAATCAGCAAAAATTGGAAGTGTCTGTCCATGATGATCTATTATTTGACTGTCAACATCGCAGCTATTTAGACAAGGTAGTTCCTCCTAAATTAGAGTTTACCCATTTCACAAGAACCACAATCCCCTTAACTTCACATAAGATGTTATGTCCTTTCCTAAACTCTTTAAGGATAGGGGATGGAGAATCCTTCTCCATTTGCTTTGCTCAGAGCGAGAGTAATGGTTCTCCTTGGGTAAGCAGCCCTGAAGGCTGCAATACTACCCTAAATCCACTGACTCTAGCAAGTGGCGTGGGCGGCAAACACGCAATTCTCATGTCAGGGTGAACATCATACACATGGCAAACGGTCTGGAGCACATCAATGAGGGCCAAGGCTTTCAATGCAAAATTATTGGTGTCACAAGTCATTCACTGATGGCACAAAATGGTAACTAAACCCCAGCTTCCCACCTGCTTTCGCGCTGGTATCTTGCCCAACGTATTCGACCTTGAAGATGGAGATATGTTCCTCCGAAACGTCGGCTGACTTTCAACGAGGTATACGGTTTGTTTCTTGCATCCTGTTGTCCTGCAGACTGCTTTTACCGGTTCTCACGGTCTCTTCGCTTGCAGATTTATTATTTTTTCTTCTAACCTGAAGATGGAGGCGATACGTTCCTCCGAAACGTCCGTTAACACCACATATACACGGTGCCAAATCCCACAAGACTGCTTTCTTCATTTGGAATAATGTTTTAATTTGTGTTTCGTGAGAGGAGCTTGATATATTATTGAGCGTGGGCCTGAATAAGATACAGGACTGAATAAGTGAGAAGACAAATGTGATTGCCTGTAATTATACAGCTGTGTTCGTACACCTGATGATGACCTCTTGAGGTGGAAACATGTAGTGTAATAACTGTGAAAATATGTTGTGTGGCCGGTAAAATTGACTCTAATATTGAGGTATACGGTGTTTTATACCAGGAAAAAAAAAGTATTAAAGTACAAAAAAAAAGTTGTCCTTGTGCTTAACTAGTTCAGCACCACGCCATGAAGACGTATGGGGGAGTGATGTATAGATCCACTTTTCTTAACCTCGGCACTAGTTGAATGGCAGCTTCATGACCTGGCCGTTTTACTTCCGAGTAAAGAGTCCCGATACCCATTGGATAGGAGGCTGGGTGGACACCAAAGCTAGTCTGGACGACGAGGAGAAAATTCATGACCCTACCAGTACTCGAACTCGGACTCCTCGGTCGTCCAGCCCGTAGCCAGTCGCTACACCGACCGCCCTATTCCGGCTCACTCCAGAAGATAGTACTCTCCATAAATATGGTAATTCCCAATTTGCAACGAAGACAATTTTCACCACCCAACTCAAACGACATAATTAATACAGAACATAATCATACATACACGTAAACATCAATTACTGCACCATCCACACCGCTTCACATTTAGAACAGACGCTTAAGAAATGGCGCTCGCTTTATTCAATGAATGCTATCAGAAATTACCATACATACGTAAATGTACGCAAATTTCCCATCTGCACATAAATTATAACAATCGTGCAAAGCCATACATACAAACTATAACATTAAAAATTCACAGTGGTGTTCACACTTACCAGATTCTTCGAGAACAACATCACCTTCTTCGATTGACGCCATTTTAATTTCCGAACAGGATTCCTACTATCCACACCGGTCCACAAAGTCCACACCAGTCCATTCCTACGATACTATACCATGCCCGCCACGGATCTCTACCATCTCACAAATAACAACCCGTCCATTCCTACGATACTATACCATACATGCCACGGATCTCTTTCATCTATCAATACGAGCAACAGCAGCACGAGCTGCGCCCTCAGATGACATTCATTTCATGGTCGATACACTAGCCAACTGCAAAACTGCATGGAAATTGCTTTTCATCCACATTTTCTGCTCATGTAATTAAGCTTTACACTTTAGACAGTCGTTCAGTAATTTCAAGGTCCATAAACAAAGGACGTTCAACGGTTTTCAGGAGAGGAGGAACTATGGTGAACAACCTCCCTCAAAGTCTCAAAAAAGCTACTGCAGTATAGGAACTTTAGAATACAGTAGTAAGACACCTAAGATGGCCATTTAGGACCGAAACATGTGTCGAAAGTGAAAGTGAAAGAAAGAACAATTTGTTGCACTGTTGACGGACTGTGTAGTACATATACAGTTTTAGATATAATAACGCAACAGGATGCTTAAACACAGGAACACAAACTTACATTGCAACGACGAAACAAAAGTATAATAAAAAATTTGGCAAAAATATGTGTATTATATTTACATGCAAATAATTCACCCACAAAACGCAATATTAATACACACAACTGAAAATTCAGAGTGTACCAACAAACTCTATTTACTTTCACATATAAAAAATTCAACGAATCTGGGAAGATATAGTCATCTATAGCGATATACAACACACGACAAGAAACACAAAAACTAACATCGTAACGACGGAACAAAAATATGAAAGAATTTTAGCCAAAATTTTATATGTCATAACAACTTTAATAATTAACACCAGTATGGAACCATATTAGGATAATTCAATAGCGAATAACGTATTTAAGAATAATAAAAGATATAATATGGGACAGTCGCACAACTGTCAACTGTGTAGTATCTATTTTGTTTCTTTTTTATTATTGTGCGACTGTCCCAGATTATATCTTTTTTTTTTTTTTGTAAATAAGACACAACACGATGCATACAATAAAGGTCTTTGGGAATACTACCTGATGATCCAAATATGGATTGATCCATGTAGCAGTCACTAAATAAAACCAACGTAACACAAAGATATTAGACTGGTTTAATTTTTGAAAAATATGTTGTATTGAGTCGCAAAAAAAGTACCCCACGGCACTCAATACGCTCAATACGATGCGAACGATAAAGATATCCCAGAGGGACGTTATGAAGGCCCTGTGCGATTCGCCTTGATATTTGCATCGTAACACAACGTTGTAGTTTACTAGTACTTTGTAATCCCTGAACGTTTGTCTGATCGATATTTCTTAATCGATCATGCCAATTAAAAAAAGAGGGTGGGAACTGGTGATATGTCTAGTTTAGCAGCTCTGACCAGTGGGGGTGACTGGGATAGGGGAAAGGGAAACATCTCTATTGCCATCTCTACGCATCATACATGAACTAGATAGTCTGGAAATAATTGGAATCGATCATTCTACACCTATCGCAATTAATCGAATCGCTAAGTGTGAGCCCGTCAGAGAATCTTGAAATCTTGAAGATCTTGAATCTTGAAGACTCTGACGGCTCTGACAACTCTGACAGTTTGGGGGTTAGAAATGTGTATTTACTAGTTTCGTAATGTAAGTGATGTGGTGTAATTTTATGGCTCTGACCTGTCGCTCCAAAATGGATGTCTTTCACTGTTACGAGTTTTTGTTAATGAAAAAGTTTCAGGAGGACTCATTGTTGTGGAATGAATTGAAATCTGAAACTTGGGTGAATCTGAAAACACTTTTAGGTGCATTTCACGACCGCATATTAAAGTCTAAAGTCGATGGTAGTGATGTCCTAGGAAATGATATCGATATGTCTAGATACAAGGTACACATAATAAATTATTGAGGCAAGTTATGTTGTCACTGTTTGGATTATACAGAGTGATTTGTATTCTTTCACATTTACAGAAAATTTCTGGTGATCTGTGGTTTCTAGCTGTAACATTGGAAAAGTCTCCCCATCGTCTTTTGGCTTTCCTTAATGCAGAACTACAGCAAGAATCAGAAGACGCTGTACAAATTCCTGGCCAAACTGTACTGGCCAGGTACCTGTCACATTACAATTTTGTAGAGATGCATTTAGACAGCATTTTTAAGTATGGAGAAACTCCCTTACTTCCAAAAGAAGTACGTAGTGACAGCTTGTTTTTATTTCACTAATTACACAGTACTTATTCTTCAAATACAATTCATGATTCTTATTTTTATTTCATTTCATTGACAGTTATTTAGGTGTAGAAACGTGCGAGTGTTATCCCTGAAGTATAACAATTTGGAGTGGATCCCTCCTGATGTGGGCCGTCTTGGTTGCTTGGAAATATTATCTCTTACTAATAACCGTCTACAAAACAAATCAATCCCACATACTCTTACCTTCTGTCGTCACCTCAAAGAATTGTATTTGGATAACAACTTGTTAGATGCTCTTCCTGGCTTTTTGTTGGACATGCCACAGTTGTGTACAGTGCATCGGCATGGAAATCACAATTACTTTAAAGCAACATTCATGTGGTATCACACAGATGTTAATGACAGGTACGTATTAAATTCAGGAATTTTTTCAGTATTGTGACATATTTTCATAATATTTCACTTATTTTGAATTTATTTATTTACATACTGACTTAACAGACCAATAGCCAGTTACAAAGTTTTTAATAATAGAGTCACTTCTCAGTTTACATATGAACTTGGTTTAATGAAACTGAATCATATATGCAGTTTCTTAATTTATGTCACTTTAGTTCTCACTTTATCCCAATTATGTGATCAGTAACAGGCAGTTTTTCAGTTTGTGTCATTTTAGTTCCCACTATAATAACCATTAGGCAATCTGTAACAGGCAACATTGCAGACAACTGCATGCCACTGAGGACAACAGAAGTTGTGTGTATATATAGCTGTGCACAGCGGTGCTATAAAATCTGAAGTCATTGAAATAAAATAACAAAGGAAAACATTATACATGAATAAATATCTGTAAACATCTGGGTTGGCTTGGCCCTTGTATGCGATCCGCTGTTTTTGTTCATATTTTATGGAAAATTAACTCTGTTTCTGTGTTTTTAATCTATGTGAGCTTTTTCAGGAGTGCAAGTGCTATGTAAATTGAGCAGTAACTGTAATACAGCAACAGCATCATCAACAACAATAATACAGAAAATTTCAGGCTTTTACGACAGTTTAGTGCCAATGTGGATCCTGTTTCTGCATGATAGCACCATATAGATGTGGGCTTATTGCTGATATGTCAGAGGTCCTTAATGTCTTCTTTGTCACTGTGGAGGGACTGTCCTTTAGTGGCCTGCACTGACTGTTATAGTACAGACTGATATGAACCGCTCTTCTTGATTCAAATGAAACATTAATAGCCATTGTAATCTCTTGGCCTTGAATATGGAAACACTAAGAATCTCTGAAATGTAGGCAAAACAGCCTACATCTCTATGTTGCTGTCACTTAGGAATAAATCAACATTTTTGATATGGGAGTTCTGTAGTTTTAGTCTTCTTTCCTGGTATTATTTATTGATCTGGTTCTCTGTTAGATAGGATGCACCTGTAAGCCTGCCTTGTATTCTGAAAGGCCATGATGAAACATTCCAATTATTCTGGTCCCTTTTTTTTTTTCAGTAAATATCATCTTATCTTAATGGATGTTCTTATAGTACAGGGAGAATAAAAATATATCAAAAATTTTGTATGCATTTCAAAACATTTCTGTATTATTAATTTTTATACCTTTTCAGTATGTTTCTTTAACTCTAGAGTTCAAAATTTAAAATTTTAAAAAATGTTACAACTGCAGAAAAATAAATAAAGTTAAATTAAAAGCAAATGAAATATGAGGCAAAAATGCTACTAACTCATCTGTTGACATTTGCTGAGTAACTCTGTGTGTGTGTGCGTGCGTGTGATATTATTTAGCCCAGGAAGTCTCATCAGCAAATCAGCTTCCTCTTCCCCCTAAAACAGGCTATTTTATCAAAGCTGTGTTTATGACATAAAATGTTTATATATTTGACATTTGTAAATTTTGTCTCAAACACTTTTTATTTGCAGTTATTTTAATTTGTATTAAGTGAAAAAATTGCAAGAGCCCAGGCTTGGAGTTTGTGTGAAGCCCTAGCATATATTATCTAGTATGGACCAGATTTAATTTTCAAAAATATACTTTAATAGGGCCTTTAATACTCCAAGAATATCTGTTAAGCAATTTTTTTTTGTTTTGCATGAAGAGATGAATAGTGACAATAGGTGCATTTCTTCAGGAGGTGGGTTTCAAAACTCCAAACTGAACATCCCTGCACCCTTCCCCTTTAAAATATCAAACAGTTAAATATTCAGACTTCTCACTTAGCTGCTGTTAGAAAATAAATTTGGGCTCTTGTTTGAGTGTGTACCATATAACATGTTTATATACACCAAGATTTTGTCCTCATATTTGATTTATTTCATCAAACAGAGTTCTACAAGTATTTAAAGAGGTTCAGAAGCCAGGCAATGGTTATAATCCAGACAGCTTGTTATTCCTATCAGCTACAGCTCTAATATCTTCAAATGTTAATTTTTTTGAATTGGGATTGCTTCCAAACACACTGCAGGAATACATGGCTGATATTTATCCAAAGTTCAGTGTTTGTGACAATTGTCATAAAGCAGTACCCTATAGTTCATCAGGTAAGTTGATCCCTACTCATTCAGCTATAAGCTGGAGAAAATAAATAACATTAAGATGTATCTTAGTTAGAGCTTTAGGATTGCAGGTGGAAAGAATCATTTCAGGATCATGTTCAGTGAAGGACTTTGGTACTGTAGCGTTGAGCCTTAAGGGTTTGCTATCACTGTGGTTGGTAGAAATAGAATTTGATATTTACAGCTGTCTGCTAAATAAGTGGAGGATGTGTATGTATGTATATGACAAGTCCTGTATCAATGTATTTTGATTTATGGGAAAATTATATTAATTTTTAAGTTTTTATAGTGATGCACTTTTTAAAATATGTTTAGTTACAATTGTAATAAGCTCTTGTTTTGTTTTTTTATATTACCTATGTTAGTTAACTGGTGTGTGTTATTTTAGTTGTGTGACTTATGTAATCTATTACATGTATACATCTATAATCAAATGGACTATTTCCACATCCTAGGATTTTTGCCTGTATGGATATATGGAAAATAAAGGAAATGAGTGAATGAATAACAACCCCTTTCATATTCACTGTAGGCTTTTAACTATAACTAACATTACTGTCACACTAACATTTATTTTGTATATTAGATTTGTAATGTTTTGTGGATGAAACTGACAGTACAGGGAAGCCACTTTTGGGGCAAGCACTTGGAAAAACAGAACAGCTTTGTGTTATGTTCGGTTTTGACCTTAAACACTGTAGGAGAAGAGAAAAGGTAAATTTTTCTCTGTGCTTGCCTAATGAAGCACCATGCCATGAAGACAGAATGGAGTTTGGGTAAAGCTCCATCAATCTTGACATTGGCATTAGATGGAGGTGAGTTGGTCAGCTTCACGCTCCTGTAACCTTACCCCTAGGGAAAGAGCCCTGGTACCCACTGGATAAAAGGCTGGATGGGCCCAGAGCCAGTCTGGACATAATGGAGAACAGAATAATCCTGCCCCTGCTGGGAATTGAACCCCAGCCATCCAGCTTATTTGAATCTTACCTTTCGAATACTTTCTATAGGTAAATTGTCTGATATTGAATTTAGTGAAGTCATCGTTCTTGCTCTTAATATATCTCCTTGTCTTCATTAGTGTAGCAAATATGAAATGTTTAACACAAACCTTCTTCGAAGACAGTGAACATATTTGTGTTATATTCTCATATACGGTTTAGAAAAGTTGCGGTGTTTGTGTTATACGTAATATGGGATACATATTAAACTTCTGATTCCATGCTTAACAGTAGGAATATATTAAAATTCACCTTAAGGGCCCATAACTACATGGACATTCAGAATGACAAACAGACCATGGAAAATTGTCGCCTAGCACACAGACTGAAATCACAACCTATGGTATTCCTATCTACCTAACTTCATGGAGCTGAGCACTTTTTGAGAAGCTGACAATTGTGCAGTTACTCAAGAACTCCCCAACATTCTATGGAACGTGAAGGTTCATTACCTTGTTCACAAGAGCCCTCCACTGGTCCGTATCCTGAGCCAGCTCAATTCAGTCCATACCAAACCATCCCATCACTGTGAGATTCATTTTAATATTATCCACCCATCTGTGGCTTGGTCTTTCTCTTGGGTCTCTTTCTTTCAGGATTTCCCACCATTATCCAATATGCATCTTCCTCTCTGCTTTCATGCTACATGCCCTGCCCATCTCATCCTCCTCGACTTGGTCTCTCCAATTGTACCTATCAACGAATACAAGTTATGAAGCTCCTCATTATGCAGTTTTCTCTAGCCTCCTGTCAGTTCGTCTCTCTTTGGTCCAGATATTCTCCTCAGCACCCTGTTCTCAAACACCCTTAGTCTATGTTCCTCCCTTAATATCAGAGACCAAGTTCCACACCCATACAGAACCACAGACAAAATTATAGTTTTGTATATCCTAATTTTTATGTTTTTAGACAGCAGATGAGAAGATAAAGGGTTCTGGACTGAATGGTACAAGCATTATCCAAATTCAGTCTCCTCTCGATTTCCTAATCAAGTTTCAATTTGATACTGTCATTCCCAAATATTTGAAGTGTGCCACATTTTCAAAGCGTCTGTGAGCTTTATTTATGTCATGATTTTGCCAAGCATCCTGGTGATGAGACAGCAACATATACTTAGTTTTCTCTGGATTTACTTACAGACCAATCTCCTTACTAGTGTCAAAGTTATTGTGTTTTTCTTTGTGGTGTCTCTTATCTCCCGGTAGGTTCACATCATCAGCACAGATAACAGCTGATGTGTCCCATTTAATTCCAGTCCCACCTGGTTTTCCTGGACCTTCCTAATGACATATTCTAAATGGAAGTTGAAAAGCAGTGGCAATAGAGCATCTCCTTGTTTTAGACCATTTAGGATAAGAAAGTTAGCAGACAAATGTTTGCCAATATGGCCTTTGCTATAGGTTTTATTTAAACACATTTAATTCAGCCTAACTACTTTCATGGGTACCCCAATCATAAAGTACATAAATTTACTTCAAAGTAGGATCTAACTCTTGATGCCACAAGAAAACTGGCCATTTGCATCTGGCAGAAGCCCCACCCACAGGGGTCACAGCAGACAACTACTTTGTTGCTGCCACAGTGCTAGGTCATCATGCATTTTATTTATGAGAAATTGGCATATATAACACACACTATTCTTTCTTCTATGTTAACTTACACAGATGTGCTTTTATGGGAGTTCCTTCATTGTAAGATAGTGTATGATAACATTATTTACAGATATAAATATGTTAAGAATTAATGAAAGTTGGCACTCTGTAACCTATAAACAGTCCATAGGACTGTCACATAGGATGCTTTGTTGAAAACACAGGACTTCCCTTCAGTAAGTATGGTGTTCTGCAGCAGTTGCGTCCAAACTCTAAAATATTACTATCATGTAATTTAAAATTTGGGCACAGAACATACCTCAGGATCAGGTTTATTGTGGCCTGATTTGTATGTGCAGTGGTCCTTAGTATGGTTGTTTGATTGTTTTTCTGCTAACTTTGATTTTTGTATGTCTCCCTTTATATCAGGATACAGAGTGTTCACCTTTAAGAACCCATACCTGGGTAACACATGTGTGCCATTCCAACACTGGGCGTGCTCACGATCTTGTGCAGAAGCGATCGAGATTCCAGCTCATCAAGAACAGACGCAGGCTGCAGAGAGAATGGATGAAGAATATGATCATTATATTCAGGAAATTCAAAATGAAGAACTGTCCTTGCCAAGCAGAGGCTTCTGTACACTTCTGTGAGATTTGCTGTGTGATCTCAAGAACAGCTGACATTCTTAAAAAGAAATAAGAAACGTGTGACAAGCACATTTATCATATTTCTTGCATATAATAGTAGTTGCTAAGTTATTACAGGAAAATAAAAGTGAGAAGATAAACTTCAATTTAAAATGAGATCATAACTGAAGTGATTGTTAACCACATGGAAAGTCGCGTGTAAAATAAGGGAGCTAGAATGAGGTACTTCCAGACTATGAACCAGCAGGGCTGTACATAGAACATTTGATTTTCCATACACAGGATGAAATTCCTTGGATAAAAGGATGATGCTATGGATGACTTACTTGTATCATGGTTGCTGCTCCTGTGTATCCTTTTTTAGCTTACTTGCCATATTTTAAAGAAAAATGAAAGTAGGCTTATGAGGTCACCATACTGTCTATGTGTCTGTGAATCCCCCATGTCAACTTTTGAACACCTAGACAAGTCTTCATGAAACTTGTTATATACTCATACATCATGGTACCTGAATCGATCTGGATGGTGTACTTCATAAATACCTCCCATCAGTATGTGTGTCCCCCTATCATTGCTAAGCAATGACTTTGTGAAAACATTACCATGGCAATGAATACACACACAACAATAGAATTGGATGCATTATTTTTGTATGCAGTCCATGTTGTATCAAAGAAAAGTAGGCAATTGGTTCTTCCAATAACTTCTTATTTTCTAAATATATATAATTGGCTTTCTGTAAGAAATAAGTAGAAACATTGTTTCTTCCCTAGAGCTTACTGGTTGTTATAAACAAACACCCACTGAAGTGTGCTGGTAGCCAAGTTCCAGGATCAACATAAGAGTGAATCCCATTGTCAAGGTTAATATTAGCTGCCATCCCAGATTTTCCATGTTAAGCAACATTTATTACGTAGCCCTAGGTAGGATGGGAGTAGCATAGTCGGTATAGCGACTGGCTACGGGCTGGATGGCCAACGGGTTGGAGTTCAAGTCCTGGTGGGGGCAAGAATTTTCCCTTCTCCAAGTTTACATTATAGCAGCAAAAATTATTCTTAGACCTAATGATCTTTCTAAGAATATCCACAGATATCCTGGTCCTTAGAAATCTTAGTAGGAAGTTTCCAGAGTTGTTTTCACTACCTGATTTTCCTTTGATGTTTTTGTGAATGTTTGAGAAGTGGCTGGCATTGTAAATGTTCAGTGACATCTGCATACTCAGCTTTTCAGTTATGTCATGTCATTTTATCTGTGGAAGTCCCCGTGAGAAAAAGAAGGTTTTTGACAAGTAAGATCTGTGTTAAGAAATTACTGTATTTTGAAAATATATGTCATCTTCAGTGATACTGTTGTTTAATTTATTCTTGGTACATATCATATTAGTGCTTTCTTGCTATACACTATTATGATAGCAGCAAAACTGCACTTACATATCACACTACTGCACTTGTTTAGTATTTGAGTATATAAGGCAATAAACTGAGGTCATGTTTATAGTGCCTACAGTGTCTTAATAGGGCATCTGTTGTACTACCCTCAGAAATTGGTGACTACTGAATGCATGTACATAATTCATCTGTTATTTTACAAATTTGTGCAATGGATTGCTGGTGAAACATGCTCTTAGGAAAATATATTTTGTAAAAACTAAGGAAAAATATTTTTAAAACTCTTTTAACGTATTGTCCAAGAACTGTTTAGTATACTTGGATCTCAGATACACATTACTGTGATTAATCATATGTATTTTGTCCACCTCTGTAAGGTGTATGTGTGCATGCATAATCCATGGACTTTGTTCCGTAATATGTATCAGGGTAATGCTGAATATTTTGTTCAGGCCAGAAAAGATAAATAAACACACAAAAAATGGTCACCCTCTTTTAACGTGAAATTGTTATACTCTTTAAGATTTTCCAGCTAATATGATTGCCACATATTCTCAGAGTTATGCCACATATTTCAGGTCAGCATCACAGTGATAACTATAAATAATTTGAAACTAAAACTGTTACATAGATTGTGGTCTTTGGGGCTGACACTGTATAGTCTTGAGTGGTCTTGAGTATGTAAATGTTTCAGAGGAATCTGCTTCCTTTGCCTTCAGGGTTGCTTCAAGCACAAAGATGGCGGCAGTTAAGTTCCCCTCAAATACAGGTATTTGCCTGTAAGATTACATAGTGTCACTTCACTATCCAGCAATCTAAACTCTCACCACTGTGATAACCTTAAATCTGAAACTTTTATATTATGAACTGGTAGATGGCATTGTTGTGTAATCCCGCCATAGTGAGTCAGTGGAACACATCAGGTAGCCAAGAAAAAGGTTTAAAATGATATAAATGGACCAGGATAGTTCAAGACTAGAATGGTCATATTACACTGGAGTTTCTTCAGAGGTGTCTATTGAGCTTGTCACTTAAGTGGTTCACTTCAGCGGTGGCTCTTATGTAGTATTTTAAGAAAAGACTGAGAGGACATTTGCACTTAATAGAATTATTTTAGAATCTTTGTATGGCACTATAATCAGTTTTTTAAGTATTATGGGCACATAGGTCAACAGAGTTAACTGGCACATTTAAAATCCCCCATTCCCAAATGATATAGTTTAATTAAACTACCACAATTTGAAGGGGCACACGGTAGTGCAGTTGGTTGAGGGGCTATGCTACAAGCTGGAAGGTTAAGTCCCGATGCGGTCATTGGATTTTTTTTAAATTGACCTAATCCTTCCAGCTGCACTAAGGCCCTGGGGTTGACTCAGCCTCTAACAGAAATGAGTACCAGGAATTAATTAAATAATTTTCCTGGAGAGTAAAGCGCGGCCGGCGCGTAGGGCTGACAACCTTACCACCATCTTTGAGCCGATTGTGTAGATAATGTGGGCCCTCAACGTCTCACAACCCTATGGACTTTCATGGCATGTTACAGGGATAGCTTTACTTTTTACTTTAACACAATTCATGAATTTCCAGTGGATGCTTATTCTACTGATATATAGGAATGTTTTTGACCCTAATAATCGCTACAACTGAAAAACCTTTTTGGAATATATGCCTGATCCCCAGGGTTAAGCAGCAGTTAACTTTAACCCTCTGAGTCTAGAACTGTATGTAATTTGGCTATTTCTTGCCTGCCATCATTCTTAACATTACAGGCGAAAGCAAAGTTATGGAAAGCCATTGTGATAGTGTCTTAGCATACTATAGAACCTGAGTTGGCAAGTCACTAAACATGTTTTGTTATGTACCTGTATATGATCACTATACTCAACATGTTTGCTTGAATTGTGCCTTTCTAGACAATCAGATTAAAAAATATGATGTTTAGTGCATTTAAGATTGTGGATATACATCTGTATTCCTTTCTGGCAAATAATTAACAGGTTTAGAACTGTTTCATTCACTGTTCAAACTTAAAGACCAAGCATATGAATGTGATGATACCAACATAATTATTCTCAGTGTGGAAATATTTTAAACAGTGACATCATTTTGTATACCATACAAAAGGCTGTAGGATTTTGAATTATGTAGTAGACATGAAGCAGCCAAATCAGTTTGACATCACGCAAATTATTTTAAAGTGAAGTAACCATCATAAGGTCTGGTCCATAATTCTTTAATGTAGCCAGGTTCTTGAGAGGTTCTACTGAAGTGGTTCAGGACTTTATTTATAGCACTGTATAAGTGAGAAAATGTTGAGAAATTTGTTAAGTCCAGAGTACCTACAGTATATACATGTTGTTTTTTTTTATTTAGCCATTGTATTTATGATATGCATTGAAGTCTAGTAACAGCAGAGGTCATAGTGGAATTGTAAATTTCAATATTGTTATGCAGTGGATGAAAATGCATGAGCTTCTCTGAGTGATGTATTATTTGAGGCTGTAAAATATTATTGTAGCACTCACATTTAGAAGTTCTGTAGAGTGTTTTTTGTATTTATAGGCAAATTCTTCTGCATGTGTTTACTTGCAACTAGTGGCTTAGCTGTGAAGAAATGACTGCAGTGTGCATGTTGCTTGGGATCTGTTATAATACATTTGTGTCTTATGATATTCATACAAGGTGCTATCAGAAAGTTCCTGGACTATTATCGTAACTGCCTCTATGAAAGAGGATGAGATGGGAGGCCAAGGTCACACTTCTGCAAGCCTATTGCATGACAGAGCACTGCGAACACACACTGTTTTTACATGAGTGCTTTTTCAACTTTGTGTTTTCTTTCTTCTGCAATGGACGGCAAAATCAAGCAACATGTCTGCATAAAGTTTTACATGAAGCTCAGTAAATCTGCTACCAAAACCCTTGAAATGCTTTGTGAGGCTTTTGAAGAACATTCTTTAAGCTGGACAGCAGTTTTTGAAAGGCATTCATGTTTATAGGCCAGTCAAGTGTCAGTTGAAGATGAACGTTCAGGGCTACCAAGCACCAGTAAAACAACAGAAAATGTTGAGAAAATTTGAGAACTCATCCATGAAGACCATCGCTGAACAGTCCATGAGCTCATAGACACCGTTGGGATTAGTTACAGACTTTGCAGGAGATCTTAACAGAAAATTTGGACATGCGCTGCATTGCTGCGAAGTTTGTACCCTGACTCTTGACAAATGATCAAAGACAGCAGCGTATAAACATGTGTCTTGAGCTATGGGAGAAGGCTAACAAGGACCTAACTCTTACCTCTAAGATCATAATGGGTGACGAAAGTTTGATTTACAGTTATGATCCAGAAACACAACAATCGCCACAGTGCAAGAGCCCACAATCACCAAGGGCAAAAAAGGTGTGGCAGGTCTGGAGATCAACAAAAAGCATGCTCATTGTTTTCTCAATATGAAGTGGACTGTTCACATGAATTTGTTCCTCCTAACACTACAGTCATCTCTGACTTTTACTCTGGTGTTTTGAGATGCCTGAAAGACAATGTGCAACAAAAAGGACTAGAAATTTGGTGCAACCACAACTGGCTCCATCGTGACAAGACGCCTGTTCACACATCCCTGAAAACAGCAGAGTTTGTGACTAACAACATTGTTATCATTCCCCATCCTCCCTACTTGCTGGACTTAGCCCCCTATGATTTCGCTTTGTTTCCCAAATCGAAAATGAAACTGAAGGGATGACGTTTTGAAACAGTGTCTGACATTCAAAGGGAATCGCAAGCAGTAGTAGACAGCATTAAGGAAAATTACTTCCATGGTGCTTTTGAACCTGGAAAAAATTATGGGATCGCTTCATACATTCCCACAGAGATTACTTTGAAGGAGATGGCAGCCAAAATTGAGTAAGTTAAGCCAGCATATCTTTTTTGACCAAGTCCAGGAATATTTCAATAGAACCTTGTACTTTTGTATGTCAGTGATTCATGAACTTGGTCATTCGAATCTGTAAACAGTGATACTGCAAAACATGTGTACTTATTGTGTTTATAAATAATAAATGAAAACATTTTCCACAGTTGTGTTAATCAGCAACATATTGGTCTATGAATTACAGGATGCATGAAAATTATTGCTCTAAGGGACTGACACCAAGCTCTACCACAGTAGTAGTAGTTAATGGTATAAGTTACAATATTAATTTAATTGTATTTTATTTTTATAAATGGTTTTTATTAATATAGGCACTTTTATGAAACTACTGCAGTGTAATTATGTAATTTCTCCATAAATAACTGCATTAGGGATGGAAACAAGAGAGTAGTGTCCATGACATAGTCAATTTATACATTTGTCTGTCTTCCTGTACTTACAATGTCAACATATCACCACAAACTCAAAAGTGTTCAGGATGCATAAGATTGGAGGATGTATTTTTATGTATATACTGCAATATTTACATGACATTCAAGGTTATTTTCAAAGCATTCATATAATAATGCACACAGTCTAGTCCTGATCTTGTATCTTATTGTTTTAGTCACCTTGGTGTATACTACTGTTCTGTGTTTTTAACTAGTCAGATTTATTTGTAAAGTATATAAAGTGTAACACTTTATTTCAATAATGAAACAGTTCAAAGTGACAGTAAGTATGATGTGCAAAAATTTCAAATCTAACAAATAAATATATGTACTCTTACTTCACTGAAGTATTAATGTTGATTCTTACCATCTGTTTTCACTATAGGACACTCAGTATTTGTTTAATGGATCCCCACATTCAGTCCCTGTCTCCTATGGGTGTGGATTTTCTTGTGCACAGATCAAAACTGCCATCATGGGTCCAGACATATTTGCAGTCTTCAATTACTGGGAATAATGGAAACTATCTCATTGGTGCTTTTCCCTCACTTAACATTCAATGTCAGAAATCCAGAGTCAATAACCTAACTTTAATGTTCAGATCAACTGCTCCCGTAAGAAACCTTAAATGGGGTTTTCATTGCAGAAGTTCTAGATGTGATATTTGTCACTTACCTCATAATCCTGGTAATGTACCATACTTTTAAGCCTTGTTAGTTCTAAGATGTGTGAATTCAAATTCTGAAGCACTGGTATTTGAAGACAGCAGATTATGAACAATAAAGGGAGAAGATTAACATCAGCTGAAATGAAGAAAGGGAGTTTCTTGAAAGTGAATTAAAAGCGAAATTGATGAAGGGAACAAGAATAAAAATTGCTGTGTGAACTCTTATCAATAGGGCCCTGATATTTTGAGGGGTTTTGGTCGTTACTGCATATTCTAAACCTAAGAGCATATTTCTGCATATATGTTTGAAATTAAGGATAATTTCAATATTCTATAACAAAATCGGTTTTGCCTGTGTTTTGGACATCACTTGTCAGTTGCTATTCCAACTCTCTGAGTAACGGCACTTTTACCACTTACAATACAAGCAGGTAGCTTAGCTATTTTGAAAGGGAGGGGGGTGGGATTTTCCTGCATTTCATTGACCACCACAGCAGACAGTAGCATCAGAGGTTGGTCTTGAGAGAAGTCTCTTTGGTTAATGTGTTACACTTTTCCTTAATAGTCTGCATCAATAAAGTGTTCGTGTACTGAAAATGCCTAAAGAAAAGTGCAGCAGTAGATATTTAAAAAAATGATGGGTGTCACATGAATGTTCCGAGCCTTCGGCACCAGTGTATAAATACTGTCCAATCAAGTCAGTTGATGTAGAAATATCATTCTCAGCCTGTAAACTCATTTTGATGGACAACAGATGTAGTTTGTCTCCAGAAAACACTGAAAGACTTCTAGTTGCCTATTGTGATGCTACTTTCTGCAGTGAATGATACATGTAAATCGGTGAGTCTGAATAAAGTGACCTGCTTCTGAAGTGCATATTGTCCCGCTATTTAGCGCATAAAAATCCAGGCCCTAGTTATCAATAAATAAACAGTATGGGCCTAATGGTTGAACACATTCATGAAACACAGAATATGGTAAAATTAACACAGTAAAACATCACTTCAAATATAAATACTTTCAGAAACTCGTCTTACAGCACCACACACTAGTATTTTAAATGGAACATGCACAAGAACAAAAACTTTTCTAAAAAATAGATAATGCTTAATAATTTGTCATTTTATCTGTTAAGTGCTGTGAGGCATAATGTATAGAATTATATCCAAATCATTGCAAATGTTAGCTGCTCACCTGCATTAAAAGCATATTAATGATCACAGAGGAATAGCAATGTGTGGAAGAAAGAACAACAGATAGGTCCTAGAGAACATTATACAGAGAAATAATTGCTTTACTTCTAACATGTGATGCTTTGCTTCAGTTACATAGGAATGGAATTTTTCAAAGCCTCTTCTGCTCATTGTGTGATCAGAATATCAAAATGAACAAAAATAACAGGCCCAATAACTCTGAATATTACTCACTCCTTACCACAGTAAACCACCTCACTTCTACAGGCTTCCAAAGATACACAAACTTGACTCCCTCTTAAATCAATATTTAGCTTTGTTGGTTGTCCCTGTTTCGTCATAGCACACTTTATCCATATAATCCTCAGCCCTCTGGTTGGCAATGCAGACTCCTTTGTGAAGAACTCAGAACAACTCATAAAATTAATTCATGAGATCAACCTTCAAAACGAAGACTGCTTTGTAACTTTTATGTTAGTCTATTCACCATCGTACCAGTGTAAGAAGTCTTATAGGATCAGAATCAATATGGATCCTTCTTTCCCAGAACGCTCACCTTTACAAGTTGGAGTTATAATGGAATTATTGGACATCTGTTTAACAACCACGTATTTTCAGTTTGAGTATAAATTCAATAAGCAGAAAGAGGGTATAGCAATGGGTCAGTAATATATTTATGGTACATTTTGAGGAAATAGCATTGGATCCAACAGACCACAAAAATGCTAAATGGCTCACGTCAATGACACTTTCATGGTTTGGCCATGTGGGCCAGCAAGATCACAGCAATTTCTTCACCTCAGCAGCCTCAGATCTGCCATTGAATTCACAATGGAAGTGAAAGTTAATGATATTCTTCCATTCTTGGATGTCTTGGTCATGAAGAGGGGTCCTAAACTGGATATGAAAGTGTACTGGAAACCCACTCATACAGGTCGTTTTCTGCATTTCAAGTTCAACCACCCATATCACATGAAAAAGGGAGTTGTTCATAGTTTGATCAGTCAAGCCAAGGTCAGAAGAATCCAGCAAATACATTAAGAACATGAGACACAATTTGATGCTTAATGAATACCCACAAGAATTCGCTGACTCCATAATGAAGCCAACAAGAAGCAACCAACCTTCTTCAGATATAATATACCAGGGCACAATCATTATCCTATATGTTAAGGGTATCTCTGAGAAATTCAGACACACTGGAAATCATTTCAATGTCAGGATCATTTTCAAAACTAAACATGGGACACTGAGGAAAACTGGATCAGCTATAGATGCCCAGCAGATGCAACAGTGTGTACAGTGACTGTGACAGATGTTACATTGGTAAACAAGCAGACCTCTAGAAGTACACATTAAGGAGCACAAATATAACCTGATCAAAGATCTGCTTGAAAAATCAAAATCGGCCCACCATGCATACGAAGAAGGCAATGAAATATTGTGGCATATTTGCTCAAAGCAAGGAACTGTGGAGTCACAACAGCTGGTTGTTATTAAGCAACGGCCTGTTAACAACAACAGAGGAATGGTGTTTTCTGTGAAGTTGGTGCCAATGACTGTGCAAGCAGCAGTGGAATACATCATGCCATTGATAAGCATGCACTGACAGAGGAATGGTGTTTTCTACGTGATCCATGCCAAGATGCTGGGACAATTCGGGAATCTGGAGGAAGGGGAATGTCTGTTGTTATAAGGTGCTACCAAGCAATGGCTAGTGACGACTGTTAACAGATTCAGAAGACTAACCTAATGTGTTTTACATTGATTTGTGAAGTGTGTAGAACAGTAAGAGCATAATCCTTGTAGTTATGAGTTATGAGTTCAGTAAATCTGATTACCAATCCAAACCCCATCTACAGTCACTAAAACACATGACGGTATGTTGGAAAGAAGTGAACCAAACACAACCTACAGGAAATGCAAGGAATCCACCCACATGTCCCGGTAATCATCTAATGAGTCAACCCAGCTTGGACATCTCTCCCATCTGGACTTCTATTATTGTAGCAGAAGTCAGAAAACTACATCTCTGTCCAGTGCAGACTATGTGTGAAAATTGTTTTTATGTTGTTACCATACAGAGAATTTGTCTCTTTAGTCATGACTTCTGCTCTGGTTTTAACAATAGCTCTGAAATAGTGCATGGACATAGGCCCTAGACCTTTTTTATGTGGAGGCTTTTAATTATCTTAATGTTTGTCTTAACTCTTGCATATGGTTTATGTTGTGCTAGGTTCATATATCCTATCTTATGTTGGTGCTGGAGTCTGGAGATAGGGACTAGCCCTTATTGACTGGGCCCAAATGAGTAGTTCCACCTCAAGATTGAGACATAATCCAGCGTCTGAAACTTTGTGTTTTAAATAAAAACGGGATTAGGGATAATGTCCAGAAACACATTAACTGTATTAATCTACCATTATCACAAACTTTTAGATCTTACAAAAGTCCTGCTTTTGGCTGTACTGTAATTCCTTGCTCTATCATATTTGTATCCTTAGTTGTATGCTCATCAAGGTCAGTTACTTCTAATATAGAACCAATTACACTGGAAATTATGTAGAATTTCCTTAAACATCCAGTTCTTAGGTTATTACACAATGATGTTTCAGCTAAATAGGGCATATAGCATTATGTGAGATGGAAGGTCATGAACTGTGGTGAATACAAAAGATTTTGGAAGGAGGCAGTCATAGATTATTTGAAAATGCCATGTTGGCACATGCCTGGATAGACTAAGGAAAACCATGAAAATGCTGTCAGGATAGCTGGAAGTGTGGTCAATATTCAAACTGAATACTTCCTGTATACAATTTCAGTATAATACTGCTACCTGCTGTCCTTAAATGTCTAAAAATAACAGTTACATAATGAATGGGGTCAACAGTCAAGAGTTATAAACACTTTTAAACTGTATACATAGCATCAACAAATAAGGCAACCAACATATGATAACAAGACCAGTTCTCTCTAACATGGACATAATGTTTCATTCACGCGATATATTTACATACAGAAATCATGTCCATTAAAAATACTCAAGATATTCAATGTCAAGTGTCTCATTAAACTATATTAGATTCTGTTCAAGAACTTTTTAATGTTCATTCTTTTTGTTGAGTAAAACTGTAACTGAGACATGGAATTATATATACTGTGTAATTATGAAACCTGGGTTTCTTTTATTACATATAGACCTAATATAAATTTGAGATCACTTGTTGCCTGTTTATATCAATGAACATTTGAGTCTTGGGGCCCAAAAAAGATTGTACTGGTCCGTACTACTACATGTGTGTCACTGAACATGTTCTTGTGCATTACAGAACCTCTTAAGTTTAATAAGTTCACCAACAATTTGTAATAATGTACCTTGCTGATTTAAAAATTATGGTAATTTGGGATGTGGCATCATGTATTCTGGGAGACAGATACAAAGTTTTAAGAAACATGCTCACTCCATTTTCAGGGTAGGCATGACTGTATGCATAAATACCACACGATCACCCTTCATATTTGATGTGGGTGAAGGATCAGCTTTATGCTCCACCGTTTGTATCCTGAAGCAGCAACTCTTTATACTGTAGTTCGACAGACACCTATACCTGATTAAATCAGATCTTTCTGTTCCAAATGTCATGGATCTGGTGAGGTAAATGTTAATGTTTAAGGAAAATGGTAGACCAATGTAATTTATAAAATACTTCTTCTTAATTTAAGACATAAAGGATAAATGTAAGAGCACTTTCTGTGCTTCACTTGGGAAGGAGAAAGTCTTGATGACGTGTATTGAGAGCCAGGAAATTTTACCATCTATTGATTCCAAAATTATCATGAGTATAGTTTTTCTTTCACATAAAAAACCCTTATAAAAATCCTGATGCTACTGTCCATCCATACTGTTCATCAATTTAAACAAATTAGGAAAGGATTTTAAGGTATCTTGGAAAGGTATTAACTCAACTTACTTGAAATGGGTAAATATTGGAAATACATAATGAATATTTTCTGTATTTTTCTTGTGTGTGTTTAAATCCAAAGCAGAATTGGACTATATACTTTCTTCAATACATTTCACATCTATTCTCAAAATTACCTGTATTTATAAAACAGTATATAGCATCTATACCATTGCAATATCCTTACAAATATCATAAGAATTTTCAAAAGGAAAAACTTCTATATTAATTGTGGAAATAAATACTTGCTAAAATCCCCTGACTCTAGTCACAAGTTTGTAAACAGATAAAATATTTTTGTTTATTCTTTTAAGCAGTGTGATCTCTCACAATTATTTCATTTCATTTCATTATTCTGTTATGTACTTATGATATTCATGCATCCCTCTCCGTAACAGGCGCTTTCTTCCTCAATCATCCTCGATAACACTCGGATCCAGCGGTCATCACATAAACACACTATATTCTTCTAAAGACACATTTTACACAGTATTCACAGTTTTAACCACTAGGTCAAGGTGTAAACACACAGACTTCACTAACAAACCAAATGTCTTCTCTAACATGACGAAAAAATATTCCACAACCTCACATTGGCGAAGGTACCACGTTTTGTTACTGGTGACCCGTATATCACATGTGAAGCAGGTTATCATGGTCATCTCTTCATCATGAGACAATGTACGTTACAAATTATGGCATATCCAAAATAGGCGATTCAGTCACTGATCAACTGTCATGATTTACTGAGAATAATCAAGACTGGACTGTTCGTTCAGTAGTTGTTGGGAAGTAAGGAATTCTGTAAGTTAAAGCTATAGAAATTATTATAGACCACATTGGAGCCACTGTCCTTAGACATATTAAGTAACATGTAAGTGAACAAAATGCTGATGATGCAAGCCATGCACATTCCAGTTACATATTGAACTAAAAAATACAGTTCACAGAAAACAATACTGTACAAAAGTTGTACTCAGCTCCAGGTTATTAATATGAAAATAACTGGAAAGTGGTTATAATATTGAATCGTACATATACTGCCTTGTGTAGTGAACTTCATGCTTACATTGCTCTTATGGGTGATCCACTAGTCCAAAACTCCAGCAAATCAAAATCAGAATAGTGCTTTCTAGTATTACTGAAATAACTTCATTCACTTGCAAACAGCAATTCAAATAATGAAAATAGTATATTATTTTTTGTAATTCATAATGAATTTGTAGAAAATGAATCACAGTGTAACATATCCAACAAGTTTATGCTACTCAGTAACTGATTCTAGCCTCACTTCTAATTCCTGCCACCTCTCAAACAAAACATGCAGAAAAATGCAGGAAGATTACTACTACTGCTTCTTTGGGATAGCACAGAAGTTAATTCTTATACGCTTCGGTAATTAACATTCAACGCCATTAGGTAATGTCTTTGGGGGAAAAAATTCAGTCATAATACATAATAAATAATTTGATTCAGTAATTTATAAGGAGTAACAATTTTTACTGCCACTTTCTTGATAATATTGACATTGTGTAATACAATATAAATTCTCTTCAAATCACAAAAGAAGTGTAGAGAACTGCAAAAGTCCACTGATACTACAAGTTGGTCTCTAGCTCAAGAGATGTTTAGAAACCCCACATACAGTGGCATGTTTCAAAACAAGTTGAATGGGCCTCCTTGATCTCTAATGTGGCCTTATTTCTTCTGAAAATTTTAAACACTCTTGTCCTAAGACTAAGAGTACCTTACACGTCCAAGCAGTATAACCAACTTTGTTAAAGCCATCTTACCACCCTCTAACAATAAGCCCCAGAAGCATATGGAGTGGTAAGGCTGATGAACTGACATCTAAAATGTATCCAATACAATAAATTCTTCTTCATTCACAAACTTTGGACACCATTTTCTCCATTTCAACATCAGTGTCAATGTCATGATTGACATTCTCTTCCACAGAATGTTTCTGATCGTTGGCGAGCCCACCTGTAGCACCAAAAGGAGCAAATCCTTGACTAGAACTACCAACAACAGGGGACGCTTCTTTTGAATCCGGAGCACTTTGAAGACTGGATGCAGGCGGAGATGAAGTAAGCTGAAATGCAGGATCAGCAAGGTCCTCGAGACCTTCTGGAGTTTTCAGTTTACTAAGCTCTTCTCTCAACTGACGAAAGTGCCGCTGAAAAAAAATATGAATTTATGTTCTGTATTCCATTCTGAAACTAATATCTAGAACTGTAGGATCACTGTCTATGGATTAAATACACCTTTATAAAAGTCAGAATTTTAATTCAAACACAAAGAATACTTATGTATTTACAGATAATGCGTTGCTTAATGTTTACAGTTTGTTGCACCTAATTCGCATACTGGGGAGTGGAGTCCAGTTGGGTTCACTCGGCACGGCGGCCACTGATCGGCCTATTGTACTTGCCCCGGGTGATAACGATGGAGAATTGTGTGCAATGAAAATTGGCAGGGGAAACCGAAGTACTCGGAGAAAACCTACCCCAGCACCATTTTGTCCACCACAAATCCCACTTGACCAGACCCGAGTCACTGGGAAGCCAGTGACTAACTGCTTGGGCTATGGCGCAGCCTTTGTTGCACATAACTGTCAATGTTTATTTAATCAATGTATTCACAGTCTTTCTCCCTTTAAATGTTACAAATTTTGGCCAAGCATAAAAGAAGACTATATACTCACACATGGCTAAATAGATCTGTATTACGGCACTTGACATGAAGAGCTGCATTGGTGGCTACAAAGCATAGAAACCAATAATAATACAAACACTACCTTGAGAGCCATTGCGTTCAGAGAAATGGCTCTTCCAGTACGCCTGTCTCCACACTGGGTTTCCATGTCAGAGATCCAACCTTCAATCTGATTTAAAATTTCTTGACGCTTCATCCAAAAATGTGTATGAATGACCTATAAAACATAATATGTATTGATGTATGATGTATTTATTTTATATATTATATTTTTAAAAAAACTAGTATACAAATATAATATATTTAGTAAAATGTATACGATGAATTCATTTTATATCAAAGAACTGTATGATCAATATTTATTTTATGTAAAAATCTCATCTTGAATTTTATTGAAGTTTTAATGTTTAAATATTAGAGAATAACTTTATTATGACGTAAATAGTTTTTGTTATAAATTATACATAGATTTTATTAGACAATTAATTGATTGCATTAGCAAGATAATTTGACACAATTCTGTATCTAGGCTTCGGCCTCAAATGGATGTGATGGAACAAAAAATTAAAATTAAAGTTATAATAACCATGCTATTTTATTCATAACAGGCCATCATGCAATTCCTAAATTTTATCAAGCTACAGTTATAATTCAGACTTTTAAAATGTCAAAAAATCTGAAACACAAATATTTGCTAAGTATTAGATTATAAATAGCATACAGGGGATTTTACACTGCCTCCTGAGGCAATCTACAAAGAACACAGGATTTGGGAGCTGAAAGATGTTGGGAAGACACATGGAGACAATAAGTTATACACAATACATTTTATTCTTGTGTAACACCTCAATAATATTATTCTAGGATCTTTTGCAGGAAAGAACAGCCACTGTGCTACTGATATCACATATTCAGTTATCATTATATGCCATACCATTTATTTTTTAAACATTCAATTTGTCATACATACCTCTCTGAAACATGGACATGGATTTCTAACCTGCTCCAGCATAGCCCACTTAACAGTAGCCTGACAAATATTGGAGTTATATTCTCGTGAACTCTGGTTGCCAGAAGGAGTTCCTCTGGATCGCTCATAGCCTGGTTCATTGAAGTATGGTTCAGGAACTAAGATTAGGGACTGTATAGACACTAAGACCTACAAGAAAAATGAAGAAATAAACCATTGTGATTAATGTTTCACTTATGACCTTACTGGCTTTTCTGCCCTCTGACCAACTGGTTAGGTGAATAAATCCAATTCTGAAACTGAAGCATCCTTGATGTTGATTCTGCTATTCCCAGCAACAGCTGCACATGGCTTACCATCTGGATCCACTGACCTGTTTTGTAGCCACCTAACCAAGAGAGTATTTAATGTTCAATTTTCTGGAAAATTTTCCTCAGCACTTGCTGATTTCTTAGATGGAATGCAGATCATGCTTTTCAACATATTTATGTAGGATATGTGTGTCAAACTGAACGCTACAAGGTGTCTTCTTTATGCTGATAACAATATTTGATGTCATCAAAAATACATAAATGATTTTACTGCCTGATACTGACATTCTGCAAGATATATGTTGTGTTAACCTCATGAAATGTAACACACAAAACCATGTTTTAATCTAACCTTTTTTTTTTTGTGCTGATTCTATACTGGCCACATGCCTGCTGAGCAGCATGTAAATAAGGAACCAAATTGTTATATCATTGTTGTCAATGACGAATCTCCTGTGGCTCTAAGTTCATAATGATGAACTAGTTAATTACCATTAAGGTCACAGTAAGACAGGTTAATAAGCTTCAAACCTGCAGGGTAACAATTTTCTTTGCAATAATTTATCTCCTCCTGTATTCGTATAAATTTTCACCACTTGCTTAAGAAACCTACGCCTTTATTCAGTTACGATTATGAAAATCCTAGAACTACATATACAAACAAAACAAATACCTGTAAGAAACTTGAAGTTTGAGCATTCCATTTTTCTTCTGGCCGTCCATGCCATGTATTGAGCACACTTAAGCACACTTTACCATCATTGTAGAGGTTTGGATTGAACCTGATAGTGTGATGTCCAGTGGTCTCCAGGTTGATGTGCATTGGAGAATTAGGATAGTCAGGTGGAAAGTACACATCAAATTCAAAGCATCCATTGGCATATGGAGTTTCAGCAGGTCCAGTTATCAGCACCTTGGAATGAGAAATCAAAATGATACACCTTCAGAGTAACTGGAGCCATAAACTCTACAATTGTACATTCAGAAAAGCTCTGTACAACAGTTCAAGAAAGCTATTTTTCTGGCAGGTTATGATCTCTAGGATAAGTACTGCCAATATTAATGGCTGCAAATTGAAGCCTGATTCAATTCAATCAAATCCACATTACCACAGTTCATTTCCTCAAGATTCTCCAACATCTATCTCAGTCATAATTTTCGAAGTGGTTTCCCCACTATAAATCTAAATGTTTCTCTTGTTACTTCCATCCGAGCTACAAGCCCTATGAAACCCCTCACTAATGAAAGAGCTAATATTGATTTGTTTTACTATTACAGCAAGTGGATAACAACATGTGCATACTGTGATAGTCAGCTTTTCTTGCACAACAGGAACTCATGAAGTTCTAGCAATTTCTCAGCCCTCAATGAAGAAGTTTTCAATATATAAGATCTAAATTTGAAAGACCATATAAATAAAAACCTAACCTTCAATGATCAAAATGTAATTTGATGCAAATTTCCTATAATGAATATATTTTGCCTAAAAAACTATATGAAGTATAAGTCCCTCAACAGTTTCTCTTACTTAAATGCCATCCTCAACCATCTTGTGGTATTCCTTGTTTAAATGATGAATTACTTGTCCCTAGAAATAATAATTACTTTAGTGCTGACAGAAATGGCAATGGTATGGGCAAGCCTGTCTGGAGGCTCAAATTTATCGACCCTACCAACAGAACTGCCACTTCAAGGCTAATAACCAAATGGTGGGACTTCATGTTGCTTTATGCTTGCATGGAGGGCATGTGGCTGCATAATTGGTTGAGGCATTATGCTACAAGTCGGAAGGTCACAGGTTCAAGTCCCAATGAGGTGGATTTATTTTTCAATAGACCTAATCCTTCCAGTCACACTATGGCCCTTGGGTTGACTCAGCCTCTTAACAGAAACGAGTATGCTTGCATGACATAAAGGTTCTTTAAACTAGTTGCACTACTGTAATGGTAAATGCATAGTCCACCATTCCAACAGCCTTGCAGTATTAAGGGATTTCAAATCCTCAATTCTTGGACTACAAAGGTTAATGCTGATGACAATGAGAAACTATCTTACCTTCATAATGTCAAGACGATCAGTATCACAGCGAACAAACACGGAACTGCTGTAGGATAAGGGGAGAGATGTTGACAGAGTGACTGTTTCCTGTGCCAGCCTCTTCACTCTTGAAGGGTGACTCCTTTCGCCTGCTGCACGCATATTTGACTCGAAGTGATATGAAACAACAAATTGGTACCCACCTTCACTGCACTCTGTTATCATCTCGTATGTATCTAGAAAGGAGAACATATACTTATTTAACGTTATTACAAAACAATAAAGATCACACACACAAAACTATCGTGTTTTATTACACACAGACCATAAACTACTTTTATGACAGGACTGACTACTACAAAAAATTTATTCCAGACCCAGTATAACATTCTGTAGTATAACGTTTTAGAATGAAAAGACGTTACCACTTAACCCTCATCCTGCAAGACCATGTTTTGTCAGCTGTCTGCAATGGCTCATTCAGTATATTCATAGCTACCTTTTATATCTGCATACCATCTCTTCCATTCAAAACATGAGAACAATGCCCATATAAGCCCACCATATCTGAGACTGTGCAACATGCTGTTAGGGTGAGGAATTGTTAGCCACCCTAAGAAAGAGGACCAACAAGTAAAAATTTATGGGAAAAATAAAAGCTGTAAATGGATTTTACACAGCAATTATAAATTCCAAAGTAACAACTTAAAAATACATTACACCCCATTCTTATTAATCTATAAATAACATACTGCAACATGAAATACAGTTTTCAAGTATATTTCTGTGTGGACAAATATAAGTGCTGAACAACACACATTTGCAGAGCTGAAGAAATGCTAACTTAATTCACCATTGAAAGAAGTCATGCCTTCGGTAATAGTACAGCTAATCCTGTAACAGGCTGTGGGGGCCCTTGGGATTGTAAGACATTGAGGTTCCCATATTATCTAGACAATCAGCTCATAGATGGCAGTGAGACTGTCAGCCTTACGTGTGGCTGCACTTTACCCCCAGGAAATTCCTGGTACTCGTTTGTGTTAGAGGCTGAGTCAATCCCAGGAACACAGTGCAGATGGAAGGATTAGGTCAATTGAAAAAATTAAAGACCTCATTGGGAATTAAATCTGCAACCTTCCAGTTTTTAGCATGGTGCCTCAACCAACTACACCAAATAATACTGTGATGTGAGGGTTAAACTACAATAGTGGAGTGAGAAAAGACAGTTGTTGCTATGCAACAGCACAGTAAATGCCTCCATGCAGCAACAAATGCACACGTAAAAAAAGGTGCTGTTGGGTCAGCAGGAAAACAGTGTTTTTTATGCAGTCTGTGCAGAGACTATATAGTAAAGACTATCAGAAGAATTTAACCCGTCACAGCCATGAGGAGTTGAGAGATGGTAGCCAGGTGACAGTGACATGAGCACAAGAGCAGAAGAATATATATTGCCGAGAGCCGTTACCGGGCAAAGACTGGACAAGACACAGAGAACTCTGTGTGTGCTGCAGTACAATGATCTGCAGTGTGTATGATCTGTGAGTCTTATAATTACATGTGGTTATGAGTTATATGTGTTCAGTAAACCCAGTTACCAATCCAAACATTGTGCTCAGTCTCCAAAATATGTGAAAAAATAAAAATGATATATAAAACAAACAGTATACATCAGTTTTTAACTTGACAGCCATAGTTTCTACTCATCACAAATGTACAAACAAGTATACATACCAAACTGTAACTGCTTCATGACTTCCAAGTACCTCTCTTCCAGTGACCTCTGCAGAGGACATTCCAAGTTGCCTGACAATGCACTGTCTTTCCCTGCTGGAGCCTCAACTTCATCTTCCAGTACAAGACGATCAGTAGCAACCTGTAAATTATATAAAAGGATGCAATCCCTCATGTTACAATGCTATACTGTTTGTCAAAATTTACTTGCTGAAACCTCATTTAAATAGTTAAAATGAAAGTGAAAAGACTAAAACCTGACAAATATCTACATGTATTTTATATTCTAAACCTACATTTATCAGATTCTCCAAAAAACTTTATTTAATATACATGAATATCTCTGTCATTAACTTCTATAACTTTCGGTATGAAACATCATTTGATTTCTCTGTCAATGAATCAAGTAAGTTTGTGAGGCAGGCCTGAAGCGATCTGATCTGGTCGACACATAAGCCAGCTCCTTCCACTATATGTAATTCATATATGTGTTAAAAATCAGAACCAGAAAGCAAAACATTTGATTTATTGGGCCCCTTCACATAATATATAAGGCTTCTCATAAGGGTCTATACGTTTATTCCAAAACATTTCTTCCATCTAGTATGCACTCAAGATAAACTTCAATGTTTGTTTAGGCCACAAATTGGTCACAGGATGTTCAAGCAAACTTTAAGAACCAACAGATGCAGAATTCAGTAACCACAGTTCCCAATTATGTGACAACTGAACTTTAGTATTTAGGTAGAAATTCACCCTGTCTGTGTTTGTGTGTCATTACTGTACCCACAATTCTCAGAATGTGGAAGTAATTGCATATGTTAATATCTTATAGACATTAACATCCTGGCAAGGTTATCAACTACCATAACTGAGACTGTTCATAAGTCTCCTCAGTCTCAAAATAGGTCAAAATCTCCACCTTTCAGATTTTAACCATTCATGATTACCTTAACACCTCTCTTGATGATAAATACAACCTCTACAGTCGAACAGCTCTAATAACCTAGGAATCAATCATTAATCTTACACTGTACATGCAGGTGAGTACTGATTACATGAAAAATACAAAATATAGTATATCTGTCCAAGAGTGGTAAACATGAGAACTAACAATAGAGAAGCTCTGTTATGCTCTTCTTGATTAATTTTCCCACACCAGCCACCTTCAATTCCATTGTTAAGAACTAAGGTGGTGACATTGTGGGACACAAGCTGGTGATATTAAATAGTTTTATTTCAGTCTTTCTAATGTCAAACAGCTGAAGGCATAAAGAACAAATAAACTATCCAAGATGGGAGGATTATAAGAACTTTATTATGTTTTATTCAGTTTCATAATTAGGATTGATGACTTCAGTTGCTGTAACAAATTGGCATAATCTTAATTCTTGTAGACTACAGTTAAACTGAAGTCTGTTAACAGAGAAATCTGTGCTTTGTAACATTAAACTGGACTGCCAAGAAGTAACCTGTCCCAGTGCTTTATATGATGAAAAGCAAACACGTGTAACATAATGTAATTTGTTGGTGATTGTTTCTGCAAAACTCTTCAAAAATTTCAGATCCCATAAATTCTGTGTACCTGTACAAGATTGGCCGTCTCCTGAATGTCAGGAATAAGGAGTGCCAATCCCTCATCCTGCTCCAGTTCATCCTGATATTTGTTTGGCAACCTTGATTTTCCATTGCCTTTTGATTTGTTGATCCTGAAAATGAAATGCTCTTTTAACTCCGAGCCTGATGTATAATGTATCAAATACAGGCAATGGTAAACATAGAGACATCAGAAAAACAAGAGAGAACATGTAATGATAATGACCATTATAACCAGCACTTCTTTCCAGTCAGTACACATACTGGAAAACTTTCCAAAGTCACTCATCTGTCAGTGCAAAATACATCTCAACTCTTGACCTTAAACCCGACCATAGGAGTACTGGCTAAAATGTTTCTGGAAAAAGTTCTGATTATTCAACAGCTGTGGTGGGGGTGGGGGGTGGCGGTGACAATGACAACACAGGCTTTCATGGTGACGTAACACGAACATATATTTAGTGAGAATAAAATCTGAAATTCTAGACTTATAATAACTTTGATATATATTTTCTACAATAATTTTAACAGACGTATTTTCTACATAACTGCTGCTACACCACTTAACAGTGAAATGATTTTCCTTCAAACCATTCACTTCAAATATTAAAAACATTACCAATAACTGTTCTTTTTTTTTTATTTTAATAAGCATTACATATATCATTCCACATAAAACAACTGAGTCGTGTTCACTTACTTGAGGCGTGAAGCGTAAGTATTAACGCAGTTCTTCATCTTTGTGAGCAGACAAATAACTGACAATTCATCTCCCTGAGCTGACTTCTGCCTTCTGTTTTGAGGCAGTAGGAGTGATACAAGTTGTGGACTAAGTGCCATTGCCCGAAGAAGTTGTAACACAGCTCGATATAATGGTATGTGCCTAGCCATATCCAGAACTGCAACCATAAATGTTACATAGTTTAAAAGTGAGAAATTGTGTGCAAGATTTCTGGATATGAAATTCGAAAACATTCCAGATATCATGAACAATATTCTCAATATTTCTTCATAAATGATTCTTTCTATATTTATCATTCCAAGAATAAAATTCTACACACACATACTAGCAAGTATTCCCAGCTAAAGAAACCTTTTACTTCTGTATCATATAAATTTTATGGAGTGCATACGCATACAAACACAAAGCAAATATGCTGAAAGCATATGCCTATGTGATATGAAGGGTCATGTCTCAAAGACTTCAGTTTGTGCTCTAAACTTACCAGAATCATTTCGAAGGTATGAAGACAAAGCCGGCAACAGAGAGGATTGTTGCAAGAGGTCATGGAATAACATGGGTAACTGTGGTTGTTCTGGGCCGCTTTCACTTTCGCTTTCGCTCTCATCTTCATCCTCTTCAGCAAAGAAGTTTGGAGGAACTGCCCCACCCGGATTAATGTAACTTGACAGCACCTATTAATGAACAAGCCATATGCCGTGACGTTTCAGCTGACGAACAGTATTTCATCATACAGAGTATTCACAGTTTCAACTAATTCTCTGGTAATGAAACCCAAAGGTATAACTGTAAAAGCTAAAACCTGCTACTGAACTTGTTCCCAAGTGCTTCAATGCCATTTCACTTTCTTGCATCTTATTTCTCTAAGATTTACCGTATTTACGTATGTATAGGCCGCACATTTTTTGCCAAAAATTCAAGAGGAAAACTGGGGTGCGGCTTATATTCGAAATATTCGAAATCACACTTCATTTTAAAAAAATTAAACGTTGCCAAATTTCGGAATAAATTCTACTCCTGAAATAATATTCCAAGAAAATTATTTTTTCTATAATTTCTGTCTGAAAATTGTGCTGCGGCCTATACATGCGTAAATATGGTATTTCATTGGTATCCTCTTTATCTCCTCAGTCTTTCAACAGGTTAATTCTCCCCACCACAATCCCACAGGCATTTCTTATCTCCTGCTACATGGACTACCCTAACAATAATTGGTCAGTTGCATTAAGCACAGGTTTCTCAATACAACATTCTTTTCTTGAGCACTGTTTTCAAATACATGCACTTTTACATTTTCCTTTCAGAATAAGAGAGAATATTCCACAACGAATAAAACAAATGGTATACACTTCCCTCATGCATGCAACGCAAGAGCTAAGCAAATGTGACCCATGTAACTACATAAGTTTAACTTGGTGGAAAAGATTGTAAACAAGGTCTGANTACTTTTCTGTCTGAATTAGATTTTGCAGTTGTTGTGAGGCTGATTATTTCATAAATTGTACCAGCTATCTTTCTGTCGCTTAGATCACCCAGAACTTTTATTCTTTTATTGTTTCCTTTTCATCAGCTTGCTATAACATTTTATAAACATCAGTGGGATTGTAAGTTTTGAGGTTTTCACGGCGATGACTATGAAGAAAGTCGTCTTCTGGGTTTAGGCGCCGTGTATTCTTCGTTTTGGCCAAAACGAAGAATACACGGCGCCTAAACCCAGAAGACGACTTTCTTCATAGTCATCGCCGTGAAAACCTCAAAACTTACAATCCCACTGATGTTTATAAAATGTTATAGCAAGCTGAAGAAAAGGAAACAATAAAAGAATAAAAGTTCTGGGTGATCTAAGCGACAGAAAGATAGCTGGTACAATTTATGAAATAATCAGCCTCACAACAACTGCAAAATCTAATTCAGACAGAAAAGTAACTTAAATTGTGAAAAATTATCATATGACTGCTCAAAAAGACAGCTTGAGAACTGAGTATGAACAAGGAATTCAGAAAGACAATTTCTCTCACTATGCCAGAAAGAATCTTCAAGAAACTGCAGACTAACTATTTAAATTTTCACTTTAAGCAGTATATTACATGCATAAATTTCTAATTGCATGACCTGCAAACGACTTGCAGACATGCCAAATTTTTAAGTTTGTTAGCACAAAAGACAAACATGAAGGTTTACCTGCAGCAGCACAGTGACATGTTCTTCTTCACTACGCTGGCGTAACAATGCTTGTTCCACATTCCATGACTGTGTAGTACTACCAGTGCCAAAACCAGTTCCTTTAGCCCAGTATAAATGTGACTTGTCATCAGAGTTTCCTAGGCTGTCTTGTAAAATAGCAGCGGCCTTTGAGACAGCAGTGGCTTTTGTGGCAGCAATGACCAGCTGAAAGTGAAATTCATACTATACTGTGAGACTTGAGGTTCTGATGGCTGTGACTGAAGAAATTGTCTTCTAGGATGTTATATGTAGTCTGGTAAACATCCATATGTGTTCTGAAGTAATTGCCTCCATTTTCAGGGAAGAAGGGAGAGTAAGTTCCTCTGAGACACTGGTAGTATATCCCAGTAGTTAGCATTCTTCATTCTGTTTTATTTATATTCATAGTCATCAGACTTTACATTATACACAAATTCCTACCATGTGTGTTTCAATCTGAAGAAATGTGAACATATTACTCTGTTTCAGCGACACAGCAATCTTTTGATATTTTACAGTATAATTCCATGGGTATTAAAACCCAAGAGCCACTTCATTAATCCAATTACTTCTTACTTATCAGTTCGGTTAATTCAAACCTACCTCCTGCTGAACTCCAGGGAGATTTACATGCTGAACTCCAGGGAGATTTACACCTTGTGATTGATGAGTAAGTACAGAGAGACAACCCAACAGCAGATGTATAGCACCAATATCAATGGTAGTACGCCGCAACAAAACTCCATCATCAGTTGTCAGGGGTGTGGAGTCAAAAAGTTGACGCAAGACTTGGAATGGTAATGTATGTAGAGAACCAGCAACTGGAGAGCTAAAAATATCTCCTAGGGATAAAATACGCTCAGAATTAATCTTAATCTATTCTACATCATCTAACCAGGCTGTATTAAGTATTACAGTGGAAGTTCAACTTCAACAAACTTCAGTCAATAAGCTCTATGTCAAGTTACACCCATTAGTATTAAATGAGAGGAGGTTGATTAGATAAAATAAAAAGACTGGGGGCATAAAATGTATTATTTTGGATGTTACCTGGAAGGACAAAAACCATGCTGCAGAAGCAATCTAGTGTAATCAGATTCTCCTGTGCTACTGAGGTATAACATTCCATATCCCTGACAAAATTATGCAGACTTACACCATTTTTTCTCTGAAGAGTAGTAGTATCTGTTAAGCAGTTTGTCATATGTGTACCCTTACTCCATGAATTATGTGATTTGTCTTCCTTGTATCAGTTAACAGAAATGATATTATGCACATCACCTAAAACACTACTGTATTTTATCAGAAGCAACATTTTATCACCTAATAATTATGAAATGGAGAAAATAACTATAATTTTATCTTCAGCTATTTTCACACACAAATTTACACTATTGTACTAGCGACATTATAACGGGATCCCCATTTAACATTTCTCAGTTCAAAATTTTTACCCATTTATGTTCACAAATCTTTTGTCTTGTAAATAAATACTAAATGGGGAATTTACTGCATGCTAATAAAACCACAAAGTTATGGAATTCATGGATTATTCCCCCAAATTTAACTGCTGTGTTCAACTATCATCTTACCATAGTCTGGCAGGCAAACCACTGATACATACCCCCTTCTCCATCATCCGTGACACCTAAAACCAGCCTGAGAAGACATTGAGCCTTTTTCTTGTCTCGAAGTAGAACTTCAGCATAGCCAGGTAGACGCAGGAATAAACCAAATGCTGCAAGGGAATGTGGAGGGACTGAAGGAGGTGGTAATGAGTTCGATCGATTCCCACCTGCATTGGGCGAAGAACTGCCTGCAGGAAGGGAATCTTCCAAGTCCTATAAACAGAAAATAAATGTGACAATAACAGAAGGTGGATCTCTGGGCTCAGAACAGAAACACTATTGGCTTAGTGCACATTAACACAAGAAATGAGAGCATTTATGAGTGCAAATGTGCATGATATGCACTTTGCTAAGTGAGACAGGCTATATGTTTGTGTCCAGTGGGGTAATTACGAATGTGCTTCAAGATGTTTTTATTTTCACCTTTTCCAATTTCATGGAAACAGCACAACAAGACATGTTGCAGTATAATCTGCCTGGGCACCTCATTTCCAGAGTAACTGATATTTCCTGTTCATACTGCAAAGAATAAAATGTGACTATGACTTAGAGAAAGAAGTAGAAAATATCGATATTTCAAAAGAACTATACGATCCTGCACATAACCTGACGGGTTGCCTTGGATGTGCGATGACAAAGGACTGCCACATGCTCACCCTGCACCAAAATGTATCAATCACTATAAGAAAGCGCTCCCAGTACTTACTGTCTAGGATACAAAATTTTATTTATGAATTTATGTGTTTCTTTGAAGCAAATTAAATGTGTAAAGGAATAAAAACATGCAATACAAGTAATTCTTAATATAAGATGCAAGGCAACAATGCAATTAAGTAGCTCTATCTTGCTCAGCACAGGTAGTCATCATCCTATATACAGTTTCCTTCTAATTCGCAGGGGAAGAACAAAAATATATTATTAGATGGAATTTGTTTATCAATTTGGGGGGAGAATCTGAAGGAGGGGGATGAAAACATTCGACAGCTATGGAGCAGGAAACTGAGAATTCATGAAAATGGTAAAATCTCGAGAAGTATATCTGAGAGGAAAGGATGTGTATAACTTTTCCCTAAATATGAGATTCTGGTTGCAACTTCCAGAGGTATACACTGTTTCTACACTTAGAAACAATTATAAAACATACGTTAACCTCATAGATGTCATCATTGGCATCCACTTTGACCCACTCTGCATCAAGAGCATCAGGAGTGGACACTTTATCTGGAGTAATGTAACGGAGTGTTTCAGGGTACACAAGAGGCAGATGCTGTGCCAAGAGAGCCAAACCCCCCTGCTGAGTGAACACCTGCAGAGGTGTTGGTAAGCCAGGGTATGAGAGCAACTGGTTACATTCACTCTTTGATGTGTCATCTGTAAGACAAACACATTTTCTGTGATAAATAGCATAATATTCATAACAAGTTGCATTGAAACCCGTCAAATGGCTCAAAATCTGCTTGTTAAAACACACAGAAATAGATACCATTTTAATTCTCATGTTCTCTATTAAATAACTTCATACACAGTAACACACAAAGTGCTCATACTCAGAAAGCAATTCTTGAAACTCATCCATTAAGTGAATATCAGATAAATGAAAATCAAATTTCTGTTAATATGAAGACAACAATTATAGATATGAGCTTATATAAAACTTACATATATAACTGCAAAAGAAACGTAAACATATGGTACACCTATAAGTACTTTAATAGAATTTAATATAATTTTGTAAAAATCATAAAATTACAAAGTAAAATGTTTATTCACTCAATATCCAAACATGTTTTGATTGCTTTTACCCCTGCAGTGCATAATGTAATTAGCAAAACAGTACCATTCTGTCTCTGTCCTGGTCAGTATCAAACCCTTAAACTGTTTAATATGCCACCTCAGAAAACTTAATGAGAGACAAACAACACATATTTTATACAAACTTTTACTGGTTATACATATAGGTGTCCCAAAAATGCATATAATATGTCTATCTAATGCACATGATAAATATAAGAATTTAATTTCCTGTGAAGCTTATACTGGCAGTATAATACATGACTACACAGTGTCATAATTCTTTTTGTTAAAGGTATTACAAGTTTATACGATAAATGACAATCCTGCAGTACTCTTGAGTGCTTTTACTAAAAGTACTGGTTAATAGAACACACCTGATAAAAGCTCTGAATGGAAACATGATGGGGTATTCAGCAAACAAACATTATTTATAACATAATCTGACAGTGTTTACTACATTATAACAAATTATAATGGCACACAAACCAATGCAGGGAGAATTACATGATGTATTTAATCTATTTATTAATGAACAGTACTATAGCAATCAAGCAGCATAAAGAAGGGAAGAGAATAAGAAAATGAAGTGGTACTATGTATTTGGTGATGGAGGGAACTGGAAACATGTAAATGGCTTGACATGTTTCACTATAGTAAATACTGTCACTTAACATTCATGGAATGAGGAGTCTGTGTGTACAATGGTTAATTTAAATACCTTTGGTGTCTTTATTTGATGAAGTTTTGGTATGCTGTGTGAGTGTGAGGGCAATACAAGGAGTGCTCAGGGATACTCCTTGTTCTTGTGCAAATGTAAGAAGTTGTGACAGTGTCATCTGGCCAGGCAATGACACACCAGGACACATAGGGTGCTGCAATGTCTGCTGAGGCACTGAGAACCCTGACACAAATGGTGCTGTGGGTGAGGCTGAATCTGCAAACAAGAAAGACATGAAACAAACATTAAACTATAGCATATTTTTTGTGATTGTGCAAACGCTGCAACAACTGGGTAGTTATACATTCAATGCCAGCCAGCCATCTGCACTGTACCATTTTAGAATTAACACTACAAACTCAATGTCACAGCCACATCATTAGTATGTATGTACTTGGTACATCCTAGGTTCAAATCTCAGACTGGGGACCAGCTATCCTCACTGTGCATGTATGGGTGATAGGGGGTTAAAAAACCTTAAAGCTATCCCTGTAACAGACCAGTAGACAGTAAGCTCACAGATGGAGGTCAGGTTGTCAGACTCATGTGCTGGATGCTCTTTGCCCCCAGGAAGATTCCTGGTACTCATTTCTGTTCGAGGCTGAGCCAATCCCTGGGCCATAGTGCAGCTGGAAGGATTGGATCAACTGACAAATCCAACAACTTCATTGTGAACTGAACCTGTGGCCTGGCTTGTAGCACAGTGCCTCAACCAACTATGCTTATGGTTGGCATTTCTGTTTCTCATCTAAATGCCAGGATAATATAACCAATTCCTTCACATTCCTACCCACTCATATTTCACTAATCATCCTAACATTCAACACCACATACCTGAACAACCAGCACAGTGTAATTAAATAAAGGAACAGACGTTGCTGTGCTTAATTAAGCATCACACCATATGACATATGAAGGAGTGGAGGTATGGCTCCATCATTCTTGACTGCAGCACCAGATGGAGGTGAGTAGTCAGCTTCACACTCCTGCTGTTTTACTCCTGAGGAAAGAGCCCCAAAACCCGCTGAATGGGATGCTATGGAGAGGAGAAAAATCTTGCTCCTGCCAGCAATCAAACCCTGGCTATCCAGCCCACAATCGTATCTATACTGACTCAGCTATCACGGCTCTTGTAATTAAATAAATAGAATAAAACATGCACTTCAATATTCCAGAAAACTGTTGTCATCTGCGATCTCAATCAGGAAATAAAACCATCATTTTCATACCTGTGAGCCCACTTGAACGGGACTTCTTAGCAAAAGGTGATCGGCTGCTACTGGCAGCAGCATTTTTTGCGTCCTTGACCCGTTTGTCCTTAGCTGTGACTCCTGCTGCCATAGAGAGCGGATCAACAAGCCCCACACCTATTTCCCACAGCTCCTTCCGTGAGTCCTTGTTGCCACTAAGGCTTGCCACATTATCGCTGACCTTGGTGTCTCCCAAGAAAGGAAGCAAATTTCCTGAGGCTAGAAAAGATAACAGCAAATAAATATAACGTACAACAGACTTCACACATGTACATGCTTGCATGTGTGTATACAGTACACAAAATTCCTGTCCATGCACAGCATAATTCAGCATAAGCACATAGAAAATAACAATAAAAGGTAACTACAGTGTCTCTTACGGGTAGTAATTCACAGTAAACCCAGCAATAACTTCTTCATACTAGTGAATAATTAGATATGTTACTTTCTATCAGTCAATAATCTGGTTTCCTGTGATAACTTCTATGTATTTGGAGGAGGGTACCAGAGAGGATATAGAATACAAAGTCCCCTTTATAGATTATTAACTGCTTTCTGGTAGGAGAAGACAGTAACCGCCACATTCACCGCCAGTAGAATCTTGAACTTCACAATGTGCCCTGTATTACGTAAAACTGGATTCATACACTCATACAACATGGAATCCTTAACAGAACATATATTAATCAGAGGAAGAGAACTCAGACACAGTAAACAAAATGTTGTTCAATTAAAAAAAAAAAAATTTAATTCACTTAGTGGGGGGTGGCGTCCAACTGGGTCCACTCAGCACAGCAGCCACTGATTGGCCTATTGTAGCCTGCCCCAGGTGATTATGATGATGGAGAATTTAGGGGAATGAAGACTGGCAGGGGAAACCGAAGTACTTGGAGAAAACCCGCCCCAGCACCACTTTATCCAGCACAAATGCCACCTGACTAGACCCGGGATCGAACCTGGGCCGCCAAGGTGGGAAGCCAGCGACTAACTGCTTGAGCTATGGTGCAGCCAAATTTTGTTTAAGTCAGGTCCCAATAACAGACCTAGGCACTTCCAGGAACTGAGAGCCAAGATGCCCTCCCCCCACCTCATCTTAGCCCCTTCCTAGTATGTAAGAAATACTATATGAAGTGGAAGTAACATTTTATGTCTTCCAATGTAAGTTTTCCCACATTTAACATTCAACTCCAATGACCACAGTCTATTTCAGTGTTAAATTTCCTCCACAAGATTTTTCTTCTTTAGTTTCCAACTGCTCTTCCACAAAGAAATTTAAAATACATCCTCACAAATTTCACATCATACCAGAACATATATGAATGATCACCTATGCAAGTTGAGTGTGATATCAGTGTGATATGTTATAAAACTCAAGGTGCTTTCATTTCGTATGGACATGTATATATAATTACTCAACAAGCGCCAAATAAAAAGTAAAGTAAAGGTATGCCTGTAACAGGCCATGGAGGCCCATAGGGTTGTGAGATGTTGAGGCTCCCACATTTTCTACACAATCGGCTCATGGATGGCGGCAAGGTTGTCAGCCCTACATGCCTGCCGCCCTTTACCCCCAAGAATATTCCTGGTACTCATTTCTGTTAGAGACTGAGTCGACACCCGGGCCATAGTGCAGTTGGAAGTAGTAGGTCATTTGAAAAAAATCCAGCGATCCTATTGGGACTTGAACCCACAACCTTCTGGCATGTAGCATAGTGCCTCAACCAACTACGCTACTCAACAAGCACCAAACAGTCCTTAATTAAGGTAGCATCTCTATAAGACATACTGTATTAAAATGCAGTTGATATAAAATCACTAGTTATATCTACCATAACATTTAACAATTTACTACTGACTGGTGACGTAGTATTGACAGCAAGGCTTCAGGTTCTGTCATTGGATATAACTGTGTCTTGGAGTACGGACTCAGAACTGTAAGTCACATATTTTAAAAGAATTACATAAAAACTCATACCAGATACCATAACTTTACCGCCATCTTTGAGCCGATTGTCTAGATAATGTGGGACCCTCAACGTCTCACAACCCTGTGGGCCTTCACGGCCTGTTACGGGGATACCTTTACTTCACTTACTTTACTTTACCAGATACCATAACAAACTTTATGTGTATGATAATGTGCCTGAAACTTATTAAGAACTGCTGTAGACCATGAAGAATAAGATATGACTAACCTGACACAAGTTTTAGTATGTCAGCACAAGTTGTGTGTGTACTTAAGTAGAGAAGCTGATGCTGGTGACCAACACCATAACGAGGCTGGTAGGGGGCATTACTTGTTACAGCCAGATTGTTCCTCTGGAGTGGAAAATTGGCCTTCACAAACACAAATAGCTTCTCATTCTCAAGAAGGAGCTGTAGCACAAGGCGACGTGTAAAGCCAGAAATGCCGTGAAGAAATGTTACATCTGAAATTATAAAATGATGAACAATATAGTAACAGCTGAGAGTTAAAACACATCAAACTCAATATGACTTTAAACTGGTATGGATAAACAAGACAAAATCAATACATACATTTACCAATGTTTAATATTAACAATTATATATTACACATTACACATACTATCCAGCACTAAAGAGCCAGTCACGGTAGCCGAGCGGTCTAAGGCATGCACTGTCTTCGCTCGCTCCGAAGCCGGGATCGTGGGTTCGAATCCCACTCAGGGCATGGATGTTTGTGTGCGTTTTTCTGTGTTCGTCTACAGGTAGAAGCCTTGCGACGAGCTGATCACTCGCCCAAGGAGTCCTACCATATGTGTAAGATCTAGTAAACCGAAGTGAACCGGAGAGTTTGATGGAGGTAGGCCTAGGCCCAAAATTGGGGCTGTAGCGCCACAGAAAAAAAATCCAGCACTAAAGAAGATATGCATAGTAGGAAAACCAGAATGAGGAATCATATGGAATAAGAGAAAAGACATAACGGACACATAAATGCTACTGATTTCACATTCATTTTAACACTGCAAATGGAAGAGAAATGTTTTTCTCCTAATGGAATTTTATGGAAACTAGTTTAAATTTGAACCAATATTCTTCTCTCAATGTTAAGCCCATACATAGATGAAATTTTTGGGGACCACCAGTGAGAGTTTCAACATAACAGATAAACTATTGATCAGATCTTTTGCAGTTGTCAGATACTGGAGAAAAAACGGTAGAACAATGAGAGAGTACATCAGTTATTCGTAGACTTCAAAAAAGCCTACTATTATATAAATCATAGTACATATTCTTAAACGTTTGTATAAAAATGTTCTAATTATTAAAGTTAAAATGTGTTTAAGTTAATAATACATTATTAATATTCTTAATATTTAAAATCCTGAACAGCTAAGGTTTGTGTCTCCATGCCTCTTCTGTCAAAACGGGAGACTGGGTTGTTATTTGCTGTTTTCCTCCTTTTTTTACGATTCTCTAAGGATCTGTGTGGTTGTCAAGTTGTTTCTTCTTTTGTTGTGCATTGAGGCCTCAATACACAATAATTATCTAGTGTGATGGACCAGAATGAATAAAGATGAACTTAATCCAGACTTACTCTGATGCACTGTCTTCTGCGGACTGATAACATCACAGAGAACTCTGGAGAGCAACTGTTGATTTGAAGGATGGCACCAACAGCATCGAGACAAGAACTTTACTGTAGCAGACTCCAGAGCAGAGAAGGATTCACTTGTGAGCTCACACCTAGCATCGGTGAAGAAATTCCAGTACTGATTAACACATCAGCTAACAAATATGTTGCAGCACATGACCATGGCCACCCTTGTAACGAGTGCTGATATCACTGAGCTATATTTTTAAACAACAGCTTGCCATTTTGTCCAATAGATAGCTGCAGAAAGCAGTGAAATGTTCTGACAGTATGAACAAAGTGATGAGCTATCCATCTTCCTATGAGTCTTAATATCCTAAGTAAAATTCCAGTAATGGTGGAATATATATAAAAGAGACTGCTGTACCTGCTATGTCCTTCAAGATCACTGTCAACAGAGCTGGATTTATTGCACAGTAGACTCAGAAGTGGAAGCCAGAAAACAGAACCTTCAGGGGAGCCTAACCAGTCTCTCATATGACCTTCAGCACAAACTTCAGCAAAGAAGTTGAGAATCATGGCTATTGTATCAACTCTCAGCATCGGCAAAGCACCTGGAATATAAACAAGTACTGATTTTGCTATCACGTTCACTATGTTAGGACTGCATGTCACATTCAAGACTTAACTGTGTACCTTAAATAAAAGCATTCTATTTTCTTACTTCAATCAGCACACAAACCATATACAATGAATACAACGTCACCTGAAATACTGCCTGATAGCATTAAGCCAAGAAGTGTAGCATTTTCTTTCTGCAGTAGTATAAATCAGTGATGACAAACTGGTTCGTGTGCTACCGAGACAAAAAGCACTTCTATTATAGTGCATTAACTAAACATTCTATATTCGAAAGTAATTTATATTCTCATCCTGCTATCTGTTAAAACAGATTATGCAACTTAATTTCCTGTACATGAAGAATGTTTTTTTGATGTAAGCTCAACAAATATATGCATATACTACTTTCAATATTCCAAAATGGAATCATAAAATGAAACTTTTTTTACAGAAGTCAATTCATTTCGATCATCCAATCTAGGACAAGGTAGCACACAGCAGGGGTTATGGCTCCCCACTACACAGTTTCATTCAGTATTTAACCATTTTTAAGTCTGGTATTCCAGTTATTCACCCAGAACTATTTAAGACTCTTAAACAATAAGTTACCAAAATCCAGGTTGCTATGTTGATTCATTTGAGCATAATCTCTTTTAATATAACAGATCACTGACCTTGTGAGCTTGTAAGCAGATGATTTCTTCCTTCCCTTCCACTTGCTTTATCTGCATCTGTCATTCGTGACTGGTTCATCTGCCTCTTTCCTGAAGACAAATTCTGGCTCTTGTCAGTGTACTTGTGGTTATTCTGTCCTAGGCATTGCTCCTGATTGCAAAATTCTGGTTAAAATAATAAAGAAAATTAATTACGTTGTCACATAAACTGTGCACTGTAACAGTTAACTTCCTGTATTATAACTAACCTCTCTATACAGCTGAATGGGAACGACTGGATAAAAAGCTGTACTGAATTTTTCAGTATTGATAAGAAGTCTAAAGGACTGAAGGGAATGTGCACTCCTTACATCAGCTGTACAGTGCGAGGAGAGGGGGAAGAACATGTCATCTTATAATATTTGAGGTTCACGTAGCGGTAACTATGAAGAATGCCACCTTCTGGGATGTGGCACCGTGTAGATATTGTGTATACTGACATTCTGGAGGAACATATCACCTCCATCTTCACCTGCAGCCACCTGCTCACACTGGTTCCTCGCTCACCGATTTTTATACCCTGAAGATGGAGGCAATATATTCCTCCGAAGCGTCAGTTAACACATTATCTACATGGCGCCACATCCTAGAAGATGGCATTCTTCAAACAGTCACCTAGGTCACTCATTTGTACCGTATAAGGCTACTGTACTTGGACCACACACGTTATCCCTGCTTTGCACACCCGACTGGTAATTACCAAGAAAAACAGACAATGAATTCTATGCATAGAGGAAATAAAGAAGTAACAGCAATACTGACCTAGGACACCACATGTCAACAGAGTTGGTAATCCTGAATCCAACAACTGGTAAATTGCTGGTGGAGACTGACAAGCCATTGCTATTGTCATCAGCTGACATTCGCTTAGCCTCATTTTATGAAGGTCCTGTATCATCAGATGATTATACCATTCTCCACTATCAGTACATTGTTCATTCTCTATAACCTGCTCTTTCGAGTCATCAGAGATAGAAGCATATAATTCATCTAATTCATGATCTTTCCTAGACATAAAACATACAGAACATATCAACATGAAAGTCAAAGTAATGGCATCCATAGTGTCAACAGGATTGTACATGAAACTGCATAAATTTGAAAATTAATTTATTTACCTATCATCAGAGATGGAAGCACTGTGATGTGTTGCCAAGTTGGGTACCAACACCCCCATACGTTGAAGCATTGCTGGAAAGAGAGCTGGCTTAATGTAACACATTGAACACAATAATGTGTCGATAGATTTCTTTAGTGCTGAGTGAGCTGGGAGAATTAACGTCCACTTGTAAAGAATGCTGGAATATAAAAAAAAAAAAAAACATTTTATGGGTACCATTCTTCACTGCAAGAAATATCATGTAATGTGGTATAGACACTTCACATGACAATTCACACAAATGAGACATCAGACTTATTTGAACCTCAATATTATATGAATGAGACAATTTTATTGTTTAGTAACTGATGCTATATATTTTACATAATGGAATATCCTTTTCTTTTAATTTGTAAATTGCACAACATACATGATTTGGAAAAAGAGACTGAAATGATGGTTTTTCTAACTTACGTAACTCTCAACAGTTTCTGAGTTATTGAGCAAGTGCCTAGCAACAATAGGGGTATAGTCAGACCAACACTCTCCTCTGATATGACTAGGGCCCGGATCTTTATGCGCTAAAAACAACTCACCTATTTACATGTATCATTCACTGCAGAAAGTAGCATCACAGTAGGCAACTAGAAGTCTTTCAGTGTTTTCTGGAGACAAACTGTGTCTATTGTCTGTCAAAATGAGTTTATAGGCTGAGAATGATACTTCTACATCAACTGACGTCATTGGACATTATTTATACACTGGTGCCGAAGGTTCAGAACATTTATCTGGCAAACATACCCTAATTACACTCTAGTACTGACTGACTGACTGAATCTTTTATAGTCCTTGGTTCAAATTCAACACCATTTCTAACTTGCATTTAATCTTGTCTCCAATTTCGGCTAGTACGANAAAACAACTCACCTATTTACATGTATCATTCACTGCAGAAAGTAGCATCACAGTAGGCAACTAGAAGTCTTTCAGTGTTTTCTGGAGACAAACTGTGTCTATTGTCTGTCAAAATGAGTTTATAGGCTGAGAATGATACTTCTACATCAACTGACGTCATTGGACATTATTTATACACTGGTGCCGAAGGTTCAGAACATTTATCTGGCAAACATACCCTAATTACACTCTAGTACTGACTGACTGACTGAATCTTTTATAGTCCTTGGTTCAAATTCAACACCATTTCTAACTTGCATTTAATCTTGTCTCCAATTTCGGCTAGTACGAAATTCAGTGAACAAGTTGCTTTCTGAAAGAGTTCAAGTGAGTCGTGAAGGAGCGCACCACAAGATTCTAAGCTCTCGATGGCTTTTGAAATTGTATATATATGTGCATGAATAAAATTCAAATCTTGATAAACAGTATCACTTCCAAACACCACTTTTACTTCACGGACACATGCATTCTCATCTTCAAGTTTTGTAACCACTTCTTTTACTTGATTGAAATTCTCCTGATAAAATGAAACTGCGGATATCCATGTCCCCCACCTAGTTAGGACAGGTTCAGGTGGCAGAGGAACCTGAGGTAGGCGATCTTTGTAGAACTGGACACGAGCTAGTGCTTCCAGAAACAGTTTCTTTTTTCCACTTGCAATTAAATCGTTAACACCTGGAAACTGTGCACATATTTTTCTGCAATATGGTGTAATCCTTGCGCTAAACAGGTTACGTGTATAATATTTGGATAAAATACTTGTAAGGCTTTAATTGTTTCTTGCATCCTGTTGTGTATTTAATCAATATTAGAGTCAATTTTACCGACCACACAACATATTTTTATTATTATTACACTACATGTTTCGACCTCAAGAGGTCAAAATATGTAGTGTAATACATATATGGTGTGTGGTCGGTAAAATTGACTCTAATATTACTTGTAAGGCCTTTGCTGCTTTCAACATATACAGGTAGGAAGCGCCATCTGTTGGTAACACAAGCACCTTACAACAATTATTCTCAATTTCAGATGGCCATAGTAGTCGCAGAGACTCATTTACAAAACTTGCTATTGTGCTATAGTTGGTTTTCTCTAGTACTTTACAAGCAAGAAGATGAGGTTTGCCGGGTTCATCTGGATGTAGCTTACCAATTACAAAATCTGCTATGCATTGGCCACACAAACCTGTTGTCTCATCCTCAGTTATCCTTAATTTCAAACATATATGCAGAAATATGTTCTTACGTTTAGAATATGCAATAACAACCAAAAACCCTCAAAATATGCATTTGAATATGTGCATATGCATTTTCAAATAATCCGGGCCCTAGATATGACACAGACTATATAAAAAACGATGCCTCCAACAATTCTTCTACTGTTGCGAGTATTCGTTGCCAAGGGAATGTGTCTACCAAGCCACTGCCTAGCAAGTATGTGGGAGAGATACATATACAAACACACAGATTGATGGTAGGGATTTATGCAGCACACTGCTGACATGGGCTCAGGTACCATGATATACTCATACATGCAACGTTTCAGAAAGATTGGTTCAGACATTCAAAAGTTGATGGGGGGGGACACTGATATACTGATGATCCCATAAGCCTACTTTTGTCTTTTTCAGAATAAGAAAAATAGGTTAAAAATGAATAAAAAAATCCCAAAGTCCAGGAAACATACCAACATGAATTCTTTCTCTCATTAAGAGAGGAACAATGAACATGATGCATGACATTATGGAGGCTATGCACACCAGTCAGCGCATCATGCCTTAGAGGACCAGCTACAAATGAACATGTTTTCAAAGCAAGTGTGTGAGCTTTAAGCAATCCAAATTCCTAAAGTGATTTAGATAACTTAAAAGCATTAGAAATTAATATCAGATGAGTTTGGAAAGATCAATGCATTAGAACAGCTTTACTAATTCTACTGTGTAATACATTATAACTGTGAACTTTATATATAAGTTATTGGGAATTAATCCAGTAGCTTAGATGACTTCAGCTAATTAAATAAATTGGACTTGAGGTCAATGGTGACTGTACTACTGTATGAAATGTACCTCATATGCAGGCAAGCAAACTATCCATCCCTTAAACTAGTTACTGCTACCCAAATTTCAGAACACATTACTACTATGAAATCTTTGCAACTGTAAACAGATAAGCAAAATAAAAGTTACATTTTATAAGCTGGCCTCTACCTGCTACCATATTACTGTACTTACTTAAACAAATCTGATGTAACCATCCCTGGAAGATCATAATTGACTCCAGATTCATGTCCTGTCCATAAGATGGCTGCTGCACTGTGTACATAGGCTGATGATGGGGACCAAATTTCACCACTCTCAGTATGTACACGCTGCTTGTTCTGTACATTAATGAAACACACATCCATTTTGATTATCAGCATGAATAACAGTGCAGTTTCAAATTTGGATATGGGCCTCATAAAACAAGAATATTCAAATGTAAAAAATGTATAATTGCTTAGCACTAAATGGTATACTGCAGAATAACTGTGAATGATAACTCATATGAGATATGAGAAAAGTCATACTGAATAAATGAAAAGTACTGTCTTCACATTCACTTCATTACTATAGAAAGCAGACCATTTCTTTTTTTTTCCCCCTTCCCCTTAATGAAATACCATGGAGATTAATCTAATCCAGACTTTTGCAGCAACATGTTGGGATGCAGCTGGAAAAAAGGCATGGATGTTTTACAGGGCACACTTCTCTCCTACATCATTACGATTTAGTACATATTTTATGTAGTGGTGCATATCAATAATTCTATGAAACAGCTTAATAAATTGGATATTTTGTCCTCGTATGTTAACGACAGCTGAGTCTTACTGTATCCATGATAGCACAGTAACTACATATCAAACTACATTCTTGGGATCTCTGAAGATCTCAATCATATTCAGCAGCCACGAAAATGTTACAATGGGGAAAACAGCAAACAATCTGGAGCATGGGGAACTGAGTGAAGAACACTGCATGCAATTCAGGAACAAACTGTACTGAAAAGAAACATCCATATAAACAATTATGAGAACATGATTCAAACATTATATCAATGTTCCAACACGTGCGAAAGCAAAATATACCTGCAGAGCTGCACTTCCAGTTTCATGCAGCCAGAAGAGCAAAGCATTTACTCTGTCCTTTGTGGCTTCATCCTGCACAGTACATAACTGGTACAAGAGTTCCACTACTGAATCTACGACAGCAGATGAGGAACTGCACTGACCGATGGGTAAAGAACCTATGGATTCAAACAGATTTAATTTGCCTCTTATTACATATATAAAACAAGATTATTGAAATATTACAAACACGAAACAGTCCTTTCTTCTCCAAATGATGTGTAGACCATAATGAGACTGCCAACAGAAAAATAATTCTATTTCAGTTTTTTCTCTGATAACCTCTGACAATAAAAATTGATTACAGCAACACATTTACACAAATACCACCCAGCTTCGAAAGCAAAGCAACTTCTAAAATTATAAGCTTAAAAATGAAAAAATAAGTTCATTCAAGAGAAAATTATGAATCTTCTGCATTTCCCATAGCTGCAAAACTTGCTACTCTGTTCTGCGAATATCACTGTCTTCAACTTAAAATTGGTACATCGGACAACTGAACTTCATATCCTCACATACTGATATTTTCTTATAATTGCTACATCAATGTAAATAGGTGTGATTTTTAATCATATATTCAGTATTCTTAAGAATATCAGTCACAAAGCAGACACACATCCATGTTAGATGGGTTCCTGTAGCCACGGCATGTCCTCAGGGGTGGCCCTCCAGCTTGGGGGTTGGGCGTGGGGCTAACAACTCCTCACCGTAAAAAATCATTATGTTACAAAAATGAACACAAAGCCTCGGACCTGGACTGATTCCTTCGATAAACGACCTAAGCTAATATTTCAGCCAGAAGGAAAGAGACCACAGGGAAGACCAAGGCGTAGGTGGGTGGACAATATTAGAATGGATCTTAGAGAGATAGGATGGGATGGTATGGATTGGATAGATCTGGCTCAGGATAGGGACCAGTGGAGGGCTCTTGTGAACATGGTGATGAACCTTCGGGTTCCATAAAATGCTGGGAAATTCTTGAGTAGCTGCAGAATTGGCAGCTCATCAAGAAGGGCTCAGCTCCATGAGTATTCATTTCAGTTATCCAGTACAGAGGGGGTGGGTTTCCCCATGCACCGCGACTAATAGTCTATTGTACGTCCCCCTTTAATTTCTACTGTCGCCATACCCTACCGATACTGGTGCCTGCTACCTCCCCTTTCTGCCAGCGAGGTCGGCCCTCTACTGGCAGTGGTACCCGATAACTCTCCCCTTTCTGCCAGTGAGGTCGGCCCTCTACTGGCATTAGTACCCGATAACTTCCCCATCTACCAGAGGCATTGGAAACTACTTGGGCGGGAAGCATTTTGCCTAATTTTGCTCAGATGTCTCCTAGAGACACAAGGATCTTTTACGTGCCATAAATCTAAGACACGGGACCCACGGCTTAAAGTCCCTCCCGGAGGACTTGTTCCCTGAATTTTTCTGCCCTTAAAAATTCCACAACCTCCGCCAGGTTTGAACCCGCGTACCTTGAGTCATGAGGTGGGAACATTACCCCTAGACTACGGAGGCCGCTAGTTCCATGAGTAAGTAAGTAAGTAAGCAGACACAACTGAACTTACAGGATTCTCGGAGAAATACCTACCTTGAAGAAAAGCAGCTGCTCCATTTCTGAGAAGGGTATTTATCTGTTTCAGTCCTAGTTCTCGGTTATGTAGGCCAAGCTTAAGCAGAACTCGCTCCAAGTTTGGAGTGAAGAGTGAAGGTGAAGGTGCAGGGATCAGCAGCAGACCACAGCAAGCCTCCAGCAGACCAGGAACACTTGCTGTTGATGTGACTACTGCAGCTGCTAACTCAGAATCCTGACTGGGTAGGCTAAGGCAGTGATGTAGCAACCTCAGCCAGCCCAAACTGCAAACAATCATGCAATTTAGCTTTCTTACATAACCAAGCTATAGTTAAACCACTCGATCATCTATATTACTATATTACTACATCATGTTGGATAAATTATACTTCCTACTGGTTTATTCTCTTGTTATTTTTTTTCCAAGTGAAACGAAATTATTCTCTACCATAAGAAACATGAATTGGACTTGAAAAACTGTACTTCACACATCCTTGCTGAGCATACTGTAGTGTGTAGACCTGTTACTGGGTAACAACCTCAAAACAAATAACGAAACATTCACTGCTAGGCAACAGATTCTTCATAAACAAGTATATGCAGCCATTACTGGGTAACACCTTCACAAACAAACATGTTCCCATGGAAATGATCACAGTACAACAACGAACAGTGTTTTCTACGCAGTCCAAGCCGAGATGTTAAAACCGAGAAAAGTTTAGAAGTCAGTTGTAAGGGAGTCTGTGAAGAGAAAACTTGGTCAGTGCAGTTAAGAGCCAGCAGGCAATAAAATGAGTGTGGAAGCTGAAGAATCTCCACTGTCAGAAGCCCTTACCAGCCAACGACTGGTGAAGACACGGCAGACTGAAAAGACCTAGCACGTGCTGTAATGATTTGTAAAATGTGGAGATCAGCAATGGTACTATAATTATGTGTAGTCAAGAGTTGTGTGTTAAAGTGGTCAACAAATCCAGTCTCCAATCCAAACCCATCTATAGTCACACCAATACACCTGACAATACTGTGAACTCAACTGAATGTAGAAAAAATTCTACAGCTAACCCTGTTATTTCCATTAATTTTCATATATACATTTATCAAGGGCAGTTAACTCATTCAAATGAGGTTTAGAACTTTTTGTTTCAATAGAAATAGAAAAGAATTGCACTGAATAACAATCTAAAATTGAATGGATATGACTCCCATACCTTGATTTTGTGAGCTGTTCTTCATCTGGGACATCCATATTGACAGTCCTGAAAACTGTTTCTCCAAAAGTTGTTGATCCAAGGAGTCGAATCTGTGATAATCCAATATTGGAGGAGTCTCGTGGTTTATACAGTCTCACAAGAACACTCGTAACTATCTCAGGCTGTGGCAGTCTTAAGCGAACAAAGGTGAGTCCACTTGTTGATAATGGTGGACACACTGGCACAAGACCTGAGCTGCTATCCCGAGACACTTCCATGGCTACAGCTGATGGACAAGCTAAAAAGAATTTAACACTGGGTATGTAATAAGTTACTGGAAGCCCTGCTTACAATATACAGAATATTTCTGAATTAAGTAGTGTCTTCTGAAAGATCCTGGATCTTACTCTGCCTATGTCTGGGGCTACAGTCATCTAAGGTCAATGACAATGGAAGCAAAAAGTAAAAAAGTAAAGCTATCCCTGTACCAGGCCGTGAAGGCCCATAGCGTTGTGAGACGTTGAGGGTCCCACATTTTCTAGAAAAATGGCTCAAAGATGGCGGTAAGGTTGTCAGCCTTACATGCTGGCCATGCTTTGCTCCCCAGGAAAATGATTTAATTAATTCCCGGTACTCATTTCTGTTAGAGGCTGAGTAAACCCCCTAGTGTGGCTGGAAGGATTAGGTCAACTGAAAAAATCCAATGAGCTCATCGGGACTTGAACCCGCGACCTTCCGGCTTGTAGCATAGCTCCTCAACATTACTAAATAATAAGCACAATTAAACACATTTGGGGTGCCAGATTTACAAGATGCCTAGAAATTCACCATCACATCCACTTTATGTGTATCTGTTCAAATGGTTTTCATTCATTCTAACACTACTCAAATCTTATATTCGTCAATGTATGTTAGTAAATTGTTACTCTACCTTCTCTTACATTAAAGATACTGTACTTTTGGTGAGCTGTACCACTAATGCTCCGCTATGCTATGCTATCCTATGGTATGATATGCCTGCTCTACTCTGCCAGATCAAAATTCATTATCCATAAAACTACCTTCCATCTCCCCCAAAAGATTTGCACGAAATCTTACATTTTGGTTTTCACTAGAAAACACAAACACTTAATTTTGCACTTCGAATCCCTCCCTCCTTTAAAATCGTCCAGAACCCTATCAGTATTTACCTCCAGAGCCATATGAATTCCACTAAAGAGATGCAAACACTTCACAAAACCTGCAGTGCTGAAAGAAAGCAATTAATGGCCACTGTAATATAAATGTAACTGAACTCAAAATAAGCCGTGGTCTTTACTGTGAACTTACTTGCCAATGAAGTGAGGTGCGGCTGCAATTGAACTTCCTTCAGCAACACAGCACATGGGAGTGTAAGAGTGAGATCTACCCATGTTTCATCTGGGTAGAAGTGATAGGACCATGCTGGTGTGCGTGCTCTTCGATGAGGGGGAGCAGACTGTATCAAAACATCTGCTGGCTGAGCTGTAGGATTGCTTGAACTTATGGTACCTAAATAGGAAACATTTCCGTCCCAAAATCTCTTTTCTAGAGGAAGCATTACATAATGTTACATATTACACCCATCTGCACATATATATGATCTCAATCATGGCTGACATAATCTAAGAAAAGCTGTCAATGTACTTAATGTACCACAGCATGAAGACAAATGGAAGATCAAGACAGCCCCACACATATTCTTAAATTTGACACTAGACACAAGGCAGTGTTTAGTATTTATTGGCTGCTTTACCCCTGAAGAAACAGCCCCTAGTATCCATTGAATGGGATACTATGATTCTACATATTACATAACGCGAAACTCCCGAGGTGGTGGTGGTGAGAGTACATGAGTAAGTTTTGTACAAATCTTCTCTTTCTGCTCAACAGCCTACACCCACTCTATTTCACTTACTGTAAAAGATTCTTTAAGTGTCTGTAAAAGCTAACTCTGTGTTAACTCTTATCTTCTAGTGTTTCAACATGGGTTACAACTCTTCTGACATAGGCCCACAGGAATATGACTTTTCTCTTGTAATGCTACAAAACTGATGCAAGATAGCTCAATCACTCAACTGACATACAGACTGCCTACTGGTCGGTCAATCAGGGAGCAACTGGAGTGAGGATGGAATTCTTCTCTTTAACACAATATCAGAATTTGCTTGCGGCCCATGGAGTTATGAGAAATTAACTGTTAATGGAACAAATCCAGGCAAAGTAAAATCAGAAAAATCTGTTAAAATTATTATGTTTTTGGACATTATCCATCGTCTTGTCTATTTTTTAAAAACCGTCTCCTTTCTTTTTGACAAGACGATGGATAATGTCCAAAAACATATTACTTGTAGCAATATACCATCATCAAAAACTTTTAGATCTTATTAAAATCTGTTAAGATGACAAAACAATATGGTTATAGAAAGTATCACAGATATAAAGAGATAACTGTTATGTTCCATTACAACAATCTCTTTACATATGTGACACCTTCTACAGTGCCCTATCTATGACAGGAGGCACTCAGTGCCAAAGAGCCTCATATTACCTGTTGATGTAACCAGAAAATAACCTATTCTATTAGAATCGGCTCAAAACTACTCGTGACAAAAATTGAGACAATATAGTCTGAAGGGGAAATGAACTTATGGGCTACTTACCTAAAGGTGCAAAGTTCAGGAGCCCCTCATAGGTCTCAATTGGACTCGGAAGTTTTTTGTTGTTGAGAGAACTGCTAGGGGGAGCATGACTAAAATGCTGCATCACTACAGATACCAAGCTTGGATGTGCGTTTATCAATGCCTGATTACTCTTCACTAGATTCTCACAGATCACCTACAGAGAAGAACGTTTTCATTTAGAACTTGTGCTAGTAAGAGGCACCAACATTCTCCTTCAAATAAATCCCATTACTTCAGAGTCACTTCCTCAAAACAGTGGCTGTACTTTTTTCTTTGGCAGAAAGGTTTTGGTGCAAAAATTTACTCTTCTTTTGAGAGCACATTTGGTTGGAAGAAACTAAAGACATCTTGCAGCACGATGAACACAATGACATTACAGAGTTGTGATAGTGGTCACGATGGCTACAATATGAGTAGTTTAAACCTATTCATGAGTGGCAAAATAAATATTCATGAAAACTGTGAAGCATGTCCCCAACTTTTGCACCACCTACATGTCGGTTCAATAACACATCTGTCACAAACCTTTATACCCAAAACTTCAGGTTCTGTGGAATAATCTAATTTATACAAACCTTTACACCCCCCATTCTGTTGAACTGTTCCAGAGCACTTTCTTTATCTAGCACTCGTAAAATGAACCAAAGAAGAGGTTCAGAAAGCTGCATTACACCAACTGCACCAACAGGAGGCTGTGCATTGCATGCTGAAACAAATGGCAAACAGTTTCAAGTTGAAGTTCTCCCAATGGTCATTATGAAGAGTATGGTCTCCTGCATTTTAATACTGTATATGTAAGATTTGAGGCTTTCACGGCGGTGACTATGAAGAAAGCAGTCTTCTGGGATTTGGCACCGTGTATATGTGGTGTTAACCGACGTTTCGGAGGAACGTATCGCCCCCATCTTCAGGGTAGAAGAAAAAGTATAAGAAATCTGCAAGCGACAACACCGTGAGTCTGCTTTACCGTTTCTCACGGTGTTGTCGCTTGCAGATTTCTTATACTTTTTCTTCTACCCTGAAGATGGGGGCAATACGTTCCTCCGAAATGTCAGTTAACACCACATATACACGGTGCCAAATCCCAGAAGACTGCTTTCTTCTTAATACTGTATAGTTTGGGACCTGTGTTCTCGCCAAACTATGCAGAAATAAAAACACAGAAGGCTGTACTCATCAAATAATTCTATCAGTAACTGTGTGTGCAATGTACTATGTGCACCATATGACAAAATAGCAAAAAGAGAGCAAACAATTTGAACATTAAAGTGAGCAAGACAAAACCAACAATTCTGCAACCGTATAAAAATATATTACAAAAGCAAGCACAGAAGAGTACAACTGTTTTCTGACTGAAATACTGTTTCAGTATATCCCTTTTTATTATACAGTGGAACTCCCACTTAAAAGGTTCTTGGGTGAACAGCAGATTTGATCACTAAACTGAGAAAATTCTTAAAAGTAGCTACTTTAACACTGCAAGTTTACTTAGAAGCACCAAAATTAAACACTGAATGAGGAAAAATCTTAGACAGAGGAATATTAAAGGGAGGTTCCAATGTACTCAAGCCTCTGATTTATTGAGAACCATTTTAGATACAAATAAGTAGGGTACAAACAAGAAAAGAGAAATACAGCATTAAGAGAAAAACATAATTTTGTGTGAAGGTATAACTGTCCCTGCTCCTAAGCACCACATCATGACAGTGTACATGGGGTGTGGAGGTAAGGATCTGTAAATTTTAAAAACTAGCAATGAGATGGAGGTGAGTGGCTGATTTCATTTTGCAACCAACTTACCTAAAAGTGAAACAACTCGTGGTACCTACTGAATGAGCTTGAGATAACATGGCCATGGCATTGCCCTTGCCAGAACCAGACATAAGACATCCAGCTAATAATCAGTTATGTAGAAAGCAGTCTTCTGGGATTTTGCACCGTGTATATGTGGTGTTAACCGACGTTTCGGAGGAATGTATCACCTCCATCTTCAGGGTAGAAGGAAAAATATAAGAAATCCACAAGCGAAGAGACTGTGAGAACCGGTAAAAGCAGTCTGAAATGTCAGTTAACTCGACATATACATGGTGCCAAATCCCAGAAGACTGCTTTCTTCATAGTCACCACTGTGAAAACCTCAAATCTTAAATAATCACTTACTTTACAGACCATGTACTCATGACCTAAACTTTTTGCATGCAGACAGGAATACCAAGCAGAGCTGCTGCAAACCATATCTAATACATACAAACAGGTTGTTTTAATCATTCAATAAATCATTCTGCAACCACACACACACACTTTGAAAACTTACCAGAAGAAAGAAAATCAAACAAGGGCCTGAGGATCAACTGTGGTGAAGTAGCTTTGCAAGCTAACATGGCAAGTAACTGGAATACAGCATCCCCTACAGACAATGGCTCCCCAAATTCACCCAATGCTAACTGTTCAGGAGGTGCAGCAGAGCCAAGAAGCATTGCTAAGGTGGAACCACTGCAGCCCGCCAGAGCGCTCAACAGCCGGAGCATAGTTGGATGATGCTGCAACACTACAGAATTACGTTCTCATGTCCTAAGAGATAAGTTTTAAAATTTGATACCTGAGCTGAGATCATGAAAACTTAAACTTAAGGAGGGAAAAGCCAAAAAAAAAAAATGAAATGATATTTGTTACAATATTTACAGTCACTAGTGTATCAGGATACACAGATCAGGGAAATGTCAGAAACCATTACTGTGCAACATGGATGACTTACCTGTATCTGCAACACAGGGTACCTTCACCTCCTGCCTTGCATTCTGCAGCTGTCGCACCATGTCAACGGAGTTCTGCTGCTCAGCAGCCTTGTGTTCATCTGTCTGACACATGCCACTGTTATCCAACTGGGAATTTCCTGTTGCCATAGGACCTGGCTGACAGTCCAACGTCTCCATGCCCTCTGCCTGCCGAGCTCCCTGCAAAGCAAAGACAGAGCCGTACAGGCACACAGACTTACAGGGAGGTCTGAAAAATAACACAATAAATTGCCCCCAGAGATGAATAAGGATGGTAACAAAATAGCAAGTTCTTCAATTATCTTGATATGGAGTGCCAACACTCCCTATGCCAGCTAGAAAATTAACAATCTAACTATAAATAACTTTCATCAGTCAGTCTGGCCTTCAAGAATATACAACAATAATAAATCTATTGATTATATTAGATATAATAATGCTATGTTTATATAATTAAATTCTGCCATATTTATTTTGTCATTAAAACATGCATAGAATTTTGCAGTTGACTCCGCCTCAAATTATATTTTTTGACACCTCTGTGTACATTAAATAGCAATTAACAATGTAATTAAATCTGGTGATATATGTAAACGGATCATAACTAGCTCAGAGTTCTGAAAATTAAATCAAAGAATGGACATGAACAAGGCAGTTTCACAGTATCTTCCAGAGAGCACAAAATAAATTCTTGGTGAAACGTCTTCCAAAGTGGTCACAAGCAATTCAGCTGCACAAGAAATTTACTGCTGCTATGGACCATCATAAAAGTAGGATCTACAGAATGGAGCAACAATATTTTAATTTCTATAATCAAAGATGGAATAACAAAATGACAAGAAATGTACACAATTTTACATAAATCAGTCACTGAAACTTACATGTGCATGAGACATGAGAGGTGTCTGGACTAATTTGTTGACTAATTTGAGCAAACTGCATAGGAGAGCATCCCATGATGCTGGTTTTCCTTGCTTCGTTTCCCCTCCCAGCACAGAAGCAAAGAGACCGCCAAAACATGATGAAGCAGTTACATTTGATTCTGACACACTGTGGCATTTCACTTTTTCTAGGCTCAAGATATACGAATACACCAACACACCTTGGGGCAGAAAAAATTATGTTAGTACCACATGCATACATGAGCTGGGACAGTGGAGTTGGTATGGCGACTGGATACTGGCTGGATGACCAAGAGGTCGGAGTTCAAGTCCCGGTGGGGTCAAGAATCTTCACTTCTCCATGTCATCCAGACCAGCTCTGGGGTCCACCCAACCTCCTATCCAATGGGTACTGGGGGCTCTTTCCCCGGGGATAAAGCAGCCAGGGCATAAACTGACCACTCATCTCCAGCTAGTGCTGAGGTCAAGAAAATGTGGATCTATACATCCACTCCTCCAAATGCCTTCATGGTGTAGAGCTTAATTAGTTAAGCACTGGGACAACTTTAGCTTTACCACATGTATACATGGTTTTAATCTCATACAAGGCAACAGAAAAAAATGTGAGTTTTACATTATATTCTTAACTGTTCAAAATAATGAAGCAGAGATAAAGGTACATTTGTTCTTCTGCTTAATTAATTAAGCATTACGCCATGAAGGTGTATGGGGGAATGATTGTATAGATCCACGTATTCTTGACCTCAGCATTAGATGGAGGCAAGCGTTCAACTTCATTCCCCAACTGCTTTACCCCCAGAGAAAGAGCCTCAGGTGCCCACAGGACAGGAGGCTAAGTGGGCACCACAACTGGTATGAATAACATGGAGAAGAGATAATTCTTTATCCTTCTGGGACTCATACCCTAACTCCTCTTTAATCCTGCCCACAGAGTCAGGAAAAGAAACAATAATTCAAAATTAATTTTACTTGTATCTTTAACTATTCACACAAATGCCAAAATCATAATTTAAGTATTTTAAGCATAGTGTTTACAGAGCACATTGTCATAAGAGGAGAGATTCAGGGTTTTCTTCCCCCCTAATGCTCCCCGTGACACAACAACATGAAACTACAATAACAGAGACTACTAGGAACATATTACAAAGACAGTGCAAAGGAAGTGAAAGCATGGCTCACAAGACCTTGTATATACAAAAATGTGGGTTTTATAAAGCTCCAATAATTTCAGCACATTTTCAGCTTTGCTTTAGAATATGCCATAAGAAGGTCCAGGGAAACCAGGTGGGACTGAAATTAAATGGGACCCATCAGCTGTTGGCCTATGCCGATGATGTGAATACCGGGTCATAATGCAGATACCATAAAGAAAAACACACAAACTTTAACTGACACAAATAAAGAGGATGGTCTAGAAGTAAACACAGAAAACATTAAGTATATGTTGCTGTCTCGTCACCAAAATGCAGGGCAAAATCATGACATAAAGATAGGAAACAGATGTTTTGAAAATGTGGCACAGTTCAAATATTTGGGAACTATAACAGACCGAAGCCTGATTCAGGAGGATATTAAGAGGAGATTGAATTCGGGTAATGCTTGCTACCATTCAGTCCAAAACCTTTTGTCTTCTCGTCTGTTGTCCAAAAACATAAAAATTAGAATAGACAAAACTATAATTTTGCCTGTGGTTCTGTATGGGTGTGAAACTTGGTCTTTGACGTTAAGGGAGGAACATAGACTGAGGGTGTTTGAGAACAGGGTGTTGAAGAGAATATTTGGACCGAAGAGGGATGAAGTGACAGGAGGTTGGAGAAAACTGCACAATGAGGAGCTTCGTAACTTGTACTCTTCTCCAAATATAATTAGAATGATCAAGTCAAGGAGGATGACGTGGGCAGGGCATGTAACACAAATGGGGAGACGAAGAATGAATATAGGATATTGGTGGGAAAGCCAGAAGGAAAGAGACCACTGGGAAGACCAAGGCATGGGACATCTTGGTCTCTTTCTTTGGTACTCCTACCTAGATTAATTTTGTTAGCTGAAATAATCATAGAATGCAGTGAAAGATCTGTTCAAAGACCTCAGGAAAATAAATGTGTTACCATGAATCAATGCTCATAAAATATAAAATTCATTATGCACATTTCCATAGAAAGTATGATGAACAGCTGAAACTAGAAATCTTCAGTTAATGGATAGCTTGAGGGTAGATCTTAAGGAAAATGGATGTAAGAAATGAACTTACCAACGGATTCAAGAATACTCATGGCAGTGCTCAAGTCAATGTTAGCAAAGTTAAGATTGAGAAGCATCTCAACAAGTTTGCACTGAGCATCCAATGGTCCTTGTCGGTTAGCCAGGGCCCCCGAAGGCTGCACTAACTGGTATACTAGCTTCAACAGTAACTCTTTTAGTGTATTTCCATATTTACTTGTAGTTGTCACAACATCACACCTCATCTGCAGTCTCACAAGCAAGTCATGAAGGGCCTGACAAACAGATGGTCCAGCCTGAAAATCCATTAAATAGAAATGAAATGCTTAATGTTGCCAAACAAGTAGTCATATTTCCCAGTAAAGCATCAACAGTCATTCTTTAAAAGCAACATAAATTACCGATCATAATCACTGTACAGGAATAACCATTAATCACTTATAAAAACATTTCCATATAAATAACAAATTATATAATTCTCTGGAGAAAAATTAGACTGTTGTAAGAATTAACATTTTCTTCCTTATAGTCACAAATTAATTTAATTCTGTTTCTGCTAGCAAGACACAAAACTGGCATTTAAAACATTTTCTTCTCTCACATATGAGACTTAAAACATTCTGCCAAATCAACGCATTGTAATGACTGCTAATGGTAATAATGATTATTTTGAACATTTTCTTCCTTCAGCATTAAAAAGCACAGACATCACTGTAATAAAAATATAACAAATTTAAAAAAGTACTTTGCTTACACATCCTTTGGCAGAGTAAGTGCCAGTGTTCAATCCAGAACCAGAGAGGAAACGAAGCAACATGGGAACAAACTGTGGATCACCAACAATGATTTTGGCCATGCCTAGTAATGAGTTTTCAATTTCCTCTACTGTCTCCGGTGCCCAAGAGGCTGCTGCTTCTGGTGATCCAGCCTCAGCAAATGGAGTGTTTGCCAACATTGTGAGGCTCTGAAATGCCAAACACCATGCTCGCAGAGATATGCCAGGATGCCATGCTAGAGCAGCCATTAGTCCTGACACTGCATTTGGACTGAGATAAATACATGGTGAAACTCCAGGGTCAAATGTTCCTAATACCCCTGGATCACATGAAGATTCCAAATTCAGGGTCAACCATAATTGTAGAACCAATTCTAAATTTGTCCAAGAGTTCTGAAACATGAACAAACTTTCATTTATCATCCACTACACAGTAAGAGTATCACGTGCAAGAAAATAAACTGAATTATAATAATTATCTAACTAGCACAAAGGAAGATATAAAAAACTGTTATTTTCATAGGTTTCTGTTAAAAAGAAATACTCATTCAATAACAATATACTTTCTTGAATTATTTGGATATATTTTAAAGAGAAAAATATTACAAGAGATCATATGCTAACACTGCTGCAGATCAACCATACCTGTTGATGCAATTCAGTGAAGACCTTGTCAAAACAAGTGGTCAGCATTTGCAAGCTGTCAGGTTGGTTGCAATCAGTTTGCTGCCATATCACTGAAGTATTCTCATCCCATGCAGAAGAAGCTGGGTGTCTAGCAGCTTCAGGTGGAGGTTGGATTGCTGCATTCACACTGAGTGGTAAATTGTAAGCTCCTAAAGCTGTCAGTCTGCGCAACATCACCTCAGCACTGCCTTCCACCCCATATTCCAGTCTTGCATCCAGGGCAGTTGATATGCTTGATGTTGCACTCACAGGTACGCGGTTTGCAGCACATTTTCTTAGTATTTTTCGTCCACGTTCCAGCATATCATCCAGGAAGTCCTCCAGCTCACCACTATCATCTGATTCCAACAATGACTGCAACTGGAATCCATTACTCTTGGAACATGATGGCCCTGAAAATTGTAGTACAATAAAATTCATTACAACCCACTTTCAGATGTCTGTACAAAGCCATCCTGTCTAAGGTCAGAAATTAACAAAATGAAGTGACAATTAACACTTGTTTCCACTGGATTACAAAACAATCATATAAGCATTTCTACATAAATATCTCCCTTCATAACAATGGAATCCATAATCAATACACCTAAAAATCTAAAACCTGATATGAAAGGTCTGCCACTCAAAACACTAAAAATTTCCTTTAAGTACCTAAGACATACGCAAAAGTCAGCTTCCCACATTTTCTTAAATATTTATTTTATGTTCTTGGGGAAAGTACTTATGCTAATGAGTGCTAGAACAAAAAAATCTATCTAGCATACCATAAAATAAGCTAGGCTATGTACCATATGCAAAGAAACAAGAAATAACATAAAGGCAGAAATGCTTATACAGGACACCAGACCATTCAAAACTTTGCTCAAGGGACTACCACTAGCAAAAAATGGTGTCCATATGATACCAACTTATAAAGTGGATTCAGACATGTCTGCATCAAGAAAGCAGTCTTCTGGGATGTGGCACCGTGTAGATGTGGTGTTAACCGACGTTTCGGAGGAACATATCGCCTCCATCTTCAGGTACTACTTGTACCAGTTCTCACGGTCTCTTCCCTTGCAGATTTCTTATTTTTCCTTCTACCCTGAAGATGGAGGCGATACGTTCATCCAAAACGTCGGTTAACACCACAGCTACACAGGGCCACATCCCAAAAGACTGCTTTCTTCAGTCACCGCTGTGAAAACCTCAAATCTTACACGTTTGCATCAAATTTTCCTGCATGCAGAACTCCAGCAGGTACAACAGTCAATCGGTGATTACTTAACTCAGTAAGGCCCATATAGCTTGATTTACCTGGAGTGGAAGCATCAGGAGTATCTTCAATGTTAAAATCTTCTTCCCCTTCTTGAACACTGCTGGTTGTACTAGGTTCAGGCATAGGCTCTTCAGTTTCTGTCATTGCAGTAGGTGGAGATAATGCAGGGTCCAAGATATCTTCTGCAGGACTTCCTTCTTGGCTACCAAGATTAGGATACATCCTAACTCCTTCCAAAATATCTTGAAGCAAACAGCAGATGGCATGAGAGGCCCAAGGACCACCCCATGAAGCTTTATGCTGATCGTTCCACACGGCCAGTCTCACTAAATGCAGTAGCTGATCTTGTGTCATTAGCTCACCAAGTGTAATAGCTGGCCTAGTTGATACAACAATGCGAGCCACAACTTTACATGCCAGCAAGAACATATCAATATTGCAAGTGAAGTCCATCTGCAGAATAAGTGCCATAAGTCCCTTTGCTACAGGGAGGCAATGGGATTGTGGAAGACATAAATTCAAGTCACGTTCTGTTTCACTTTCATCTCTCTCCCTGACTGGTGTGTTGGATGGCCTTGGAACAGGTAAACCATGTTTGTTGAGCAGTGTTGCACCATCATTCCGATGTATCTGAAGAATATCCTTAAAATGCTGTAATGAAGGAACAAAGATAATTTCAATCATCTTAAATATGAGGTTCTCACAATGGTTATGAAGAGTACGGTCATCTGGGTTGCCTGTTGGCGTCTTGCTTGGCTTACTCTCCAAGCCCAAAAATCGGTGTGGTATGTTCCTCCAATACTGGACCCTCTCCAAATGACATGATGTTACAACCCAGCATATCCATACTTTAATAATTTCAATTGTCTTAAACATGTAATATTTTACTCATGTACTGCAAGAAAAATATATCGTGACATGGTAGCTGAAGGACCAGAATAAAGGAGCCAGCAGAGATGGCCGTTGCATGGTAATGTTTCACTAAACATGTTTCTGCTGCAACAGAATGGAACAACTGAGGACATCATTTGAGGCGGTGTTTTCCATACAGTCCATACCAACATTACATAAGGAGAACTCAAGCAGTCAGTTGATCAGTTGAAACCATCAGTTACTTGTGAAGGAGTCGAGAGCCAGCAAGGGCAGGAGCTGCTTAACATACAAGTTGAGGAATCTGCACTGTTGGGAGACATTGCCAGGCAAAAACTAGTGATGACAAACTGAGGAGACTTAACATGTGTTATAGTGAATTGTAAAGCATAAAGATTAGCTAGAGCACTATAATTACTCACAGTTATGAGTTATAACTGTTCAATAAATCCAATAATTGATCCAAACCCTGTGTCAGGTCACTATAAACATGAGAACTGGTTCAGTAGTGGGATAAATTTGACTGACTGCATTGGCATCCATGTGATAAATACTGATGGTGATATCTGAACATCTCACAGACACAGCAGAAAAGATGACAGCCTGCCTAGAAAAGACAGAGTAGAAGCAACGGGGGCCTGTCTAGAAAATAGGAAGGCTGAGATAGATGGCGATCAAGAGGAGATGAAGGCTCACAAAGAAGTGATGGAGACCTATCTGGGGGGAGGGATCAGCCACTAAAAGTTTAGAGGCCTGGTCAGAAGAGATGGCAGCCTGCCTATGGGTCATGAAGGCCTGCCTGGGAAAGATGGAAGCCGTGATATGGGACAAATAAGAGCCAACATTAAAGCGAAGGCCACAGAGTCAGAATCCAATCAAGAAAGGATAGAGGCCATAGCAGACAACTATGAAGGAGCACAACCCGTAAAAGCAATGCACGACCTTGCTACCCTGCAGGGCTGGGATTCCAACACACAAGGAACCCCTAAAGGACAGATGTTCAATAAGAGATGGACCCACCTAGAATGCAGCAACAGCATAAGAGACTGAGGCATAAAACAAAAGATATGTCTGGGAAGCAAGAGACCTGTCAACAAGATCCTCAGACAGATCTTAGAGCTTGAAATTGTAAAGCTAACAGTCAGGTCTTCCCCTAGTTTGCAGAAAACTGTCATCCCTAGTTTGCAGAAAATTGTCATCAGGACATTGTGGAGGAGCCAGCATCACCCAAAAGAAAAGCGTACTGACAGATCATGTTCTGGCACTGTACGATCACAGGCCACATTCAGAAATTCTGTCCCCACAAACACCATTTTTGGGAGCCGTTGCCAGGCAACGACTAGTGAAGACAAACTGAAAAGATTCAGCGTTTGCCACAGCAAACTGTAAAGCATGTTGATTGGCGAGAGCACTATAATTATTGGTATTTATGACTTACAAGCATTCAATAAATCCAACAATTAAACCAAACCCCATATTTAGTCATTAAGATGTGACAATATTAAGCTTAATTTACCCTACTTACTTTGGCTGAGTGCTGTTTCAGTGTTTTCTTAAAGAACAGCTCTTGCTGTTTCAAAGCAGCTTCCAATTTGCTGGACAAGTTCGCTGCTTGACTTGATAGTGCTGATAATGCCTTCCAAGAGAAACAAATTCTTTTATTTAAGTGAAACATGAAAGAATACAGATTTATGACCAAGGACTGCCTTAACTTCTTCAGCTATGGGAAGTAGACATTTTGTTATTTTGACAAGCAATGCACACACTACTGCTCAAGTTAAAAAATAAGAGAATACATGCACTGCATCATTCAAAGTGAATTGTGCACATAATTACTGATTTCATTTTAATAATTATATACAAATTGAAATATTGAGCTGGCTCAGGACAGGGACCAGTGGAGGGCTCTTGTGAACACAGTAATGAACCTTCGGGTTCCATAAAATGCTGGGAAATTCTTGAGTAGCTGCAGATTTGGCTTCTCCTCAAGAAGGGCTCAGCTCCATGAGTAAGTAGGTAAGTAAGTAAGTAAGGCTATTTCACTTCCTCACCTCTCCCTGGGAAAGACACAAAATGGAAATCTAAAGATATTTACATGTTAATATAAATTCTAATTACACCAAATATAACACATAAGATATTCACATTTCTCTGATACCAGAAAGCAGCAAATAAGAAAAGAGAGAAAGAGAAATTTCAAAACAGCAAACTAAGCTAAAGACAAATCAAAGTCTTGTTTTATTAAACAGTATCAATTGCTGCCTTGCTTTATGCAATGGCATATACACTAGACTGACTGCTATACCTGTGTCGATGCATGGAATGCTTTCTTTGCTGCTTCAAGGTCTTCAAGCTGCTGCTTATGGTGCATGAGACGTTTCTGCAATTTGCGTCTGTAATTTCTAGAAGCACTGCAGCGATTTGAGGTGGTCATCCGACGTTGCATTGCAACTTCTCCTTGGATGAAATCCCAACGTGATGTCATACCTGGGCAGTAATGCAGTTCATGCCAAGTAACAATTAAGTTTCAGTATTTCCCACCTACAGCAACATCCCAATGAAGTTTGCACTGTAAATAGTTTTTCTTTTGTCAGTGACATTGCAGACCCTTCCTCATTCTAATAACTAATCCTCCTTTTACAAACTGTCTAATTTTAAGTTTATTGTGTAAACAATATTTCTATCAACTGTATCATTATTTGCATTCCTTTAAACCACTGCATCTATAATACATAAAACTTTTTGTATCACTGCCTTTCCAGCGCCAATTATGTATAACACACATGAATCCATACATTTTTTAATATAAATTACATAACAGTCAGTAGTTTTAAAAACTTTTTTATGATTAACTCCCATATAAAAAGGTAAAAACAAAGTGCCCCAAATTTTGTTTCACTGAAATTTTACTAGAACGATGACTATTAATCCCCTGCTAATGTAACAAAATACAAATATTAAACAGAAATTATTTCACAGCCCTCACATTTTTATGTGGACTTCCTATGGTCAGAACCACATATCATGACTGTCCACCTGGATGCATTTTAGAAAAATTAAACTTACATAATATTAACTTAAAAGTCAGGGTGAAAGGAGATAATGCCGCCCTGTACTTATCACATTCAGACTCAAGCAATGATGCTTGCACAACCCCTCAAAACTAGCCAATCTGCAAAGATATGAACACCTTCTTAGATAGCATTTAGTAGTGCAGCACCCATTCTTGGAGGGGAAGGGGCGGGGGAGAACTTCACCAATATCACGTCTATGGTATCTAGAACACTGTACAGATAATGGAAACTCTATTGGTTGCATGTATAAAAACAGAATAAAATTGAAAAGCAAACTGAATCAAAACAATACTAAAGTTTTAAGCAACAGGACATGTTCATGTATATTTTAATACTACAATTCATGGTTGGCTGTTACAACAAAATCATGCCTCGGTCAAAAATATGTTTAAGTTAACGTTACTCTACCTTGGTCTCTGTCCTTAGATTTATCAGCCATTTCCTCGGAGCCAAAGGATGTACTGCTTGTATCAAGACAAACTGAGAGAAACAGTAGGATCCAGCCAATGAGGGACAAGTCCATTTCAGCACGCAAAAATCCAGCCTGATGAGTTGAAAGAGGCAAGAGAAGTTTGGTGAGTGTTCCCAGCACACTATCCAGAACTGAGCATCGTGTAGCACCCCCGGCTAGGGACTTCCTCCCCAAGTAGGTTAATAAAATAAACACCCTAAAGAACATAAAATACAATTAGTGTCACTTGTAACAGCAGACAATAAGTAAACTAACACTGGGGGAAGAGGACAAAACAATTCACTAAAAGAAAAGTAACATTAAACACATTTGAGGGTTTCTACCGACCTGAACATACTGTATGATGTTTTCCAGGAAGAAACAGAAATACACAAATTTAAAAAATTGTACTTATATGGGAATGCCTAGGTATACACCTGCCACAATAGTAATCCCTAGGAAAGCACTCAGACAAATAAAGAACATCTTCCTCCCTTCTCTAAACACCCTCTCTTCAACACTTCTAATTATTTGAAGAATACTATCTTATGAGATGTAATGCCACATAGTTTAGCAAAAGTTTACAAATCTTTCAGAGGAATGCACTGCTCCTTCTTCAGGATCGCAGAGTAAGCTGGGCATGGAAGCAAGCCCACAGCTTGCTACTTGCTTGGCTTACCCTTTGGCCCCGAAGTTTGGAATACAATGTTCAGTCAAAAGTCTGTAAATTTTTATCAGAATACACAGTGTCACATCCCAGAAGCCAGTCACTGACATTAGAACCTTGTACCTCATATTTTAATTATTTATTTGCCTTTTCATTAGCACAAAACACAAATAGGTTGAACATGGGAATGCAGACAAGAGTATTAGAATTGTTTAGAAGGAGACCGCTTTGTGTACTCCAAACATTACAGTCAAGACTGAGTCAATATGGAAGTGGAATAAGAGGGACAAGCTGGAAATCATGGATACTAGGTTACAGGAAATTTTTATATAAAGTGGGTATAACTAGACATGATGACTTATATACCTATCCTGTGGGAAAATGGAAGTATTCTGTGAGCTGTACAGTCTGGTGATTGTCTTTGCCAAGAAGTCACCCCACCAGGGCTGAAGTCCACACATTCTGACAAGTAGTGTGCATGCTGACAATTGTATTCGGGTGTCCTCTTTCACACAAAAGCAATGGAACAAATGTTCACAGATGCTTTGATCAAATGTCAGATACAATGTCAATGGTAACTGGAAAAACAGAAATGTCAGATTTAACTCATGCAGCTGTAAAACCACACATAAAAGCCAATACTTTATTTCATATATTAAATGATAAGTAGAATCTATGCACAATATTAAGGCAATGGCTGTTGCATACCAAAATTAAATCAACTTCTGTAAAGGCAGTGTGCAACTTTGACATTACAAATGTTTATTTTATAAAATGTGAACAAAATTACTGTTTTAATGGGTACATGATGTATATGAAAATGGACGTACTGTTGGGCAAAGAGGGAATGGGAAACACAAATGCCACCACAAACAAATTATATCCAGGAACAGGGGAATTTAGCTCTCCCAGTACTACAGAGCTGACGGCCATGTTTTGATTTAGGAGCAATGTCGCCAGTATTGAAAAACTTATCATCAATCAGCTAGAATAAACTAAACAGTAATCAGCAAAATACTTTAAGACATCTACACTTCACCATACAACAAACAGTGATCAATATGATTTCAAACCAATAAAAAGTTGCATACTTACTCTGGGTACTGGTCCAATCTCATATACCAAATACAACAAGAGATCAAGGAGGCTTTCTCCAAGAACTCGTAACTTGTCAGTACATGCTTCTGACAGCATTCTCTGAGTATCTTTTACATCAGGAAGTGAACGCACTTTGCCTTGTGCAGACTCTAGTCGACGTATCACATTACGAACTATATTTAACTGATGCTGAAATGTCACACATTCCTGGAAGAAGAAAAAGAAAAACCTGCAAGTGTTGACATCTATGTTGACGGAGAGAGACATATTCCCTTTCACACCCTGGACACATGGGAATGAATAAAATAATGAAGAAATAAATAAGATGGAGACTACTGAGAATTCAGGAAGTAAAAAAGTCGCAAATGGGAAGAACAGGAATGAAATGCTGAATGGAGAGAGAGAATGTAAAGATGCTGTTCATGTGAAATTAATAAGTAATAGGATAACATGTTATGGACACATTTTAAGAATGAAGATATGATCCCAGTGAAGGTTCTGAACATGAAAACAAGGAAAATGACTAAAAGGAAGATTGAGATCAAGACAGGATCAACAAGTTAGCAAAGATGTCATGGAGGAAAAAAGAACATGGGAAGAAATCGAGGTGGGCATTTACTTTAGTCTTTCTTCACTTCCTGTGCAAGACACTAGAGGGCAGAAGTCACTCCTTTGCTCTACTTGATATAAATGAAAACAGGGGAAATGGAGGTAAAACATAAACAAAACTCAGAAGTTTTGGTAAATTTTTGACACAGAAAGGTTAATACTATCAGCTTCAATATTGGTGATGTTTTGTACTTACCTGGTAAGCTGTTAAAATTTTTTGTCCCTCAGGGCTAGGGAAGTATTTCTGTACATCTCTTCCTCTCTGAAGATAGTGGTGCATGTGAACTACATTAGGAATTTCTGCAGTCAGCAAGGGTGTGAGGAACTCCCGAAGTTTGGCACAAGCTAAACTATAGCGGCAGTGAATGTCTTCAAATAATGCTGACAATACAGACAACTGAGCCTGAAACGTTTGTTAAACTAATATCAAAACACACACTGGATGTGCTTTTCAGAGATTATGCTAAACAAATCTGGCAATTAAGGTAAATTTGTTAAAAAGTATTATAGGATATTCCTTTAGGGTACTAGGGAAAGACTGAACTGAATCTCTTTACAGTAAAAAAACACACATCCAAAAATCAGATATGACAGAAAAGGATGTAAATCTGATGTCACCAAGAATGGTTTTTGTTTATAACAGTACACCAAAACTAAAAGGGAAACTAGATATATTACCATCACTGCGACACAGAGACATATTTTACACAGTCACCTTTATTTCCTTATAACTTACAAAAAAAATTGGTAAAGCTATCCCTGTAACAGGCCATGAAGGCCGACAGGGTTGTGAGACATCAAGGTTCCCATATTCTCTCTAGATAATCAGCTCACATATAGTAGTGACATCAGCCTTAGCCAATGGCTGCCCTTTAAACCTCTTGGAAGATTGCTGGTACTCATTTCTGTTTGAGGCTGAGTCTAACCCAGGGCCATAGTGCAGCTGGAAGGATTAAGTAAATTGAAAAAATCCACCTCATCAGGACTTAAAACCTGCAGCCTTCCGACTTGCAGCATACAAGGTGTGGCAATAAAGAAACCGGATTCATGCTCTAACCCTTTATTAAAAAAAAATCAGACAGTCGAAATGTTATCCCCTTCAATGTAGTCCCCTCCCCGATCCCTACACCGCTCCATGCGAATTTTCCACTGTTGGAAGCAGTGCTGCAGGTCATCTTGTGTTATGCTCTTCAAGAGTTGCGTCGCTTTTGCTTTCACTGCATCCACGGACTCGAACCTGGTCCCTTTCAGCGCAGACTTGATTTTTGGGAAGAGAAAAAAGTCGCACGGTGCTAGGTCCGGAGAATACGGTGGATGTTCCATCACTGGAATGTTGTTTTTTGCCAAATA